TGGTGCAATCTGTTGTTGATCTCGTCGTGAGCCTTGCTCTTAATCTTGTCAAACAAACCCATTGTTGTAGTTACTAGTTACTAATCGCAGTCGTATAAAACTATGCTAGAAAGGAAGAAAACGGAATAGAGAAAACAATTGAACATGTGGCTCACCACGTTCTTTTATACCCAGACTAACCGTACCGGCACCCCTCCCTAATTTCCAGAATATTTCGCTCATAAATTAATCCCCATGTTTGGGAACACAACTTATGGACGTGGAATAACGTGGTTGACGTGCCTCAATGCAAGAGAACACATAAGCTCTCGCCCAAGGGACACGTTATACCGCAAAATGTGTGGTGCGCGAAGAACGAGATCCTCTTCAACGGAATTGGCAGACCCAGACACCTTCGAGGACCAATTGATGCTTTTAACACGTGTTACATTGACAACTGATACTCTTTAAAACCTTAGATCTTGCGTTAGTCTTCAACTCATTTTGACCACCGTGTATAAAAAAGGCAGCCGGGATCAAAAGGCTGTGAACAATCTTGAAGGGAATAAGGTGAAACTCGCATAGCAAGGAAGTGGACAACAGTTTCATAAAAAGAAAAAAAAGGGGGACATGGCTTCCTAAGCCCCGTTGGTCTCTCGTTTCTCACAGAGCTACCGAACGACGCTTATATAATTGGCAGGCTATATACATTAGGTACATGGATATCACCCCACGAATAAATTGAATGCTGAGACTGTGGAACAACTTTGAGGGCGGGGTGGGGAGGGGGTTGAAGACGGAGAAATACGCGTGTGTTGAAGATTATGTAATATATTACATAATCAAACAATTCCCAAACATTACCCTGCTGACTCCACCTGATTACATAAGCAACTGTATTGTGATGATGTAATCGAACATTGCTACGCCACATAACCGTCCAACGGATGGGGAAGGGCAATGAAGAACAGGAGACTGTTTACCCTTCGTATTCAGTAGTTCGAAGCCATTGAATGACAAGTGAGATGAAGCCAGGTCACATGGCTATGAAATCCACTCTGAAGACGCTGATCAGACCTTCGGTCTTTGCAACAAGCTTGAGCGCTGAGCCGGTGCTACCAACAGTTCAGGCTGCAATTGCAGAGTATCACGGCGAGAATGAGTTGGATAGGGTCGCAAAGTTCAACACTCCTAGGATTCTGAAGTCTGGTGCCTTTCAATACACAGTGCCAACCAAGAGAAAGAATCATCGCTTCCTGTTGGCATCTCCTAGGGCATTGGAAGACTTGAACCTCAAGCTCGATGAGTTTGGCGAAGAGCTGTTATCTGGTGAGTCGTTCTATTATGACGATAGGATATTCCCCTATGCACAGGCGTATGCTGGGTTCCAATTCGGTCAGTTCGCAGGCCAGCTAGGTGATGGTCGTGTTGTCAACCTGTTTGATCTTGAAACTGAAAGTGGTGAGCGGTTCGAGCTGCAGTTGAAAGGTGCCGGTAAGACTGCATTCTCAAGATTTGCCGATGGTAAAGCTGTTGTTAGATCAAGCATCAGGGAATTCATTATGTCAGAGGCATTGAATGGTATTGGAGTTCCAACCACAAGAGCGTTATCCTTATCTCTATTACCAGGGACATTAGCACAGAGGAATTATGCGGAACAATGTGCAGTGGTTTCAAGATTTGCAGAGTCCTGGCTACGATTAGGTACCTTCGACCTTTACAGGTATCGTAAAGATAGAAATGGACTGAGGGAGCTATGCGACTATACCATCACCAAGGTATTGAAGGAACTGCCAGAGTTCAGTGCCAATAGGTACAAAGAGGATAAGTACAGCGATGTGACAGAAGGTGGAGGACCGGATGAAAATGTCATTGATATACTGGATTCATCGAGATATGATCAGATGTATAGACAAATTGTTCGTCTCAATGCCAAAGTAGTGGCTTATTGGCAAGTTTATGGGTTCCTTAATGGGGTTCTAAACACAGACAACACTTCAGCAATTGGATTATCCATGGACTTTGGTCCATTTAGCTTCTTGGATAAGTTTAACCCAAAGTACACTCCAAACCATGATGATGTACAACTACGTTACTCATATGAAAACCAACCGAGCATAGTTTGGTGGAACTTGACGAGGTTGGCGGAAAGTTTAGTTGAGTTAATAGGTGCTGGACCAGATTTGGTTGACGATGAGTTCTTCGTGGAGCATGGTGTCAGAGAGGATCAAGGTCCGGATGTGCTGAAAAGGGCAGAGAGTATTATATATCTTGCCAGTAATGAGTACAAGGAAACCTTCATGGACAACTACAACAGACTCATGTCCTTAAGACTTGGATTGAAGTCTGTTATGGATGGAGATAACGAATTATTTGCCCAACTGTTGGATGTTTTGTACAAGACTCAAGTTGATTATAACCAATTCTTTATCAAACTACAGCTGTCCAATCTCGATGATCATTTGATATTCCTTTCAAAGGATGTTCATGAGAGGTATGCACATCCACAGGATAAGGTTGACGTTGAAAGAAACAAAGAGGCCGAGGATTTAATCACTAAATGGTTGGAGAGCTACAAAGAAAGATTGTCTAGAGAAGGTATAACGCAGGAACAACGTAGAAATATTGCTCAGGCTCATAATCCTTTATTTATACCAAGAAATTGGATGCTGGAGGAAGTCATCAGTGAGGTTGAAGACAGCCGTGGTGAAGAATATGGCCGGTTGGAAAAATTGCTGTTGATGAGCAGTTATCCATATAATCCAGAGAAATGGGGCAACAAGCTCAAAGATTTGGAAACCAAATGGTTGCAAAATGAAGTGGATGCAGTCAACTTTATGAAGCAATGCAGTTGCTCGAGCTAGAAACAGCAATGAGAGCATTTTCAAAGAAAGTATCTTCGAGATGTGAATGGTATTTCAGACTTTGCAAATCGATGTAATTATAAAAATCATTATAATGACCCTCCAATTCAATGAATATACGTTGAACTCTGGGACAACTGATACCTATTGAAACATAGAACATGATTATGGATGGAGATGTCGGTGAAGGGTACCAGGATATAATAAGTGTCTTTAACGTTTATTCCAGTACAGATTCCGATTCCACGAGCGATGCTGATGACTTACCTGATGTGAAATTTTCAGAATCAGAAAGAGGTTTACCTTCTTTGAAGAGTTCTAATGGAGAATCACTCTCCAGGTATAAAGAGGATAGGAAAAGGGTTGTTGAATGGAGAACGCGCTGGGAGAATTGTCGCAGAAGGTTAGATATGTACTATGCAAATTCAAGTGACGATACGCACGTTGATGGAAGGTTTCCCGTGCTTAATGAACGACAAAAGACCCCTACTCATCCTTTAGAGACTTCAAGCTCTAAAATTGAATCTTCGAGGGATTACATGAGCAGTGACAATGCTGCCTGTGCTAGCGAATGCCATCGCTGCAAAAGGAGACGTGGAAGAATATGGAAATTTATTTACAGCATTTTCCATTGGAGAAGATCATCAAAGAATAAGGAGGCTCAAGGATGTTTTGAAACCTCAATTGAAAGGGTAAAGTCACCAACAAAAGATACGTTTAGAGATGGTTCTCCAAGGGTTTACAGTCTAGGCAAAGCACAAGCACAGCAAGTGAATCATAGACAGAGAGAGGAGCAGAAAAGACATAATGATACTGTAAGAGGATATCGTGAGCTCGTGTTGTCACCATATGCCTGTATTGAGCCTTATACGTACATCTAACTGCTGAATTAGTGTATATGTGATGTGTGTATAGTTGTCTATCTATGTACAGGCTAACGTTACTTTTGACGTTATTTTCCCCTCTGCTATTGTGCCATTTTGGCGTACAGAAACACAAGTTGGCGAAATCCGCACCAACTTTCCCAATATCGTAACACAACGCTTTATCCTAGCATTGCAATTTGCGCAAATTCTCTCCTCTCCCCCAAACCCCACGGACCAGATATTTTTTCCTTATCGGGGATTCCTCCCAGCGGCAAAAAATTACACCTCCACAAACCCACACACCCCATCAACACAGACACAAAAGACACAAATCAATCTAGAACTTTCTCTCAAACTTTCCCCTTTTCCCTTCCTTTCCATCCTCAGCGGCTAATCAAAACAACAACAAACAGCGACAAATGGGGATTCCAATAGCTAGGAAGAGGAACTATAACAACAGCGCTAGCGTGAAGCTACCGGTATATCGTCTCTCCACGACGAGTACTGTGCTACTCCCTGGGATCTTGTACAGGGTGACTTTTGATCAGATGGATGCCTTGACGGTTATCCAGTTCTTCCGCGGGAACGAGAAAATCAACAATGTGTTGCTCTCATCGTTGAAGAAGAGTGTGTTTAGCATTGCCGAGGAGAGGCAGAAACAGCTCCAAGAGATACCAGCCATCTCGAGGGAGGCCATCGACGGCGGTCGTGAACTGAGAAAATTTCTGAACGGTGTACACACCAACGAATCCGCTTATGATTGGTTGTTGATTGGACTTGTTCCGCAGGATGGGGGCAACGTTTGTACCGTCTCTAGAATTGTTGGAATCGCTAACGATCCAAAGAACTTTGTCATCACGTTCCAAGCGCTCGCTAGAGGCGAATTACCACTCGGTAAGGAGATTGAAAATGGTGCGATGCCAGTGGAGCTTGACATTCTTGCATATTCGAACAAGGTTGAACTTGGAGAAGCATTCTTAAACGAACAGATTGCCTCGTTCAATGATAGGGCGCTGCATCTATTCTCCAGAATTGATTCATTTTTGGAATTGTTTGTATCTTCAGATACTGCGCAATCGCCTTCCAAGTCGTTTGCCCTTACATTATCCCCACTCGGGAATGCATTAAACATCCAGTTCTCTGCCGATTACAAGACAAGTGCACCAAAGTTGAGATCACTCATTGAGAGTTTCAACACTCAGATGGCAGATTATAGTGAACAGAAGAGATCAGAGAACTTTTTAAGATTGTTGGATCTAACAGTGGCCATCCTCCCAATCTCCAAATTGACTTTTCTCTCAAAGGTTGATCCATTCGAGAGAGTTGAATCATTCTTTGTCATTATTGAAGAGTTTGAAAATGTGTTCAAGGCATTAGATGGATCAGTGGATTATGTCGAAAAGTTTTATTCATCGGCTTCAGATGCTGAAAAATCCAAAATCATCTCAAACCAGTTGAAGTCTATCAAGTTGTCTCTAGACTTGATGAAACCAAAGTCATCACGTTCGTCAGCAGCGCTTCCAAGAAGTTCCGGAAATCAAGATGGAAGTGACGAAAACGAAGATATAAAGATCATTGGTCGGTTCTTGGAAAAAATACCATCTGACGTTAACCCAGATGGCGTAAAACTCTTGATGAAGGATTTCAGAAGACTTCAAAAGATGCCACCTCAACACTCTGAGTACCAAGTGTTAAGAACTTATTTTGATGTTGTCTTAGATATCCCATTTGGCCAATACGTGAACTTCGAAGAGACAGATATTGCTAAAGCAGCACAACAATTGGACGATGATCATTATGGTCTTTACCACGTGAAAAAACGTCTTTTGCAATTTCTCTCTGTATTGAAGCTACAAGACAGACAGGAAAAGTTGAAATCATCTTCATCTACACCAGATTCGAATGAGGGCCAACTAGTGCTGGGACACGAGGATGAATCAACTGCACACGAACAACCACAACCACAACTGCTGAAAAAGAGACATCAAGGTTCGAAGGCACCTATATTACTGTTTGTTGGACCACCAGGTGTTGGTAAGACTTCTTTAGCCAAATCAATAGCAACCACACTGGGACGCAAATTCCAAAGAATATCACTAGGTGGTGTCCGTGACGAATCAGAAATTCGTGGTCATAGAAGAACCTACGTGGGTTCCATGCCTGGTGTTATTGTTAGTGCATTGCGTAAGGCTGGCTCCATGAATCCAGTTATCCTTCTTGACGAGATTGACAAAGTGAGTGGTGGAACTAACAGCGGAGGAAGAGTCAGTGGAGATCCTGCTGCTGCTTTATTGGAAGTTTTGGACCCTGAACAGAATGTGAATTTCACAGATCACTATTTGGGATTCCCAATTGATTTGAGTAACGTCTTGTTTTTATGCACTGCGAATGAGCTTGCCACTATAAGTGCACCATTGAGAGATAGAACTGAAATCATCGAAATATCCGGTTATACTATGGAAGAGAAGTGTAACATCGGTGCCAAGTATTTACTGCCTAAACAGATCAAAGCCAATGGATTGCATCCGGGCGATGTTGTTCTAAACGACGAGATCTGGAAAACCGTTGTTTCTCAATACGTAAGAGAAGCAGGTGTGAGAAATTTGGAACGTAAAATTGGTGCCATTTGCCGTGGCAAAGCTGTTGAGTATGTTGAAAATGAAGCTTCTTATGATAACTTTGTTAAGGAGACAGAGCTTGTGAAATATTTAGGATTGCCATCACATCCAATTTTCAAGGATTTACTCGATAAACCTAAGTTTTCAGCAAGCTATGGTGTTGTTAATGGATTGAGTTATAATTCTGATGGTTCTGGAGGCGTGTTAGTCTTTGAGGTGATCTCGATTCCAACCAATGCCAAGGATCAAAGTTCTCCACGTACTGTTCTCACAGGTCGTCTCGGGGAGACCCTCACAGAGTCGATCAAGATTGGAATTTCATTCATCAAATCAATAATTGCTCGTAACCTGATTAGTGGCACAACTTCTGAAACGCTTTCCAACTTCAACAACTCTGAATTACACCTCCACGTTCCAATGGGAGGTATTTCTAAGGATGGTCCATCTGCTGGTATTACTATCACTTTAGCGCTGTTATCAGTGGCTCTACAACGTCAAGTTCCTTCTGACATTGCCATGACTGGTGAGATTACTCTTCGTGGTAAAGTCTTACCTATTGGCGGTGTTTCTGAAAAACTGTTAGGTGCTTCCCAATACGGTATTAAGACAGTTTTGGTTCCAAAGTCTAATCGTCGTGATGTCATCGAAGGTTTCTACAACGATGATGTGAAGCTTATGGAATTGGTCAACAACGATTCGGACGAGCCCGAAAGGCTTGTCAAGGATAAATTAGGAATTTCATTGATATACGTTGATACCTTTTGGGATGTAATCAAGGCAGTATGGGGAGATCAAGTTGTTGAACAGCACTTTGCAAACTTGTAAATAGATCACTTCTCTTCAATGAAATATTTCCAAGCACAACTCATTATGGTGACATCTCAGTAGGAAATATTTTTGGATGTGGATTTTCCTAATGCCCATTAGTCTTCATCAGATGGTACAAGTGTTCCGTGAGAGCCTGTTACAACTGCTCGACTAGCAGTATTAACTTTGTTACGAATGTCCAAAGGAAATGTGAAGCTACTTTCAGAGAGTATGTGAGCACTGCTCATCACTACACCAAGGTCCGTTGTAACACTACTTTCTGTACAGATTTCACGTGTATTCATCGGAAGCAGTGCTGCCTTGGTGACTATCAGTAACAGCAGGTTTCACACACGACTCATAACTACAAAATTTCACTTCAGATGTAACACGAATAAGAACCATCTTCTAAAACAACCTATATCTGCATATATCTGAATATATATTATGTGGTTGGATTGAAAACCAGAGACAGTGGTGTTAATTAAAATACTAACATAAAAAGCCGTCTCAAGGAAGACATCCTTATCGCAATGTACTATAGTGAGCAGCGTATCAGATTGGACACTGTATCATGTAAGACACAAGAAAGTTATATATGGTGGTAACGGTAGTGATACCCGTTATCAACCTTTCCGTGCCGCAGTTAGTACACCCACACGAGCGTATAATGAGAAGGCTGATAAAGGCATGCCCAGATGTGACGACATCAAGAGAAACAGCGACTTTCTTGGTAATGTTATTCTCTTTATAGATAAAGAAGGTTGTAGACAAAGCTAAATATGTCTTATATGAGAAGATATGATTGACAGCAGAGACCTTGAAGGAGTTACGAGGGAATATGGCAATGGAGGTCTTGAAGAAGATTCCGGGGACAAGCTAGAAGGAACACTATGTAATACGCTGGAAGACTCAGAAGACTGAAAAAAATTAGATAAATAGAGCTCACCAGATTTACTGGACGACCTATTATATTCAATTTAATTAACTGGATCAACTTCTAAAGAACTTCCTCTCAATTATTGGTTCAAGGCAGTTGCGAATATGTAAGCAGTTGTACAGTAAAAACCATACCAGTGATGGACCAGCGGGGCATTTCAAAATTTGATTCGTCACATCTCTTCTGAGTGTGTCTGAGTGATATTACTCATGGATTAATTGGTGCTACAGCGTAATGTTTCCTGCTTTCACTATATGAAGTGTGAGTCTCAAAGAGGCGTGTGCAAGCACCAACACTCAAACATCCGGACATCACATAATCATAAATATCACCACATCTGCGTCCACTTTTTATGCTTATGGAGTCGTTCAATTATGTTGAATTTATTCAACAGAGCGTGCTTTACAAAGGGTTAAGGGTTAGTGAAGAGTCATAGAGCTCAGGTTGAGGGAATATTGTAGGAATTTACAGCGTAACATGTGCCATAATCTGTGGCTGTTGGTCTTTTTATAGGGTAACAGAGGAACTGTTTAGTTGTACAATTGGCTAGCACACTGGATATAAGGATTAACAGCTCATTATTCCTTTAGCACTCGCTGGGAATCAACACCTGGGTTGTAATGCACTTGATGATCAGTTATAGTCATTGCTTTTACTGTAATTTTGGCCTCCCCAATGAGAAGATATCACAACTGTGGTTTCACGTAGTTTGTCTTCGATCGACAAATATTACAGTGATGGTTCGTACGTGGTCGCAAAAAGGTACAGAATGGGATAACAAAGCTCCACTGTAATACGATTCTGATGTAGTTACTCAAATACATGATAAAGCCACCGCATTATTATTCCCAACTACTTAGAGATATAAACTGAACGTCTCCCGTCATGGTCAGAAGTATGAGCCTCACGAACTGAAAACAACAGCTCCAAGATGTTTTCTTTGAAAGAAGAGACAGCAGTTGAGAACAGAGAGTTGAAAACATCTGACTGTGAAGTTCATAAAACTATCAAGACCAAAGATGCTGATGTATCTCTCCGGTTGTTTGAAGAGTATGAATCCCAAGCTGGTGAACTGACCCCAGAATTAGAGAAAAGGATTGTGATGAAGCTATGGTTAACTGTTTTCCCCATAGTTTTCCTGGTTAACTTCATGCTATTCCTCGATAAGAATGCAGTGAGCTATGCTAAATTATTGGGAATGTTTGAAGACTTAGATTTGGACCAACAAAAGTACAGTAATTTACAAACTTTCCTCTATTTGGGATACTTATTAGGATAGATTCCATCACATTTGATCTTTCAAAAGATTCCTCTAAAGTATTACGTCTCGGGTGCCACTTTAATCTGGTCCTTTTTAACTCTGATCCATTTAACATGTCAAAACTACAGTCAACTGGCCGCTGTAAGATTTCTGCTGGGACTTTGTGAGTCTGGTGTTACACCTTGTTTGGCACATACCATTGCAATGTGGTTCACTCCGGAGGAACAAGCCATAGTGGCACCTGTATTTTGGATATCATCATCAGGACAAGGTCTTTTCGGTGGTCCTATTTCTTATGGAGTTCAATTTGTCCAAGGTGTTAGTCCATGGAAGGTCTATTGGTCTATAATTGGTGTACTGATGTTTGTCGTTTCCATGTCATCATTGCTTTTCTATCCGAGCAATCCTGCTTCATTCTGGATCTTTACACCAGTTGAAAGGGTCCACATTATCAAGAGAATTAAGTCAAAGACCAATTCTTCAATTGAGCAGAAAGTTGTTAAAAGAGAACAAATCGTGGAAGCTTTGAAGGATCCAATCACTTGGCTATTCTTCTGGTTTGTGTTCTTCAACATGTTTTCAAACAACATCAGTTTCCAATCTACAATCATCTACAAAAACTTGGGGTTCAGCAATTTACAATCAACTTTGGTTGCCATTGCTTCAGCTGGATATTCCACTGTTGCAGCAGTTATTGGTTCGACAATACTATCGCAGTATAAGGCGCAGTCAGCTCATGTTGGAACAGCCTTTCTCATCATTGCACTGTTGGGTTGTATCTTAGCAATTGCGTTGCCATTGAGCCAATCGTATGGCATTCTTGCCGGTACATTTTAACGCATTCCAACTCAGTGACGTTCACTGCAGTATTATCATGGTGCCAATCCAGTGCAGCTGGCTACACCAAGAGACTAGTTAGAAGTATAGTGTGGTCAATTGGATATGCTGTAATGAACATGCTGGCACCTCAATTCTGGAGGCAGCAAGATCAACCTCGGTATTACATGGCGTGGGGGTTAATCATCGCATTTATCTGTGTTCTGTCACCGTGTACACTTCAGCTGATTCGTTTCATCCTGAGTCGAAGAAACAAAGAAAGATTACAGTTATTGAAGGACATTGCGGACAATAGAGTTGAAGATACTACAGGGTTTGTTATTGAAATCCATGATGACGGGAATGAGGTTAAGAAATCTGTGGACATTTCAATGTTAGACCTAACAGATTTACAGAACAAGAAGTTTATTTATCCTTTGTGAAGGGGCTCCCATTTTGAGATCTTATTCCACTCTATCTTCAACCTTTTCGGAGTATGATTTCTCTTGTTCATCTGTGACCTGTTCACCTTCTAAGTTCTTTACGCAGTAGTCAACAACGTATTGCAAGCTGCTTTTATCCTCCTCTCTTCCCAGAACACTTATGGTGTTGAAGCCCTGGCCCATATGTGGATAGCTTCCAATTTTGATGTCATTACCAACTTCTTTCTGTAGTTTACTTAGATGTGGAGCCATTGCTGACTCTCTCAAAGGTGTCTTGACAAAGTATCTAATAAACGATTTACTGATGATTCTCGTACCCTTGAAGGATTCTATCAAAGAGTCCAACAGCTTTGTGAATAGCTGTGGAACTCCTGGAAGGACATAGAACCGTTCGTTCAGGCCAACGACAGGGACCCATAGGTCATCTCTTAAAAAGATCACATCAACATTATCACCCTTTGGGAACGTTGCCATGCGCAATTGTGCCTTTCTAGCATCTCCTTCGTGTTGTATGTTCTTCTGACTCAACCTGGCCATTCTCTCGGCAGTCTCCTGATGTAATTCTGTAGGCAGCTTGAACGCACTAGCCAACGAGTCATAAGTGATATCGTCATGGGTTGGCCCAATACCACCGCTGGTCACTACAAAGTCATATTTCTGCATCAATTGAACCGCATTGTGGATCTCCAGCTCATCATCGGGAACCACCAAGATCCTCTTACACTCAACACCCAGTGAAAACATCTTCTGGGCAAAGTAATACGAGTTCGTATCGTGGATCTTCCCGTTAAGGATCTCATCTCCAATGATCTAGAAAGCCGTTATTACTTGTGACAAACACATCAATCGTCGCCTAAGACTTACAATTATGCCTGCAGTGGCTATACGGTTCATCTTAATACTCTGCAACCCAACGTTTCGAGCCAATTGACCGTACATCTCTTGCTGATGTCTCCCAAATGTCTATGGCATGTCCGGGAGGAAGTGCAAGCGGACAAATGAGGACTTGCAAAACGAGTTCGCGGGACATTCGGGACAGGACAAAAACAAAGAAGTTCCGGAATGTTCGAGAAGGAATTCCGGCCCTCATCGAATAAAATTTCACCGATGCACTTGATCAAATATTCATGAAAAAACGTATAAAAAGCACTCTTTTACACAGGTTTTGACCCATTTCCTTCAGTGATTTCAGTGATTAAAACACTACAACGAGATGAGTTTGAGTAACTTCGATGCGGAGAACGCCGATAACCTGGAAGATATCGAGAAGCAGTTCGCAGTGAAAGCTGTGCACCAGGCTGAGACATATTGGACGTTGTTGACCAAGATACCGGGGTCAAAGATCAAGCTTACGAAATACGACGACGAGATCTACGACAAGCTGCTGGAGGAGTTCCCGGAGTTCAAGGACCCGGACTATGCGAGAAGCATCGATGAAGAGAAGATGAAGTCGCCGGAGGGTAAGGCCAAGTGGAGAAAGTTCTGCGATTCCTTCAACAAGATTGAGGACTATAACTTTGGTACTCTGTTGAGAACGAGCTCTAGCGACGAGTATGGTCAAGAAACCACCATATTTGTCGTTAGAATCCAATTCTACGCTGTTGAGATAGCAAGAAACAGAGCCGGTTTGAACGATTGGATCCTGGGTAAGGAGTAAGTACGTTTTGTAATGCATTTTTTTCATTGTTATACAGCTGTAGACGTAAGTTCTAGTGTTTATGGTTATGGACAGAGCCATCACTGTGAGTGTGGGTATGGCCCAATTCCTGCTCCACCTTGGCTGCCTCCTCTTGCTCCTCCTCGACTGGTTCAGGCTCAGGCTCACCGACAAATTCGATAAACACCTGTCTCAGGTTATCAACCTCCAGCATCAACTGCTCCTTGATATGAGCAGATACGATTTCGAACTCGCTGATGGTCAGCACGTTGTCCCATCTTTGCAGTGGAGCCTCGAGGACCACCTTAGCGTGGATATTAGGGCCTGAGGTTAGAAGAATCAGCTCCTTTATGGCATACGGTTTCTTGGAGTTGTTATTGGACAGGATCTTTGACAGCAGCTCTTGAAGCTTACTCTGAACGTTGAGGTATCTTGGATCGTTCTCTGGGATCGATCTGTCAACGAGCTCTGTGATAGCAGTCACCATTCCCTTCCAGCCTGCCTTGACAACCAAGGCAGAGACGATCAACCCACCAATGGCATCCAAGGAAGTGATCCCGAAGAAATAACCAGACGTAATAGTGACCAGGGCCACAAGTGAGGTCAAAGAGTCCACTCTATGATGCCATGCGTTGGCTAACAGCACCTTCGAGTTGGTCTCCTTGGCAACCTTTGAGGTGGCTCTGAAAATCCACTCTTTGGCAACGATGGATGCACCTGCAATCCAGGCAGCGTTGACATTTGTAACATCCGTGACAGCACCGTGGGAATGGCCATGGCCTGAAGATAGCAGGTGGATATGGAAATGGTTCAAGGTGTCGATGATGGTGTGTGGAATGACAGGCCCCACAATACTAACCAGGGAAGCCCAGCCTATGGAAACACCAGCCATGGTCAGGATCGACGACACCGCAAGCGAACCAACGGTCTCAACCTTACCGTAGCCATAAGGAAATGCCTTATCAGGGCTTCTGGTGCTCAGTCCAACGGTCCCCAGGGTCAAGAAGTCCGAAACCAGGTCGCTGATGGCGTGAACAGAATCAGCCATCAGTGCCTGAGAGTGGAACACAACACCACCGGTGAACTTACCAATCGCCATACCAACGTTGACCAGCAGGCCTATCCACGTGATGCGGACACCCGGGTTCTCAAAGAACGCCTTCCTGTCCAGCACCAGCAGCCTGTTAGGACCGTGAGAGTGGTTATGGTCGTGTCTCAGCACCTGGCCAAAGGTGAACACGTCGTTCTTCTCAGTCTCGGATTCCCTCAGGTGCACGTGGTCGTGGTCCATGTCGTCTGGGAACGCTTCGTGCGAATGGCCATGCGAATGGGAGGCTGCTGGAGCGTGTGAATGGCCGTGTCCATGAGCATCATGAGCATCTTTCAACTCCGCACGGATATGGCTAGAGACACCGAACTGGCGATGCGCCAATGCTCCGGCGGCGAGCCGTGGGAAGATGGCGATCGGAGCTCTAAGTCTCCTTGGAGAGACAACATGGAGTCTAAGCATTGGAGAGCGGTTCTTCCAGTGGTCAAAGAGCGTGAAAGTGCGGAAGAAAGAGGAAGAAGAGGAAGAAAGTGGAAGAAAGAGGTGGGAAACAAAGAGAAAAAGTGCTAAACTCCATCGGAATTTGGACACACGACGGAATTTCCGCGGGGGAAAGCGCGGCGGGTGGAGAAGTCCTAAACGGGAAAGGTTACGAGCACGCGTGGGCAGAGATTTTGCGGGGGTGTTTTCGGAGTTAGTCGGGGTTAACGGAGCGCCGCTCGGAGTTGAAACCTGCTCTGTGACGGTTCCACCATAATGTTTCGGCAGTTTGATAGTAACAGGGCACTTGGGGGCCAGGTTAGTGTGTGTGTGTAGCTCTGCTGGGCTGGCGTGGGTGCTCGGCAGTGGGCTGTGTGCTTGTTTGGAGCTCGTGGGATGCGTGGGCTGGGGTAGCTGTGCTGAGCTGGAACGGGTTTATGGGTGATGACCTCGTGTGTGGTTTTGACGGAGTACGAGGATTTTGAGAATTACGCCGATTCGTTGTGAAATGGTGGGTTCTGGTGGTTGTTCATGGTGGTCTACAAGTGCTGTGGAGTGTACACGGTATGTGCTATGTATTTTAGTCTGTTTTGGCGGATGTCTGTGGAGCTGTGGCCTGAGGGTTGTGTTCAGCCTGCGTAGCGTTGGTCTCTGCTTTCTCTGTAGCATTGGTGGTCTCTGTCTTCGTAGCATTGGTATCAGCCTGCGTAGCATTGGCCACCTCTGCCTTCTCTTCACCAGTGATCTCTCTTGGAGCCACCTCGTTGGAACTCACTCCACCTGTTTTACTCAAATCGACATTTATGGCTCCCTGGACACTATCAGTACCACCAACGTCATCAAGCGAAGACACAGCGAGGAGCTGCAATGGTAACCCATTGGTTGAGGCGACATTGCTGGTTGACGCATTCTCTTCACTACCAACAGAGTTATTGGCAGTCGACACATTCACGGAGTTCATGTTCGATTTTGGCTTGCGTCTCTGAGTCTTGTTACTGCAATCGATATTCGGTGGAGGTCCATCACAGAAGGGATCTAATGCCCATGTCAATTGGCGTAATTGATTGTACTCGTCCAGCAGCAACACAGAGGCACCTTCAAGTTTCCGTAGGTAAAATCTGACTTTGGCAACGTCTGTTTCGTTAACTATCAGACCATCTTCCCAGGTGAAAGCTTCATGAAGGAAACTTCTAAATTTCAAACCATCATTCGCTATATCGCTCAACACATCGAGTTGATCCGGGTTCAAATCACCAAATGATCCCAAGTTCACAACTTCCTCAACGTCTTCCAGCTTGGGACAGTTGAACTCCCTTGGTACTGGGACATGGTAATCACAAATTGGACAAATGTAGTTCTCAACCTCTTTCGACTTACCACGTCCAAATTTTAGACATTTACAATGGTACCATTCTTGACAATGTTCACATGCAATCATAACACCACTTTCAGCACGACGACAAACACAATATATGGAGTGGTCCTCTTCCTTGAGATTCGAGTGATATTTATCCTCAAGACTGAGTGCAATCGAGTTCTTATCCCGTAAATCAGACAGATGCTGCTTCATCATTGCGAAGGGAGAGTTGATCTTACCAAACAGTTTCTTCATGGACCTCCACCAATCCTCAGCTTGCTTCAAGGGCGAGTCAAAGGTCAAGAGACGTTCACTCGGTTGAAACTCTTTTGCCCTGTCAATAATATCCTTAGAAGAACTGTACAATGGTCTGGGATCAGATGAAGAACCGTTGAAGGTATTCAGAAGCTCATTGTATACCTGTACATTGAAAGTTGGATCACCACGAGATTTCTTCAGTTTTTCATCTCTCAAATTGCCCAATAATGTTTCATTATCCTTCAGCACTTTGAATAGATTCTCCAGTTTATCTTGGTAGTCATTGCGTGTCTGCTTGACAAGCTCAAGTTTATCAACAACTTCCTGGTACAAGGGAACATGATCCAACGACTTCAATAGAACATTGATCTGCTCATATGACGTAGACGGGTTGTTCAGCTCCACTAGTGCACGTTGGCACCACTGTCTTCCATTATTAACCCTGTTTTCCAGGTATTTCACCTTCAAGTTATCAGAAACACCGCAAACGTCATAGCCTTCATCTAGGAGCGATTCAAGTTCCTCCAAGCTTTGACCTTTAGAAGAAGCTTCGTATCGTTGTAACCATCCTAACCTCAAAAGAATTCTCTCCAACAGGGCAATGGAATCCAATCTGACACCAAATGACTTACCAAGATCGATCATATCCTTGAATTGCTCAATTGACGAGCCCTCGGTAAGCAATAGAGAGCGAACAGAAGCTTCATAAGTGGAGATTTCATTGGCAAGTTCCAGGATTTGTTCGATTTCTGGACAGGTGAAGCTCAAGTCCGATATTGAAACAACCAAACTCCTCAAATCTTGCAAGTCATACTGAATCTTGAAGTCACTATCTTCAGTCTTTGTTCCCTTCCTATTACGGATTCTATTCTTTTGTTTGGCATTCAAAATCAACTGTGCTTTGTCCACCCATTTATCAGCATCTTCTAAGTACTCTCGCAAGGTTTCAGCTTGCGGGATATCTCTCAAGACTTGTTCGCTCTCAGAGTATAAGGCCTTTAAAGATTTAAGCGGTGGTTTAGAGTCAGATAACAACAGGTTGTTGAACTTTTCAACCCATTCTTCCGGTGTCTGGCTCAGTGCCAGCATTGTTCTTTGTATGGTTCTGAGCTTCTCATCAGTGTAATAGACGTGCAGTTCTAACTTCATTCCATGAGGATTAACGACTTCTTTTGGGATTGGAGAACGGCTGTCAAAGATAATTGGCATTGAATTTGGAGCTTTGACGACAACTTTTGTAGGGAAAGTTGAGCTTAGCGAATCATCAGAGATGTAGTCGAACTTGTTGGTGATCAGCTTCATCTCAGATTTGTAATTTGCACGAATAGCCATCTCTTCGTCGATCAAAGAGTCCAAGTGAGGTGAAACGATTCTCAACAACTCTGGATCCTTTGATTCCTCAACAATGTTTGTCAGCAATTGGAAGAAGGAGAAACTTGGGACGGTGTTTGTCAGTGGGTATCTAGTGTGATCGGCAATGTTTATCCAATCCTTTGGGAATATTGGCACGGATTCTGTAACGTTTGGACCCAGGGAGATCGACATAGCATACGATTTGGGGAATTTGACGATGAATTCACCAGGATTTGACACTTGACAATGACAAGTTATACCATTTTCCTTTAAGAATTTGGGTGATAGAACCAAATTAGGATCAAAGGGACGTAGGTTTCTCTTGAAGTTCCACGAACACTCTGTGATTTGAGGACCATTATCAAATTCACCCCCTTCGTTAAGGCAGTCAATCAAATCTTGCTTTAAGCCTTCACTGACTTCAATCCCACTAAGATCAAAAGAATGTGAGTTTGAAACTTTGGATAATTTCTGTAACAGTTGTTCATATTTATCCTTGTCACTCGGATCTATGAAATACCACACTTTAGGAGCTCCCCAATGGTGGTATTCGCATAGATAACCATCGTGATCTTGCAATGAGAAATTCACCACTTTGTAATGAGAACCAAGGCTTATTCTTGGTGTCGTGAGGTTCTCCAACTCATTGGGCAGATAGCACAGCAAGTTATTCTTATTCAGTGCCATGTTGTTCAAGTTCCAAGGATGGAATACACTGCTTTTCAAGTCCTGCTTTTCTGAAGCCATCTCAAGTTGTGGAAACAAGGATATATGATAAGGCAAAGAATATACCGGGATGTTTATCGATTCCAACGTCTTTGTATGGAACTTATCCCAGTATTCTTCGTCCGACGTGGAAGTTGTTACTGATTCCTTACAGAACTCTGCAAAGGTCTTTGCATCACCAATAGTTTCAAGTTCGGAAACAGGCGAATCCAGGACTTCTTTGCCTCTATGCCAATAGTAGAAGTCATAATGAGGGTAAGTTGCCGGGTCTCTTGTTGTGATACCCATCTTCTCCTGGGTCCATGATTCGAAATTTGTCCTCAAACCTTTAGATTTAAGGATATCAACTGGAGAAAGACGAGTTGGTGAGCTATTCGACAAGCGTAGATAAAAGTCACTCCCAGGCTCTTGTTTCCTTTTACATGGGTCATCGTGAGTCTCCATTGGCCGTTTGTTCGTCTCATTCTTGAGATCAGAAGGTTCACCAGTAGATGTTTCCCCCTGATCAGCTCTCTTCAATGTCGCATCGTATGGGCTCAGCACCTTGAGATAGGCAGCCTTCAAAGAGGTTGATAACGATGTCATTGTTCTGGTATAACCAAGCTCTCTGCCTATCTGGGCCCATTGCTTTTGACGACAGACCAAGTCAAACCCACCTCTTTCATTCACGAGTTTCCAAAGGTTGTACAAGTCTATTGCCTTCTTATCGATTGTTGGGAATCGTCCAGACGTATAGCATTGAGCCAGCGTTCTATAGAACTCCATCCTAGTCTCATCATTGTGAGTACTTAATGACTGTGCAACCGTCACTATTGGGATCCTATCCAACATCTCTTCACGGAAGGAAAGCTTCCAAGACTGTGGAGGGACAATCTTCACTCCACCATGCTCAGTGGACCGTCTCAACTGTTGAATCGTATCATAGGGATCATTGGCGAACGTTGAATCGTCTAAGTGCACCTGATCCAACATTGGATATCCTCTCCATTGGTCAGCTTCTGAAGAAGTAGGAGCCGTATAACCAGCACCATCGGGAAAGTTTGTTGTAGCCATTTCTTCTCGATTAGCAGCTTAGAACTGTAGCACAGAGAAGGGTATACGGAACAGATAGTGGGAAGAATATAGCCTTGGCCGAAAAAAAGGAAGATGAGGAAAAAACTCTTCATGAGAGACATAATGTATTTATGCTGGGGTATCTCGGGAAGCGCTCGCGATATGAGTACATTGATAGCACCGCTGGAAAGCCCTTATTCTCTACATCTGGACTATGTAAATTATAGTATATGATTATTTATAAAAACTCGCATAAAACACACTTTAATGATATCGAAATTATCAACATGAGCCTCTTACCACTTGGACCTCTCTCATTCCCCAAAAGGGTAAATTCCGGCATTTGCCCTCGGATTATATTCTTTCTATTCCGAGGGTACTCCGGAAGTTACCCGTTACAGCGAATTTCCGGTAAAAGGGCAACACTATCTGCCTTCCTCTTCGTGGTTGCCAGGCCCACCATCGGGGCATAATACAAACCATTAAAGCTGCCTAAAAGAGCTGTTGCCCTCGTAGTTGAACTGCTTGCTCGTTGAAAAGGCCAAGTTGGAAGGGTCCAGTGCGAAGAGATTGATATATAACAGGTTTTACTACGGTGATGAGCTCTGCTAGCAAGAAGAAGCTTCTGCTTATGGTTAGTACTTCTAATCTCATTTCGACCAGTGAAATGGTTGGTACTAATACAGGGACTAGGGAAGAAGTGGCTCTGGTAAGTCGTCGATGCGTTCCATCATCTTCTCGAACTTCTCAGCGTTCGACACTCGTCGTTTGGGTGCGACGATTGACGTTGAGCACTCCCATTTCCGATTCCTGGGTAACATGACTCTGAACTTATGGGACTGTGGTGGACAGGACGTATTCATGGAGAACTACTTCACGAACCAGAAGGATCACATCTTCAAAAGGGTCGAGGTGCTGATCCATGTCTTTGACGTTGAGTCCAAGGAGGTTGGTAAGGACATTGAAATATTCACCAAGTCTCTGAGCCAATTGCGAGAGTTCAGTCCCGATGCCAAAGTGTTTGTTCTATTGCACAAGATTGACCTTGTGCAAGTTGAAAGAAGAGAGGAGCTGTTTAAAATCATGATGGCAAAGTTGCAAGACGTGAGTAACCCATATGGGTTCAGACTCACGGGCTTTGCTACGAGTATTTGGGATGAAAGTCTCTACAAGGCCTGGAGTTCCATAGTTTGTACGTTGATTCCAAATATGGGACAATACGAGCTCAACTTGACAAAATTACAGGAGATTATTGAGGCCCAGGAGATTATCCTCTTTGAAAAGACAACTTTCCTAGTGATATGCTCCAGTAACAACGGTAAGAGTGCCGGTCAGTTGACGAATAAAGAAGGGTTGGACCCAAAGAGATTCGAAAAGATTTCAAATATAATGAAGAACTTCAAACAGAGTGCAACAAAGCTGAAGTCTCAGTTCAAGACCCTCAACTTGAACGATAACCTCTTTATAGTGGAATTAAGCTCCAACCTCATGATATTCGTTGTTATGACCCCACAGAAGTCTGCAAACGATGCAGGACTCATACAAGAGAACATCAAAAGGGCACGAGTCCACTTCCAATAGATCTAATTGACATCACTACATTATCTAAAGTTTCATCAAGTTTCAAATTTGGGCCGATATAGTTGGAATAAAAAAATGGCTAGCACTTAGTCATGTTCATAGCAGTAGAGCACCTTAGAGGTTACGGTTGATGTCCTTCTGACCTTCCTCAACACCTCTGTCGAATCCCTTCTGGGCCATCTCTTGAGCTTGGCTCTGCATTCCACCCTGACCAGAAGTTTGGGAACGAGTTTGACGACCAGCCTTGGAACCACTCATACGACCAGCGTTCATGTCGTCGTCATCCATCTGGGACATACCAGATCTTTGTGTGTTGCCACCCATAGACCCAGCACCCATGGAACCGGCTTGACGAGAGCCATATTGGTTATCGTCATCCATACGCATTCCTGAGCCTGCTTGGCGAGATCCAAACTCATCTTGATCACGGGAGCCAGTAGAGAACTGTTGGTTACGACCACCAGCAGAGCTCAAGTCTTGCTGACCAGAACGGCCAGAGCTACCCATTTGTCCCTGTTGACCGTGTTGACCAGATTGGTGTTGGCCGTGACGTTGGGTTTCGTACTCATCGGATGCATCAGAGTGATCTTTACCACCGAGCTTGTTAGAGATTTTATCAATGAAGTTGGACATTATTTGTATAGAGACTTTTTGTAAGAGCAGTTTCCTGATCGAAAGGACATAGATAAATATTTGTCAATTGACACCATTCGTCTCCCTTTTATAGACCTGGAGAGGCTTTGACGTTTGCCATGGACATTGGTAAGCCTTGGTCTTGGTTGCTCTTCTCTCCTATATTTCAACCCATAAACCTCTCTAATTCACCTGGAAATCCCAAAAAGAAAAGACCTATGTGGGTTAAATTGAATCAAGAGAATGCTTCAAACCATTTGAAAACATCTTTAATTGTTATTTTTGGGTTTCACTTTGATAGGCCTCGTCTTGATGAAGTTTCATAGCCCTCTTTTCCTTGCTAAGTCCAACTATTATGCATGTTTACACAACCGAGACACATTATCAAATCGTACATATGAAACAGGGGGAAATGAGCAATCCAAATGTCCCCTTTCTCCCCAAGGCAAGGGGATGATATGATACTGATGACAGAGGAAGCTTAACTCGTGAACCCATGTACTAGTCATTGCCAATTTCATCGTCTGCATGATGATGATAGTACTAACCAAGTAGGATAACTACTGGCTTAATTTGGACCTAGAATCAGGACGAGGAGAGTTAAAATATTAGCAAATAAGTGAGCTGACTATAGCATGCCAATTGTTATTAGTTCTAGAACTAAACAAGGACACGTGTGGCCTTGAATACTACGCCTCTTTCTGGCTCGTAACAGCCTATGCATATCGTCACTTGACACATAGAGCAAACAAGCAATTTAGCCATACTCCTCCCAGTAGCCAAATTGGAGCAACTTTTCTTGCATATTGTTTGAGAACATCGGATCCTAGCTCATACCGGCAGGTTTACTTGATCAATTGGACACAAGTTGTCAGTTTGACTTGAAGTTGATATACTCCACTACGAACTACCCCAGATTTTAGCAAATGATATCAAAAAAATATTTCGAAATTGTACGGCATTCACCACTGGCAAATCCTCCTTAAACACTGTGAAATTATTCTAGAGCTGAAACTGAAAGGTTTCAGTTGCCCCCTAAACCAACTTTATCACCTACCTTTTGGCCCTGGTCTTTAACCTTGTTAAGTTGCTCACTAGCGTTATCCTTTGCTTTGGAAACATCAGTACCACCCGCAACACCCCCAAAGTTTTGGCCTTGATCCTTAACAGTGTTTTCAACCTTTGACTTAATGTCACTCATTGTATATATTTATTTCTCTGTTTTGTTTTTGCTCAGCAGATACGTAGAGGTGTTGAAGATTTGGTTTTAAAGCCTTTATATAGTTGACTTCGCAGAGCAACCAATGATCCATTGTTGCTCTTGCTAATGCCCTAATCTTGGGGTTATAGAACAGAAATTACGAAAGAGAACGTGATATGGTTGGAAGTGTGCAATAAACTTGTGACATTATAAGGCTATGTACAAAGTTTATAACAGTTGCGGTTTTCTGAAAGAGAGCAAATACTGGTTTCTTGGGGCAGATTGTTGCTACAAGCCATTATACATACAGATTTGTATTTCAAACGTCATAAGTGTGTACCTAATCAAAATTTACCGAAATCATTTCTTCTTCAGCTTCTTCTCATCCTGCTTTTGCAAGTTTTGGTTTAGTTCACCTTCTTCCAATTTCAATTCCCTTTCACCATCGTGGCCTTTAGCGGCCCATTTGGAAACACTTTGACCACCTGCAATTCCTCCAATGTTCTCACCGTCGTCCCTTTCAATCTTCTTAATCTCTCCTTCAATCTTTTTCTCCTCTTCCTGTAGCTTCTCAGACTTGTATTCCTTTAAATAGTCCTTCATGGTGTGACAATGTTAACCAAACTTGACAAAACTACAATCGAGGTGAAAGATGTGAACGGGTTTATATTGTTTTAAAGCAGAAGGACTTAGCACACCCAAATCAATACGGCAAATACGGTTGTAACACCTCATTTACCATCAAGTATTAATCTACACTTTAGCAGATAAAAGGTATGAAATTGGTTAAAGTGCATAACATATTCATTCCGTTGTAGCCTTGCTAGCAGTATCTTTGGCAGCATCATTCATCTTTCCACCATTTTTCAAAGCATCATCCTTTGTCTTGGAGCCACCAGATGTAAAGTTTTTACCATGTTCCATGATATTCTTGGAGAGCTCTTCACCTTTTTCCATAGCTTTCTTCGTGAGTTCGTTAATTTGGTCCATAGTTAAAAGTCGGTGTAGGCTACAACCACGAACCAGGGGAAACCAAGAAAGAGAAGAAGTCAACCAACATCAGTCCTTATATACTTGTCACCAATTTCACCATGGGCTTGGTAGCCTCCCAAATTATAAATTTAAACATTAAAGTGTATTCTCTGGATTAAAATATGCATCATCTATATTGTGCATTAAAAAAAGCTAGAAGTTGGAATAGTGAAATCTCTCCTCTGATAGAGTGAGCTCATCCCATGGCTGTTGTAGTGACTTTAGAAATTGTAAAGAAGTTTCTGCATTGTCCAACTTTGATAACAGATAAATCAGTTTCAATTCTATATCATCCTGTTGAAACAACAGTCTAATATTTGCATCTTCTCTGTGCTTCAAGAGGTCTTCAACAAGGCTTTTAGAATGTCTTAACGCTTTTAGCACCTTTTCTCCATCTTCTGGAGAATAGTGGTAGTCTTCACTTGCACTAATGCCTTCATACCACTTTTCATCGTTGTACAGAGATGAATCGTTATTAACATCACTGGGTTGAAACTTGTTGAGCTGGGGAAGTTTACCACCTAATTTCAAAGTTTCCAAAGGTGAGACTGCAGGTGTGAGTAAATATGGAATTCTCAACTTTAACAAACGATCATCGTCCAAAGATGCAGAAATTGACGTGGCATCATCTGCAATCAAGGGAAGTAGTGGCTTGGAACTGTTACACGATATTTGGAATGGAATGGCTGGTGTAGTTTTACTACCCGCACTCTTCAAACTTGCTAAATATCTCAACTTTTCACTTTCTGAAACATGGCATTCGAACAACCCTCCAACCCATGTGTTTGGAGAGTACAATGTTTTATTCCTCAGTGAATATTTCTTTCTTCTAGCCATCTTGAAACATTTCAATTGGTTAACGTCATCCTGTGTTAGGTTGTTGTACGAAATCACTTTTAGGTCTTGTAATTTGGAAACCAATGAACCCTGTGTATGCTCCACGAGCTGTCCATCTCGACTCAATTGTTCCAATAAATCTTGTAACTTATCACTAAGGGACCTTGGTTCTAAGCTCAAGACCTGTGGTGGTTTGGCAAGTGGGTTTCTTGAATGAGGCAATTTTGGAAGGTCACTGAGTGAAATGTTTCTATATCTGGGCTTCATATGCTTCTTCGGGTCATCAACGACTATTCTCCTTTCACTAAAGAAACACATTGGCATCCCCCATGCCACATCTGCCTCATCACCAGTTCCAGAGATCGTTTGTGCCTCCAACTCACCTTTATCGCATTGAGATGAGGACATGTATCTGCGGACTGAATCGTCTCTGAAAACGACTTCTCTGAGTAGTTTCAATCCTGTATACGGAATCCACGAAGTGCTCTTCTTTGTAGCTGAAGTCACATCACAATTATCAGGTGTATAGTCTGCAGTTATGAGCGCTGTTGACAAGACTGACAACATTGGTATCACAATTAAGAGTTGTTTCACAACTAAGAGCTGTTTCTGTTCGAGTTGAAATAGTCTCATGGCAATAGAAGAACAATCAACGCAGATATGACAAATAACCGATACACCGTTTTGATAAAGAACCTAATCATACTAACTAGCAAAAATACAGAGGAGGAGGAGGAGGAGGTTTTTGGAATAATCTAACGATAATCTATCTACTTTTGTGATGTTTATAGCAGTTACAAGTGGCACAAAGACTTGCCATGCCAACTGTACAAGCGTGTTCTACACCACAAATTGGGCCAGTTCACCATTGCTTTTACACAAGAGAACGGCATCATGGACATTGGAGGAGTAAACACACAGAAGAATATATCATTAATCATTAAGCAAAGTATCTGAATTAATTAGAAAACAACACACACATAACACATGACATAAATAAAGGCGGTGTGATAACCGACACGGGCATAAAACAAGAATCATCAAGGGTTCAATAACCGTTTAACATTTGTGATGGTCTGGGCCAAGGTTGATTCATTGACTTGGCATTCGAATTTTATGAGAAACAGTAGAGTGATTTCCAGAGAAAGCAGGTCCTTAGCATTGACGCCTCCCATCTTTGCAATGAACAGCTGTCTATGGTTTATGTCCTCCAAAGTTTTGCAACTGATCCGTATAGCAGCGATGATCAACCTGTGGACATTTAGGTTAGTCAACTTGACGAGTTTCAACTCGACAGCTACTCTATGGATGTAATAGGCCGTGGCCAGATATGTTGCCGTTGAGAACTGGCAGTATTGGTGGATCCTTTCCAAGTAGGAGGTTGCTGAAATGTTAGGATCAAATTTAAGGTCAAACCTCTTCGCCAGCCGTTGTCGTTGGCCAAGTTCTGAAGATGGCGATGGTTCCTCACTCAACACAGCTTCGTGTTCACCTATAACCAACGTTTCACTACCTTCATCAGACCACCGGCGTTTCTTCGGTGACAGTGGGTTCTCTTCTTCTTCCTCATCTTGGCTAGCTTCGGAACAGTTGCTTTCAATCACCAGTTCTGTTTCATCTTTCAAGTCCATGAGCCTCTTGATGAGCGAGTCCAGCAGCGCAAGCGCAGTCAACGGCTCGAGCGCATTCACATCCAGAGTCTTGTTGTCATTGTTGTTCAGAGCCTCTGAGATGTCCACTTGGTCCAGTTTGGGACAGGCTGGTGGAGCCATGGGCGAGGCAGGCCGGGAATGCTGCTGCTGCTCTTGATGCTGCTGCTCTTGATGCTGTGGTTGTTGTGGCTGCGGAGCATCCACAAATGTCTCTGTAGTTCTAATCCTGAGCGGGATATCGTCCATCGTTACTTGTTGAAAACGACTAGCACCAAATCACCAAAGCACACTGGAAACAGCACAACCAGCAAGAACAAACGTCTCAACGATAAACACTCTCTGGAACTAAAATATCTGGGGTAACAAATGGCCTATACGTATGTTCCTCTAGCAACACACGACACGCAGGGATACAGTCCAGGTAACAAACACGTGAGCAATGAAGTAATCAAGTGAGTGGGACGAACTTGTGGCAAAACTCACACCTCAAGGCACTGAAATGGAGGCAAAAAGTGGCGATAAAAGTATTCAAGTTAGTCCCCGGAAACATTGAACACTCATGAAAAAACAAAACAAGCAAAGGCTCACACACACACCAAAAGAAAAACAGAAAAAGCGTTCACAAGTTTTTCCGAAAAACCGCCGGGGCAAGGAAAGACGGTTTAGTTTAGCCGCAAAACCACCGGTTTTGATACAACCGGAACAAATTCTTACGTCTGGGCTTACATAAGCACACACTTCTCCAACCAGATCGCGCTCGCTGCGAAATTTCCCTCCTTTTTCGAATGAGCTGGTTTCTTCGGTTTTGTGGTTTGTTGTTTTTTTTCTAAAGGGGATCGAGGAAATTTGGAATTGAACAGAACATCAACAACGTCAACCCAGAAAAAAGACACGACACCGGGCGGTTAAAACAGAGAAATCAACAACAATAACAGCAACAGCGGCAACAAGAACCACATTTGTTGCGTAATTCATCACAGCTTTCCAAAGATACCGAGTCAGGAGATTAAGCGCTGTGGTCAATTCCCGTTTGTGTGTGTTTGAAGCGTTTTATAAGGAAACAAAGAGAAAAGCTCCCACGGAGTCGCTGTGCCCCCCTTTTGATTTAAGCCGAGTTTAAAAACCATGCTGTTGGACGTTAAAGTGAGTATTACGGGACCGTGGGCCTCCTATCCTTGACCAGTACTAACACCGCCCTGAAGAAACAATTCAGCTCGCGTACCGCCAGGGTGAAAGGGATCGATTTCCACCCAACGGAGCCTTGGGTATTAACGACTCTGTACTCTGGGCGCGTGGAGATCTGGTCGTATGAGACAGGCGCAAAGATCAAGTCGATCGACGTCACTGAGGTGCCGATCCGTGCCGGCTGCTTTGTCGCTAGAAAGAATTGGATTGTTGTCGGTGCAGATGATTTCCAAGTTCGTGTTTACAACTTCAACACTGGTGAGAAGATCACACAGTTCGAGGCACATCCAGACTATATCCGTTGCATTGCAGTACACCCAACCCGTCCTTACATCCTCACTTCTTCTGACGATGGAACGATCAGATTGTGGAACTGGGAAAACAATTGGAAGTTGGAACAGGTGTTTGAAGGCCACCAGTACTTTGTCATGTCGTTGGCTTTCAACCCAAAGGATCCAAACACTTTTGCATCTGCATGCCTGGATCACACAGTGAAGATTTGGTCATTGGGTAACAGCACTCCAAACTTTACGTTGAACGCACACGAGACTAAAGGTGTCAACTACGTTAGTTATTACCCTCAGGCCGACAAACCTTATTTGATCACTTCGTCTGATGATAAGACAGTCAAGATTTGGGATTATCAGACAAAGTCTTGTGTTGCCACATTGGAAGGACACTCTGCAAACGTTTCATTTGCAATCTTCCACAGAGAATTGCCAATTATCATCTCTGGTTCTGAAGATGCAACTATAAAGATTTGGAACGCAAACACCTATAAGCTTGAAAAGACCTTGAACTACGGGCTGGAAAGGGCATGGTGTGTCGCTTCACACCCATCATCAAACTCAATCGGTGTTGGTTTTGACGCTGGTTTTACCGTGTTGCAGTTGGGTGACGACGAACCACGTTTGTCCATGGACCCAGTCGGTAAGATCATCTGGTCTAAACATAATGAGGTTTTCAGCTCAGTTATCAAGGGGACTGAAGGCGTTGAGGACGGTGAAACTTTGCCTTTGTCAGCAAAGGATCTCGGTGCTGTTGAGGTGTTCCCATCATCTCTGAAACATTCTCCAAATGGTCGTTTCGTTACAGTTACAGGTGATGGTGAATACATAGTTTACACCGCACTTGCATGGAGAAACAAGGCTTATGGCTCTGCAAACGATTTTGTGTGGGCCCATGACTCGAACTTGTATGCAATCACAGATTCACAGAACAGAATCTCCATCCACAAGAACTTTAAACCAAAGACCAATGGTGAGATTGATTTCGTTTACGGAGTGGAAAAGCTGTACGGTGGTGCATTACTAGGTGTTAAAGGTGATGGATTTGTCATTTTCTACGATTGGGAATCTGGTGAGATCGTTAGAAGAATTGATGTCGAGGCAACAGATGTTATCTGGTCTGAATCGGGTGAATTGGTCATGATCACTAGTGCAGAAACATCATTCGTTCTGAAATTTGATAGAGATCTTTTCGTCGAAGCTTTGCAAAACAATACCGTTGATCCAGAAGAAGGTGTTGAGGAGAGTTTTGATCTCTTGTATGATGTTAGCGAGACCATCACTTCTGGTAAGTTTGTCGGTGACGTCTTCATCTTTACCACAAACTCGAACAGATTGAACTACCTCGTTGGTGGTAATGTGTACAACATTGCCCACTTTGAAAAGCCAAACTACCTTTTGGGTTACTTGGCGCGTGATAACAGAGTTTACGTTTCTGACAAGGATATCAACGTTATGAGTTACCACTTATCCCTTTCTGTGCTTGAGTACCAAACCTTGGTGCTAAGAGGAGAAATTGAACAAGCTAATGAAGAATATTTGGGTGCTGTGGAAAAGGAGGATCTGCTGAAGATTTCCAGATTCTTGGAAGCTCAGGAGTATTTGCAAGAAGCTCTTGAGATTTCCCCAGATGAGGAACAGAAGTTTGAAATTGCGTTGAAACTTCGTGATTTCACCACTGCACACGCAATTGCCTCAAAGGACAGCAATGCACACAAATGGAAATCACTCGGTGATTTAGCGCTCACTTCTTTCCAATACAACTTGGCTATTGAGTCATTTGAAAAAGCTGAAGACATTGAAAGTTTGTTCCTAATATACACCTCCCTGAACCTCAAATCTGAACTTGGAAAATTGGCACAACACGCAAAGGCCAAAGGCAAGTTCAACATTGCATTTAATTCTTACTGGAGTAATGGTGATCTTGCCAGTGCTGTTGAATTGCTGAATTTTAGTGATAGACCAGTAGAAGCCTCTGTGCTTGGGTTCAACTATGGTGTGGATGTTACCAAGTCAATTGATTTGTGGAAGACAGATTTGAAATCATCGCAGAAGCCAGCTACTGCTGAAAGAATCTCAATTCCAGGTGTTGATGCTGGATTCCCTCAAGTTGAGGGGGCCCTTGTTGACCTAGATGGAGATGATGACGACGAACCTGTTGAGGTAAATGCTGAAGATGTTGAAGAAGAGAAAGAGCAGGAAACAACGGCCATTGAGGAGGAGAAGCCAGCCGTCGAGAATGAGGTTGAAGCTGCTGAAGAAGAGGAGGTTGAGGCTGATGAGTAACACTTGACGAGCGAGGAAGAGCAACATTATACACTTCTGTACATGTTAGAACATCAAAATGAAATAAAATAAACAACGTTTCAAAGCTTTGGTTTTTATAAATACCATGAACTAGTAAAACTATAATATGACAATTGTTCATATATACATCGCATTAACTAAACACTTTAAGCTTATTAACGTCTTTCTTCTTCTTTTGACACACAAAGTACATCTCCTTTGATTCTGATCTACTGGCTTCCGGCTTGTATCTTTTCACTTTATCAAATACCCTTTGGAGCCTCTTCTCTAAGCCAGCATCTTCTGTTCCTGTGTAGAATTTACAGATGAAGGACCCCTTTGGCTTTAGAAGGTCAATTGCCATAATTAGTGCCGCATCGCATAGATCCTTTTTTAGGATTAGATGTTAGTATGAGTCGATGAGAAGGAAACAAAAAGGCACTTACAATGCTTGCTGCGTGATCCTTGATAGCGAGGCCTGACGTATTGGCCATCCTAATATATGCAGAATTAGTTGTATTATTCCAAAATCTCTCCGGGGGTTCAACTGGAACATACATATCACTCATCACAATGTCAACCGGGTACTTTTCATTCTCCTTCAAGATGATTTCCTCATCGTCACTGGCCAAGTCACGTTCCACGGTCTCTTGCATTTCAGAAGCAATATAACTTTGATCCAATTCGAGTTCACCAGTATGCTGCGGCTCTGAAAAGAAGTTTCTCACTATCACATGTGTCTTCTTGCTCAGTATATTTGCCTGTAAAGCTGAAGCACCTTTAGGAGGATTTGCTGGAATGATATCAACACCCAGTACACGGCCGCCAGGGGTCGTCCTCTCCACTGCGACTTGGGTCCACGCACCAGGAGCAAATCCTAGGTCCACCACAGAGAACCCTGGCTTGAATAACTTGAAATGGTCATCTATTTGGATCAATTTATGGGCAGCTCTGGACTTGTAGTTGAGGAACTTTGCAGCCTTTGTGAACGGGTCTCTTTTCTGTCTGGCGATATACCTGGCGGAACTCGCGGATTTCTTCGAGGAGTAGTGTCGTACCGATCTGAATACGAGATTAAGAAGTGGCTGATTAGTGAACATTGTCAATTGGATGATTCAATTGGGAGTGGAGAGTGATTCAATGGGTCAAATTGTGTCAACTCTTAACCACTGTTTATATATGTTGCCCGAACCAGACACAGCAGTGCTTCATAACCATAGATCACAATGGCTCATAACCGTTTCGATGTTTAGACGATAGGGGACACAGCGTAAAGTTCAGGAAGCACTGATGAAGGCCAATGACCAACCCCAATGGTGAAACAATCCCGATTCAATAGCCCTTATAACGTTCACAGTACACAGTACCAGGCTATCAGCAAGGATAGAACCGAATTCCAATTGCAGCCACCTCTGTTTCTTCTCCCAGTGCTGCTCAATTATGGCGAACGTCATTTTGTGACTGCGTTAGGGCTACACACCCTTACACCACGAGTGAAAAACTGGAACAAAGCGCAAACGAGCCCTAAGTGTGGTGTGCGGGTGTATCACCTTTGGCAACGGGAGGTGAAAAATTTTTGGAGATCCTGTTCGTTCCATTACTTTTAGCACTAGATTTGAATTCTTTATCCGTCGCAAAACCTCACAGGACCACCAATTTCATTGGAAGACAGATACATTCAGCAAACATGTCTAAAGTTTCTACCTCCCAAGTTAGAGAGCACGTTAAGGACATCCTTACCTACTCCAACGAGACCAAGAAGAGAAACTTCTTGGAGACTGTTGAGTTGCAAGTTGGTTTGAAGAACTACGACCCACAGAGAGACAAGCGTTTCTCTGGTTCCTTGAAGCTTCCACAAGTTCCAAGACCAAACATGTCCATCTGTATCTTCGGTGATGCTTTCGATGTTGACAGAGCTAAATCTCTTGGTGTCGATGCCATGTCTGTTGATGACTTGAAGAAGTTGAACAAGAACAAGAAGTTGATTAAGAAGTTGGCCAAGAAGTACAACGCCTTCGTTGCTTCCGAAGTCTTGATCAAGCAAGTCCCAAGATTGTTGGGTCCACAATTGTCCAAGGCTGGTAAGTTCCCAACCCCAGTTTCCCACAACGATGACTTGTACGGTAAGGTCAACGAGGTCAAGTCCACCATCAAGTTCCAATTGAAGAAGGTCTTGTGTTTGGCCGTTGCTGTTGGTAACGTTGAGATGGAGGAGGACATCTTGGTCAACCAGATCATGATGGCTGTTAACTTCTTGGTCTCCTTGTTGAAGAAGAACTGGCAAAACGTTGGTTCTTTGGTCATCAAGTCTTCTATGGGTCCATCCCACAGATTGTACTAAGTTCAAAGAGCTGTGCATGTTTTAATAGGATTTTAACTTAATGCGTTATGTCTTAGAAAGTGTAGTTAGTTCTCCATTGTAATAGCATGGATATTAGATGGTGTTTGGATGTTCTGTGACAGCTATGCTCACACCAACGCTTCACACTGCTGGAGATGGAGCCAATGTCCGCAGCTGATTTGACCAATACAACGAGTCCAAGCGATGAAACCCACTACAGAGGAGCTCAATTGCTGACCGTGTGATCCTGCTGTAGAACTTTCTATTCTTAGGCCTCAGCAAAGGCAGAGACAGCTGGTAACTTGTGGCGTATGTTAATCACTTCTACAAGGAATACACACCTAAACGTCAATGCTTATCTACTCAAATAGGGCTTTTATTGCTAATTATCAAGATGAACAACCAAGACCTGCCTCATTCTCCGATATAACTAGGGTTTTGGTGTTTATAACACCCCAAACCTTCAAGCAGACGAAAGAGACAACGCTTCAACGTCACATTACGCTTGTCGCTTGAAAGCCTCTCTGCAACGCCTTTGACTAGCACTCGAATCACCCGAACTTCACAGTCTTCTCTCCCTCTGGCGCCGTCTCTTACGACAAGCCTCAATCAGCAGAATCTAGTCATATAAAGCGAGAGGAAATGCCGGGGGGATTTCATCGTCGAACTTGTAGGCTGCCATTATGCATCGCCTGTGCGACGTCAAAATGGAGGATCACCAATTCGCCAACTGAAGCTGCGACAGGGCACAAGGACACAGAGCCTTGGTCGCTCAGCAACCAATGACAGATCACCAGAGCATACAACGACACCTCCTTCTTCAACAAGGTCCTCAGTGGCCAATTGACTTACGCCCAAGGTGGCTTTTGTCACAGTACGGCAGCCTTTGATCGGCGATAAGACCTCGGCCTGAAGTTATGCGATTGAACGTGAAGAGATAACGGTTTGCCGTGTAGAATCAGTAGCACTTACTCCCCAACAAAGCCTCACAATCTGGAGGAACGACGCAGTTTGAGATCATCCACAGCACAATTGGGCGTCGGTGATACTGATTGTGTCATTAGTTGTAGAGCTATGGATGTATAACAGTATGAGCGTATATGCTTGTAAAATATAGGGAAAAGACGTAGGAAAAGGGACGGTTTATAAGTTCGTTGGAGCGAGGCCAAGATTTCTTGCTCAACGGCTGTCAGCCTTCTACAAGCAAGAGAACTGGAGATTCACTGCCCAATTGAACCATGGACAACAAGATGCGAAGCTTTTGACACATATTTGGAAAGCGCAGAAGTGCACAGTCTTTCCCTTTAAGGCACACCACCGTTGCTATCTGGTCAATCGTCGCTTCACCTTTCCTAAACAACTGGAAATGCGCCATGTGCATCTGCTGCAACCATCAGAGCTTTCAATCAAGGCCTGCGGAACTTGTTCCAGGACCTTTGAAGCCCTTCTACGTTGTGCATGAACACATTGCATGGGTATGGCTTTTATTTACATACATCACACTGGCAAATAGCATGTAGCAACTTGATCTGGGTGTGGAGATCCAAAGTCATACCGTTGATCATCATCACATAATACGTCCTTGCTCTTCATTACACCTCTGATAAGATAAAGAACGTGCATTGATTACAAGTATTAGGCAGATGGAGAGATAAAAGGAGATAGTGATTATATATATATAACCCTAGTAGTCACTATAATCCTTAACACTGTATTGCAGCACTGAACATCAACTCCATCTCGCGGTACAGCTATGACACAGATCACATCTGTGCTCTCCAATGGACTCAAATCCATCAAGTCCAATGCACTTAACACGGATTTGAATGCCCAGATGTCACAGGTCCGTGATGTTCATTCCCACGTTCCTATCGACGCCCGTCTTGCTGAGAAGGAACACCTGGATGATGACGAGCTGCTGGCCCTTGCTGGTTATAAGCATGAGCTGGTTCGTCAGTTTGGTCCTTTCAACATGATTGGTGTTGCGTTCTCTATTATGTCGGTGCTTCCGTCCATCGCAAGTGTCCTAGGCCAGATCTACACCGTCAACAACGGTGGCATCTGGGGCTGGGCTGTTGCTTCCATATTCATCTTTGGCGTTGGCCTGTGTATGAGTGAGCTGGCGTCCGCCATTCCAACTGCTGGTGGGTTGTACTATTGGACTTATCACTATGCTCCTGACTCGTTGCGTATTCCACTGTCTTACCTCGTTGGTAATACAAATTCTATCGCTTTGACTAGTGCTCTTTGTTCCATCGACTATGGGTTTGCCAAGGAGCTGCTTTCCATTGTCTACATCGCCAAGGATGGTGATTTTGACATCTCACGAGGCATCGTGTACGGTGTCTACGCAGCGTGCATCGTCTCTCACGTTGCAACAGCTTGTGTTGCATCCTATGGTGTGGCCAAGTTGCAGTCCCTCTCTGTCATCTGTAACGTTGCACTTGTGATATTCTTCATATTCACGATGCTGATCGGAACAGAGACCAAGAACGATGCTAAATTTGTCTTTGGAACTGTTGAGAACCTCAGTGATTGGGGGACAGGCTGGTCGTGGGTCATGAATGGGTTCATGCCTGCGATCTGGACCATTGGTGCGTTTGACTCCTGTGTTCACATGTCTGAGGAGGCTCACAACGCCACGAAGAACGTTCCAATTGGTATTCTCGGCTCCATCGCATCAACAGGTATCTTGGGATGGCTTATCATCATGGTGTGCTCCTTCTGTATCAACCCAGACCTGGCCAGTGTCATTGACACTGGCTCTGGCCAGCCGATGGCCCAGCTGGTGTACGATTCTCTTGGGAAGAACTGGTCCATTGCGTTCATGGTTCTCATATGCTGTTGCCAATGGCTCATGGGAGCCTCCACCATCACTGCGACTTCCCGTCAAATTTGGGCCTTCTCTCGTGATAACGGGCTGCCATTTTCCTCTATCGTGAAGGTTGTCAATTCCAAGCTTAAAGTCCCCATCAGAGCCATCTGCTTTGCCGGTATCCTTGCTTTGATCATCGGTCTTCTCTGTCTTATCAACGATACTGCTGCCAATGCCCTGTTCACGCTCTACGTGTGTGGTAACTATTTCGCATGGCAGACACCAATCATCCTTAGAATGTTCCGTCAATGGTCAAAGGATGAGTCTGTTCGTTTCAAGCCAGGAACGTTCTATATGGGCACAATCCTCTCACCAATTGTCAACATCATCACCATCTGCTTCACAAACTTTACTATTATCATGGCGATGTTCCCATCGTCACCAGATGTTGATAAGGATACTATGAACTACACAGTGGTACTCACATGTGGAACATGGATACTATCCATGTCCTATTACTTTGCGTATGCCCATAGAACGTTCAAGGGTCCAAGAAACACTCTCAGTAATAACAATAGTGCTTATGATGATGAGAAGGCTGACACGGATAAGATCGACCACATCATTGAGGAGCAAGACGATGTCAGCTCGCAGGATTACCAAGGCTAGACAACATCTCGAGTACATTGACTTCATTAATATTCGTTTTCATTTGTGGTTTATTAACATTAGCGTGACAAATATACATACTCAAGTTTCTTCACTGTAACCACCACCACCTGGTGTCCTGATGATTATTCTATCTCCAACGTCCATTTGAACAGTGTTCTTCCCTCCGATGTTAATGACGTGTCCATCTCTTTTGATCCATAAGTTTTCACCCCTGGCAGCATCTTTTCCGCCATTCAGTCCGTGAGGTGCAATGACTCTTCTTTCACTCAAAATAGAACATTTGACAGGGGTTCTGAACTCAATGTCCCTGACAACACCATCACCACCTTTGTACTTACCAGCACCTCCAGAGCCTTTTCTGATGGAATACTCTCTTAACAAAACAGGATAACGTCTCTCAAACACTTCCACATCGGTCATTCTGGTGTTAGTCATGTTAGTATGGACACCAGAGGTACCATTCCAGCCATCACCAGCACCGTGACCACCACCAATGGTTTCATAGTAGCCAAATCCTTGAACATAGTTCCCATCCTCATCATTTCCACCAGTTCCGAAGGTCAAGTTGTTACAATCACCCTGAGAATCGGCCTGGATTCTAAAGGCCTTGAGAATAACATCAGTGACACGTTGTGAGGTCATGACATTACCACCAACAACTGCAGCACCTTTTAACGGAGATAGAATAGAACCCTTTGGAATTATAACCTTCACAGGACGTAGACAGCCTTGATTTAGGGGAATGTTCTCGTTAACAAGGCATCTCAAACAATACAAGAGTGCAGAGTTAGTGATAGCCTCTGGTGCGTTCAAGTTACCGTACATCTGGGGTGATGTTCCAGTGAAGTCAAAAATGTTGCCTTCAGGACCTAGAGTAACATTCAACTTGATAGTAGAACCATCATCCATATAGTCTTCGCAACCAAAACTAGAACCATACTTTTCTTTCAGCTCCATAAGTCTCTTTTGCACCACAGCTGCAGCGTTGTCTTGAATAGCCTCCATGTATTTCCATATAACGTCAAGTGTAAACTCGTTCACAAGCTTTTCAATCAGAGAAATACCCTTTTGGTTAGCACTGACTTGAGATCTAAGATCACTCAAGTTGTCACTCAAACGTCTTGTACCAGAACAACCAGGATGTGTTGCAGGTTCCCTTAACAGGATATCAATAATTCTTTCTTCGTTGAACTTACCTTCACTGACAAGAAGCTCTGAGTAGATAGCAGCACCTTCTTCATAAAGTTCCTTAGAGTTAGGTGGCATCGAACCAGGAAGGGTACCACCGATATCAGCATGATGAGCACGGGCTGCAACGTAAAAGATAATCTTCCCGTCCTTGAAAGCAGGTGTGATAACAGTAATGTCTGGCAAATGAGTACCACCAACTTCTGGGTGGTTAGAGACAATAACATCACCGGGACGCAGCTTCCCCTCCCAAAGTTTAGCCTGTGCTTTAATAGCTGTAGACATTGAACCCAAATGAACCGGAACGTGAGGGGCATTTGCAACAAGTTGACCTTCAGGATCAAACAAAGCACAAGAGAAATCCAATCTTTCTTTCACATTGGTGGAAACAGAAGTTTTACGTAATTGGTTACCCATTTGTTCGGCAATATCCATGAAACGATGTGAGAAGATAGAAAGGAGAATAGGGTCAATAGCAGAGGCATCGACCTTTGTACCCTTTCCATGGCTTATCTTGATAAAAACATGCTCAGACAAGATGGTAGCAACTGCATGAGGTGGAATAACGTTTGTCTGGGTACCATCTGCAAGAATAGCAGGACCTTGGATCTTTGTACCAACAGCGAGATCTTCTAAACGGTAGATTGGTGTTTGAACACGACCAGATTCAAAGTAGACATCTTTTGAGAGATGTGCCTTTGATGTATCAACATCAATAGTAGCAAGAGAGGCGAGCTCATCATCGATAGATTTAGCAGCCTCGCGATGCGAGTTACCTATAGCACGGACTCTGATGTCATCAACGATGATATCTTTATCTGTAAAGATGAAGCCGAACTCTCTCTTATGCAACGACAAGAACTCATCTGTAAATGATTTTTCAGTTTCTGGAATCATCAATGGAGCCTCCATTCCTCTGAATCTCAAGTTCAAGTACTTCTCAAATGTCAAATCCTCATCTTTGAAGCCATGTTCTTTAAGCTTTTCTGTACAAGACTGAACCAATGCGTCGAATCTTTCATCAATGAGGTGTTGGTTCTCAGCACTCAAAACCAGCGAAGATGGCTCCTGCGCTTCTTCAACAACATCAGCAAGAAGAATACCATATGCGGATAGGACTGAAGAGAATCTGTGAGCAATGACGGTGTCAATACCCAAGCTCTCAGCGACAGCAACAGCATGCTGGCCACCAGCACCACCAAATGTCACCAATCTGTGATCAGAAACAACGTGTCCCTTAGCTTCAGTTAGTTGTCTGATAGGACGAGCCATTGTTTCGTTTGCAACCTTGATGAAACCATAAGCTACTTCATCAATTGTAAGTTTAGAACCTAGTTCTTCATTGATCTGTTTTGTAAGTGCTTCAAAGTTTTTTCTTGTCACAACTTCATCCAATGATTCATTTTCGTTTGGACCAAAGATTTTTGGGAAGAACTCTGGAACCAATCTTCCCAAAACCAGGTTGGCATCGGTCACTGTCAATGGACCGTTTTTTCTGTAACAACTTGGACCTGGGTGCGATGAAGCCGATTCAGGACCAACAACAAACAAACCGTTCTTCCAAAACAATCTTGAACCACCACCCGCAGCAACGGTATTGATATCCAGCTGTGGGCTCTGAATTGTAACACCAGCGGTTGTTGTTTCAAAGACGTGCTCATAGGCACCGCCATAACGAGACACATCAGTCGATGTACCACCCATATCGAAGCCGATAAGACCAACACCATTCTTTGGATCGTAACAAGTAGCAGAGTAACCAACAACACCACCTGCAGGCCCAGATAAGATTGCAGAAAGTCCAGAGAACTTCTTTGCATCAACAAGACCACCATCTGATTTCATGAATTCAATTTTGGCATCATCTGGGAATTTCAACCCAGAGGTAAAGCCCTGTAAGTACTTCTTGATCTCTGGCGTCAAATACGCATCAGCGATGGAAGAGTTGGCTCTTGGGATTAGCTTGATCATTGGACTCAGCTCAGACGAGAGTGAGATATGAGTGAAACCAACTCGCTTTGCAATCTTACCGATGAGTTGCTCATGCTGAGGGTAAGTGTAAGAATGTAACAAGGCAACACCTATAGATCTGATCCCAGATGCATATATGATGTTTAAGGCACTTTCTATCTCTTGTTCGTCTGGAGTCTTCAACACTCTCACAGTCTCACCACTTTGACCCTTAACGAGCGTTTCACCGTTGACCTCAGTAGTGTGCAGCTCCGGGTCCTCCGAAAAGTCCTCCAGAGTGACTCTTTCATCAACCTCAACAACAGTTTCGTACAGCAGACTTGGCTTCTCAATCTTCAGGTCAAAGATCTTTGGTCTCGTCTGGTCCCCTATCACCAAACAATCCTTGAAACCCTTCGTAGTGATAAGAGCACAACGCTCACCTTTTCTCTCCAACAGCGCGTTCGTAGCCACTGTGGTACCCATACGGATACTCTCAATACCAGAAGTGTCCAGTGGCTCGCCACGGGGAATCTTCTTACCGGAGAGCTGCTCCATAATGAGCCTGATACCTTCCAACGGCGCATCTTTGTAGTTCTGTGGGTCCACAGATAACAGCTTCAGCACTCTTTTCTCCTCACCAGTGGAGACGACACAGTCAGTGAACGTACCGCCACGATCAATAGCAATTTTGATACCCATTTGACCTAGCCGCTGTGTGTTTGGTTTACTTTGTTTACTTTGACCAAACCGTTGATGTTGTGAACATGGCGGGAGGTTTAAGTAGTGTGGGTTTAGAGTTTGATCAGGTCAATGGGGATTACCGTTTCCCCAGTTACACAAATCTTGAACAATCCATAGGAATGCCAATTCCGCACTTTGAGCAAAGCTCATTCGCTACCGCGGCAAGACGCACAATACACAGTACCAGCCCAGTCAGCCAATCACGTTGCAGAACGGGATTCTACAAGGGCTACGCTTTACACGCTTCGACAAATCATACGTAGAATAGAAAAGACACTTCGATATTGGTACATATTTGCGATGCATATTCTAAAAAGCTTTTGAGCCAATGAGGAGGCGACCTACACGAAGTTCGTACGGTTGTAGGAGGTCTTCTTCAAGCGGTCTCTCATGTGCGAGGAGCCCTGGCGGTCATTACTTTCAACCTTTTGTAGTGAAGAGCTCCATTGTGATTGGCCGTACTGGCCAAACGACGGACGGGACTGGAGCTGCGGTGGTTGTGACGACTGTTGCTGTGTCTGTTCTGATTGCGCAGGTGATGAACGTACATAGATGTCCTTGAAGGAAGTACTTGCTGCTGGTCTTCTGGGCTTCGCACTATCAGCCGATGATGTCCCAGCTGACTGTGGCTCGTTCCTTTCACGACGCATGAATTGCTGTGGATGTAAGAATGACTTTGACTCCTGAGGTGGTTCCTCATCAGGAGAAACACCGAGCCATTCCGGATAGCTCTGTCCGGTTTCTCTGTAGTGCTTCACCAGTGCTTTGTGTATCAGTGTTGAGTTTATGGAGTCCCCGTCATGCTCCGTTCTGAGCGAAAGGTTTCCCAGCGATGTTGACAAAGAGCTGATCTTGCTGGTACCAGACCGCACTTTAGACCAGAAAGTGTTCTTGGTTAGGGAATCCGTCATGTTCAGCACTCCTGTAATCGACTACTGAGGCGTGAAATGAAGAGTAAAGTGTCGTTCCGTTGCGATGTGTCCACCCCCTTTTTAGAAGTTTCATACTGATCATCACCGAAACCCTCTCGTTGTTGAATATCTACTGTGTCCCCTACCACGTTATTTTATGGTCACGTGACTAACATCAGAATCGCCTAATGTACTCAATTTGGCATTACGGAACTAATGGAAGCACCCAAGGTGTGGTGTTATGGGCTCATATACAATATACAGGTTTCCACACCCGACCAATCACATCGAACTGCCTGTTCAACGCAAAATTTCATCACAGGGCCAGTCTGCGGAGATATCACTGCTCAATCTCATTTGACGAGATGACGGATCGCTGTTCCGTTGGCTTTGACAAATATCAACGGAGCAGCATTGAAGATAACATCATGCACATGCGGGCTTCATCGTTCTTTCTCCGTCAGTAGGTCCTCTCAGCCAATAGAAAAGTACACAGTATATGTCAAGGAAATGCCCGAAATCATGCCATTGTGAGACGCAAACGCGTGCGATTGTTTAACAGCTACACAGCCTATCGCTCAACTGTGCTTCTCAGAGACGGTTACACTATGGCTGATAATCGACATTCCAGCTTGGATTGTTACAAGAGCTTATCAACTCTTATCACCATCGGACGCTATGGAAATACAAAGCCATAACCTGACAACAGCCAGCTACACAGTCACAACGCCAAGAAACCCACCGGCCGGTCTTAACACCTCTGAAGAGTCATCAGTCATCACCGTAACTTCTCAAGTCCGTTATGCCGGTTCAACGGTTTTCGGCATTCTGCCAAACTGTGTGGGAAAGAGGAGAGTTACCCAAGACACCTTAGCAACTCTTCTACGAAGCATGTATTGAAATCCCATAGAGTATGACTAGCCGAAATGGTATATAACAACACATCACTCTTGACACCATTCTGCCCTCTTTTAAGAAGCTCCATTCCCCCGCAACTTGGCCATAATACACACTCTGTGTACCCTATAGGGCTCTTTAACTGCGCACCAGCGCCTCTACATTCCAGTCTCCACCTCTCCTACACAGTAGTGCCAGCGAGACATAGAGACTCTTCCGTCAAGAGACATCATGACGGGATTCCACCATTCTTTCCCGATGGAACCCTTCTATCATGATCGACCTACCAATCACCTCTGATAGCCAGTGATCGATATCAAGTGTATCGGAATCACTGGTGAACATAGGGCTGGCACCTCTCCCAGCTGGCGAATCACAACACACAGCCCATCGGCTATGGTTGCAAGTGGCATTTTCCGTAGGGCATTGGTGAAAAATTTTGAACAGTTTGTGCAGGAACTTACATCAAAAGCTGCACCTGAATGGCGACCACGGCACTTTGGAAGCGTCAACACGTCGCTAGGAACTTCACCTTTTGCAGCGGACGAATGACACAGTGGAGGGAAAAGTCTTTCGACTCTGGTGTGGATGAGGCAAAGGAACACGTACGCGGGTTCCAGGGTCATCTAGCGAGGTCTTTTGTTCCTTTGCTTATCGATTGAGTTGTCGAGCATCCAGAATGGCACCAGAGATTACATATATATATACAGACCAGTTCACTCCGGCTTCATTTCCATGGAATCGATGTTTTGGAGTGGTTCTCTCGTGTAATAGACGTCCATTTCGATAATGTCCTCGTCACAGTCATACACAGATAAATCGAAGGAATCGTTTGCCCTTTCACAGAAGCAAAGCGACCTAGAGGCTTCCGCTGGTGTCGTGGAGTTGGAGTCACAGCCTTCCATCATCGCCGAGGAGGAAGATGATCTCCACAGGGGCTTGAAGGCTAGACATATCCAGCTTATGGCTCTTGGTGGTGCAATTGGTACTGGTCTCTTTGTGGGGTCTGGTGCTGCTTTGGCCAAGTGTGGGCCAGCAGGTTTGCTCACAGGTTACTTGATCCTTTCCACTGTCATTTACTTTGTCATGAACGCTCTTGGTGAAATGGTGTGTTATATTCCTCAACAAGGTGGTGCTATTTCAGACTTGGCCAAGAAGTACGTGAGCCCATCTCTTGGCTTCGCCACAGGATGGATCTACTACTATACCTTTGTCATACTGATCTGTTCTGAAGTTACAGCCGCAGCTCTGGTGATTGAATATTGGACTAAAAAAGTTCATATTGCTGTATGGATCATCATTTTCGTTGCTGTTATCATTGGACTGAACTTCCTGGCTGTCAAGTACTATGGTGAGTCCGAGTTTTGGTTTGCATCTTTGAAGATTATCTGTATTGTTGGGCTGATCATCCTCGGTGTCGTCATCTTCTTCGGTGGTGCTCCAAACCAACACGGAGTTCTAGGATTCCACTACTGGAAAACACCGGGTGCCTTTGCTTACCACTTGCTTCCAGGCAACACTGGTAGATTCTTGGATTGTTGGACTGGAGTCATCAAATCTGGGTTTGCCTTTATCGTTAGTCCTGAATTAGTTGCCATTGCCAGTGCAGAAACTCAGAGACCAAGAAGAAACATCAACAAAGCTGCCAGAAGATTTGTATACAGACTTATGTTCTTCTATATTCTCGGTACTTTGGTCATTGGTGTAATGGTTCCTTATAACAACCCAGACTTGATGTCGGGAACTGGTAATGCCTCTGCTTCTCCATTCGTCATTGGCATCCATCTGGTTGGTATCCATGTTCTTAACCACATTATTAACGCTGTTATCCTGTCATCGGCTTGGTCTTCAGGTAACTCCTTCTTCTATGCTGCTTCCCGTTTCCTCAAGTCTATGGCTGATGTTGGCGATGCCCCAAAGATCTTCAGAAGAACAAACAAATACGGTGTTCCTTACATTGCATGTGGTCTCACAGCTGCCCTCTCTATGATCTCTTTCCTTAACGTCTCCAGTTCAGGTGCCAATGTCTTTGCCTGGTTCTCAAACTTGTGTACTATTTCCGGTTTCATTGGCTGGATCATCATTGGTGTTTGCTACCTCAGATGGAGAAAGGCTGTGTTTTACAACGGTCTTTGGGATCGTGTGCCATTTAAAACACCATTGCAACCTTATGGTACTTATTACTTTATGTTTGTCATTACACTGGTTTGTATCACGAATGGTTATGCAGTGTTCTTCGACTTCAACGGCCCAGACTTTGTTGCTGCTTATTTGACCTTACCTGTGTTCTTCTTGTTGTATTTCGGTCACAAGCTGTTCACTAGAGATTGGAGTTGGGGTCATCCAGTTGATGAAATTGATGTTATTACTGGCCTTGATGAAGCAGAACAGATTGAAGCAGATTTCGAGGCTAAAACCATTCCACCAACTACCGTTTGGGGTAAGTTCATTGACTGGTTGCTGTGAGAAGAGTGTTGTATTTCCTTTTGTATGTATTAGTTCTTTTAATTCTTATTTAAGCCATTTTAGGCCATTGTAGAACTAGCGTGTACCAGTGATAAACACATCACCAACCGTGGAGCAGTCGATTGTCATCTCCACACCTTCTTCTTTGAACGAATGATCCACAGTCTCTTTGACGGCATTTCTGTTCCTTCTGCTCTTCACAAAGTATGATATAACCAACAGAGATTTCAGGAAGGATGACATTAACCCTAATGAAAATGAGACCCTCATTAAAACCAGAGCTGTAACTCCAACATCAACAACAATACCAGTGTAAGCGAGCTCATCACCGTAAGCGTTGGCCAGCTCAACCACGAGATTAATAACAGTCGTCGAGACTGCACACATAATAGTCCAGACAATGATCTGCGAGCAAATACTAGCGATGTAGATCGAAACATATGCCTTCAACTTCCTAGGAGTGTAGTCCATCCTTCTCAATATTGCAAAATTGAAGATGTCCAGGACGATGCAGATCAAGGAAAAGCTAGCAGCTGCAAGACATCCATGGTAGAGCAATTCAGAGACACTATGAGCTCTTGAAAGGTGTGGGACTGGGACTTCTGGATCATTCTTGAAAAGATGCTTTATGTCCAACTCCAGCCCGTTCATATTATGACAAGATGTTTGATCAAAATTGCCGTTGGTGATGCTACCAGTGCAGTAGCCCAACGCACCTAGACGGTAAACTGGGGACAGAGAAGTGGAATTGCTTGACTGGAACTGAGACATATCTAACTGGATTGTGTAGTTGTGTGAGGAGTAGGACGGAGTGGAGAAGATCATCGCCCAGATCAGCGCAAACGATGCGATTGATTCTAAGAGGTGAATTCTGGAGATGACTTTCCTGTAGATCAAGAATTTTCTGCCCATGATTGTCGATGTTGATGCTATATGAACGTCTATGAAATGTCTTTCCAATACGAGCAAAGTGGTGTAGTTATATAGTAAAGGTGAGCACTGGAGCTCGTGAGACCCTCACTTAGTTCTGCCACCCTCTGGTCATGGTTTGTGCGATGATCTTCGTCGTGATAAGCAGCAGCCCATGCACCATAATCCACGAGCAGTGTGTTGCATGAAGAACAGTGTGCTGCATGAACGACAGTGTGTTGCACCATCAACAGGCCGTTTCACCATCAACAGGCCGTTTCACCATCAACAGGCCGTTTCACCACCAACACTCCATTGCACTAAATGAGATTATGCTTAGATCAGAATATACAGATACGCTACAGTTGACGTTCACTCTGCAGACAGTTTACAGCTTAGAAAGCTTACGCGTGAATAAGACCCATATAACCTTAGCATCACAACCTGTGTAACGCCTAAAACTTGTCGCAAGTGCCATACTCACAGCCTATAGCTGCGTCAAAAGCGATTGGCATACAGTGAGACTTGCAGACCATTTCTTTGACTTGCATAGACTCCCCCCTTTTACCTTCCTCTTCTCTCTCGCCTGTAACCTGGTTAAATTGCATTATACGCACATCGGTATAATACCGTCTTCTGAGTAAAACCTTGCCAGTTGCCAGCTGCCGACGAGCTCTAGGGAAGCCAAGCGTTCTGTCACGCATAGGCTGATATATGTCCACTGGGCACGTTGATCCTGCTGATATTGTTGATGTTTCAGGGCCTTCGCAGTACGATGCTCAATGTCAACGTATCGCTCTACACAGGGCCAGCACACAGGGCCAGCACACAGACACAGCACACAGACACAGCACACAGTCGCACGCATCGAGCAGATCGCTCCACAGGCCCCTCTGCCTACGTCTCATGCCCTCCTGACCCTCCATTCTCGTGACGGTACACAGCCTGGGACGGTGTATCACCGCCAAAGTCCGCCCAGGCACGGCCGAAAGACCGCCTAAAATCGTGCAGTACCATACAAAACCGCAACAGCAACAGCAACAGCAACGACAGCTCTGCCTAGATGAAATAATACCGACGAGGTAGATCGCTCCTCAGTGCAGGTGCACAGCCATGTGTGGCCAGTGTGGTCATGTGAACGAGCTTATACACCAATGATCACCATGTAAAGGCTTCAGTATGGAGATATATTTCCTCACACTCACCTCTCAACACACGTGTGTGGAGCTGCGCACAGGCATTAGCACAGTCACGTTGGAAGGACGGGGTGCCAGCACATATGACGGCGTTTTTCTGTCTGAGTTCTATGTGTGATAGAAGGTGTCGAGCGTTTGGCTTGTGGTGAGTGTGGATGTTGTACAATTGGGTGCTTGTGTGATGCTCTACAGCCATCTTGTTGCAACTGGAGTCCAGTAAGCTTGCTGACTCCACTGAGCTTACTGACTCCACTGAGCTTACTGACTCCAATGAGCTTACTGACGCCAATTGCAGCTCTTCCGGGTTTGCTGCCACCAATTGCAGCTCTTCCGGGCTTGTAGGCCCACATATGGTTTCTCTGTGAGAATTGGTGACAAAGATGTTAACCGTAAGCGTGTCTTGAAGCATTTCCTTTGCCCTGTCCAGTTCTCGCTGGATCCACGTGAGAGTGTCCTCTGAGCCCACGATCCAATGGAACTTAACCTCACGCACTCGACAGGAGCTGTCATTCACATGTTGAGCGACAAACAGAACAGACGGCAACGTTACGGCGACCCCCGTGCCAGTCGACGCCAGCACAAGCTTATCGAATGACAAGGGATCACGACACATCCCACCGTACGGACCATCGATATAGCATCGAAACTCTGAACACTTCTCGTCGATTAGCTCATAGAGTCGCTTGGTTAGGCCTCTCTGCGGCCTAACAATTAGCCTGAGATCGAAGCCATTCGAGCTTGCAGGAATGGTGACTATCGAGAAGGGATGGCTGTCCAAAGTGTGAAGGCCCATAACGAATCTAATCAAGATGTGCTGCCCTGGAGCCCAATCAAGCTCCTTCTTGGACCCAATCTTCACCACAACCTGAAAGCAGCCATTGGACACGCAACTGAGCGTCGCCTCTTTCGCCTTCAGAATATACCTATCTGGTCTGAAGGTGCTCTTAACGAGAACTCTGTACACCACTTGGATGCTCCAAAGGCTCAATGTGGCCCACATGTACTTCTCAAAGTTGGAGAGCCCGTACACATGCCATGTCAGTATGGCGAAATACGTCACACCAAGAAGCCAATGGGCCTGCCACCAGATTTCTTAGCATATTGATCTTAGAACCCGGGTACTCAACAGGCAAATGCCATACAGCAGCGAAAGTGCAACCACACCGTTGGTGTAGAGATGGTTCTCATCACCAAACCATAGCTCTTTCATCCGTGACGTACCACCTTCCTTAACAGGCTGGAGAAGCAATGACACTGTGTGCACCAGGCTGAAGAACAGCGAGCCCCAGCCCAGGGCCTTGTGGAACACGCTCAACTTCTCATAACTCACACCAGTGACGTACGAGATGAGGCTTGTCTTCCCAGATATGAGGATCAGGAACGGAGTCAGTGCCATGACCAGCGAGCCTGCCCTGCCTGCCAACGGAGGTGCACCAAAACCTCGACATCCTCTATAGTAGAAGTGTGGGATGAAGCACACACACATGACGAAGGTGGTGGAGATGCCCAGGACCAGCAGGATGCCCAATGAAGCTGGTAGCCCAGTCACGCTCGAAACACAAGCTGGCAACCTCCTATAGCTGAAGTAACGGCTTAGTGCAAAGACACGTTTGCAGCACCCTGGTAACGACCGGCCAGTGGCTTTATAGAGCCTGTCGTCCAGTGTGTACGATAGGTACTTCACCATCGCCAGAAAGATGAGTGCTGAGCAGTAGGACAGGACGTAGTACGCATAGTTGGCCTGATAAGAGCCAGCGTGTGTGCCAACCTGTGAAAGAGCAGCCGTGCTGGCGTACTCTGTGGTGTTGATATCGGCAATGCAGTCCAGGCCTTCGAATATGACGGTCATAGGAGGTGGAGGAGGTTGATTGGCTGGCTCAGTGATAAGCAATTGGTACTGGTGGGCACGGTGGAGGTGTAAAGATACCAGGTGGTAAGCAGCACTATCAATTGCACTCCAGGAGGATGTCGTCGTCATTGGAAGCACACCACACGCTCCAGAAGGAGAAAATGGCTGTCTTTATAGCCATGATGGCTTATCAAGCTACCTGAGCCGACCTCACTCCGCCTGTTGGAAGCTCTCGCCAGGCATTGATAAGCAAACGGGCAGATGAACCGATATGGCCTCCCTCAACGTTTGACCGTTAAGGCCTCGGGAAACAAGTATGCAGACGAATATGCACTGGAGTGTGCATAGTACATGTTTCCTGTTTTAGTGAGATAAGTTCTGGAGGGTTCACGGTATGCATATACCGAATAGAGGGTCCGAAGCCGAGGGTCTTCCCAAAATGGACTCCGGGGGCTGTTATCGCACGGAGGTGGGCCCATGGTGGACGTGGCCAAGCGAGTACGTGTTGAGTGTTGATGGTCATCACGATGGGAGTTCCTGTTGAGTGTTGATGGTCACCAATTGGCGTCTCCCACCGTATACACCATCCTAGCAACCAGAAATACCTAGTAGTACTAGAATGATACTAATAAAAATAGCAAACCGGTCTTCAAATTCCACCAAAGTACACCACAATGTAGCTCTTACCCGAATTAATAGATATACAAAGCATGGGAATGACACCTTCAATGCTTTCTGAGATATAGCCATATAGCCACTTATGGTTTGTATGATATAATCATGAAAAAGACATAAATTTGCTTATATCTCAGCAACAAAACAAATTTTGGGAAATCGGGAACCGTCATGCCATAACAATGACATATATAATCATATAAACTGACTTTTAACTTGACTGGATCAGTGGGGTTTCCAAAATGGTCCACACGATGTGTGTTCTTATATATAATTCTGGCTCTTCGTTGCCCTAGCAATCGTGAAAATGTAAGGATGTTTCCAATTCTAATAGGCATTGTTTACATTTTGCATTCTTATCAACACAAAAATGACACAAAACATAGCTTTGTACACAACGTTTAAAACATCACCAGACAATGGCCAGAAACTGATGATTAAGCAAGAGAAGAAAAAAGGCTGGGAGACGACCAAAGAAACCCCAGAGAACACTCATTGGGACCTTCAAACGACGTCCTCAACTTGAAGAAGAACATCAGCGGCTAAGGCAGAACCACGGCGGCAAGTTCAAACGAATGGAGGTACGATACAACAAGAAGACCCATTAATTATTGCGACAGACTAAATAAGCTGCTGTGAGAACAAGATACGGAGCAAAGAAACCTTCAAGGTTTGTCACAGAATACCCATGCAGAGATCACAAACTTAGCACAACAGCCGCCATTATCTGAACATGAAGCTAAACTTGATAATGGAACTATGGCTGATAGAATAAGAGAGAGGCGAAGAAGTGCAGAAGAGGTAACGGCAAGAGCGTTGGAAGAAATCGGACGTGATGGTGCTTTCGATCTTGATCCCAGCTTTGAATACATCATTGAGGATGACATCAACGGTTTTAATGAGAATGATGATCCAGTTTATGAACGACAACAATGGAGATCACGGAGACCACGGAATTTCGAGTAAAATCCAAGTGGTCTTGAGCGGTGCTGCGATTGTTATCATACACTCGTTATCAATGCTGAATTACCATCTTTTTGCTGTTATAGGAACAAGGCTTTACTCGAAGAATTCGATGAACCTTCAGAGTAAGTGAATGATATCTTCTTGGATCCAATCACGTCCAAATATTCTCGAACAATCAATACAATTCTTTCACTATCATCATTAGGCTCCCACAGTACTGGTGATTCGAGAGGTGAAACTTATTCAATGATTATCAACGGGCGTTTATTCCATAGAGTTGATGGTTTGGTAGCTCAAGAAAATGGAAAAGAGAAAGTTGCAGAAATTTAAACACTGGATCGAGGATTAGCTTCAAATCGTCATCTTGAGTTGCTTAGAGGTGTTCTTCAAAAGGATGAAGGAAAAAATGAACTTGAGGACTACATTAGCAAGATTGGTGAATTTCTATCTCAAAATAATCTTTATACACAGCTGTTATATACCGCTAGGGAAATTGTTCAACATGAAATTACAGAGATGGGATTAACAAGAGAGGAGACTAGTGTTGAGTTTACCAATATTGAATCAACAACACTAAGAAATTCAGAACATCGTACTTCTTTATTACCAGAGGTTAAAGAGTTTGCTTTGGGGTACAGGAACATAACAGCAGAATATACTTCAATTTCAGCACGTATAAAGGAAAAATCTACAGGTGGCTTCACTTTTATCAATACTATTTGCAAGAGTGTTGTTTATCTTTGAGATATTTTGTTTTAATAACAAAAGGATGAGCCAAATCTTTTCCATACTAACGATACTCAAATTAGTATCATTCTAACATATCCACACCAGACACACACTTGCGACTACACATACGAAATCTTACGCTACAGTTCCAGAAAACTCTTCAGGAGTTGATTTTGCTAGTTTCAAAAAATCATCATTCTATTAAACGGAGGAACCAGACATTAAAGTCAATACCTGGCGGATCGCTCAGCGCAAGTTGATCGTGAAGATACCGAAGCTCTACAGATCAGCTTGTTATAACTTATTAAATAGTAGCCATTCACCAGCCAAAGTTCTCGGTGTGCAAGTACACCTCATCACACTCACCTTTCAACACACGTCTTTGCAGCTGAGCACAGGCATTACCACAATCGCCTTGGAATGACGCAGTTCCAGCACATACCACAGCGGTCTTTGAGCCGAGATCTATCTGAGAGAGGAACTCTGGAACGTTTGGCTTGCAATTGTTATAGATCTGCCACAGTTGGTCGGTGTGTACGGCCTTCTCACCTTTGCTGCTGTTCGAGACGGATGACGTTTCAGAGTCCACGGGTGTCTTTCTGGATCCAATTGACTGAGGAATAGCTCCATCACGTGAATTCGTTACAAATATGTTGATGCGAAGCACATCACGGAGTGATTCCTTTGCACTTTCCAATTCACGTTGAATCCATTCCACGGTGTCCTGTGAAGTGACGACCCAGTTGAACTCAATCTCACGTACACGGCATGACTTATTGCTCATGTGCTGAGCAACGTATTGGACAAATGGTAACGTTACTGTGACTCCAGTGCCGGTAGACATCAAAACCAGTTTGTCAAAGGCCAGTGGATCACGGCACATCCCACCGTAGGGTCCGTCAATGTAACAGTCCAGCTCTGTGGACTTGTCATCGATGAGATTATACAGCTTTCTTGTCAGACCCCTGTGTGGTTTCACAATCAGCTTCAGCTGAGTTTCCCCTCTCTTCTCCGGAACAGTCATGATAGAGAATGGATGGTTGTCCAAAGTGTGAATCCCTAACATGAATCTAATGAAGATGTGCTGGCCTGGCATCCAGTCCAATTCGTATCTCGAGTCGATATTGACAACGATCTCGTAGCATCCGTTGGTGATGCGGTTCAATGCGGCCTTCTTCGACTTGAATGCGTACAAGTTCGGCTTGAAGGTGGTCTTCACGAGTGCTCTGTAGAGCATCTGGAACCCCCAGAACCCCAGAGTTCCCCACATGTACTGCTCTGCATCCAGCAACCCATACACGTGCCATGTCAAGATGGCAAAGTACGCCAGCCCAATCACCCAATGCGAATGCCACCAAACCTCGTAGCATAAGGATCTTGAGAACCTTGTGCTGAGGAAACAGAGGCAGAAAAGGAGCACAAGGGCAACGAGCCCATTGACGTATAAATAGTTGTTATCACCGTCCCACAGCTCTTTAAGACGAGCTGCTCCACCTTCTCTAACAGGCTGGACGAGGAATGGGATCGTATGGACAAAACTCAGGAACAGTGACCCCCAGCCCAGTGCCTGATGGAATACGTTCAGCTTTTCATAGCTGACTCCAGTGACAAATGAGATGAAGTTCGTCTTGCCGGAGATGATGATCAGGTATGGCGTCAGTGCCATCACCTGTAAACCAGCTCTCACGGCCAAAGGCGGAGAGCCAAACCCTCGACATGCTCTGTAGTAGAAATGCGGTATGAAGCACACACACAGGACAAACAGTGTCGAAGCACCCATCACCACCAACGTGCCAAAGGACGCAGGGAGCCCTGTTACCCTCGACAGCATCACGGGGAATCGCCTATACCCTACAACACGGGTCAGTGCGATGCCTCTCTTCAGCAGAGAACCTCTAGAATCACCGTTTCTATAGCTCCAGTCGTCAAATCTGTACCACACGTACTTGACGATCGCACAGAACGTCAACACTGCGCCATAGTACAACACGTAGTACGCGTAGTTGGCCTGGTACGCCCAAGCGTGTCTGCCAGCCTGCGAAACACTCGCTAACGCCTTGTACTCAGTAGAGCCCATATCGGCGATACAGTCCAGCCCTTCAAACGTCACCGTCATGATGGAGGAAGCCACAACAAAAACGGAATATCCACAGCTCAATCAGCACCTTACGCTACACCGTCCGGGGCCAAAGCAAGCACAAGGACGTGCAACAGGCCTCTCTTATATAGACAATCCCTCTGCGAACACACTGCCGGTTCCAGCTCCACCACCGTGCAGGCTAGCAGCGCATTCACCGCGAGCCCAGATCTCCATTTATCATCAATTGTGAGTGATTCCCTCTGTGAGATCCTGCATATTGTGCTCAGATGAGGATACGAGAGATTCCATTGGATGAGGATGGTGTGCATAATTTGCTCGTTTCTTGGAGTTATCTGGAGCCTTGGGCCTCGAGTGCTAAAAGCGTTGAGAAGGTGCATATGGGCGTGTGCCTGTGTGAGCGGCTGGAAGCCGAGGCAGCCAATGGGGCGGTGTGCGGGTGTGAGTGGTGTGCGGGTGTTGGGACTGGATTATGCTTACGTAAGCTCTCAAGCCGGGTAACCTCCCACATCCGGTTCGCGCCACACACGTGGAATTTTTCACCGGAAACCAACCCACGCAACACACTCTCGGAAAATTTTTCACTTTCTCTTCTTCCTCTCTCTCTTCTTCCACGTTCTCAAGATCATCATCTACTAACACATTAATCCAGAAATGTCCCGTCCACAAGTCTCTGTTTTCACCACCACCGGTGAGGTCTCCTCCGCTGCTTTGCCATTGCCAGCAGTCTTCTCTGCTCCAATCAGACCAGACATTGTTCTCTCTGTCTTCACTGCCGTGAACAAGAACAAGCGTCAAGCTTACGCTGTTGCTGAGAACGCTGGTCACCAGACCTCTGCTGAGTCCTGGGGTACCGGTCGTGCTGTTGCCCGTATTCCACGTGTCGGTGGTTCCGGTACTCACCGTGCTGGTCAGGCTGCTTTCGGTAACATGTGTCGTGGTGGTCGTATGTTTGCTCCAACCAAGACCTGGAGAAAATGGCACGTTAAGGTGAACCAAAACGAGAAGAGATACGCTGCTGCCTCTGCTATTGCTGCCTCTGCTGTTGCTCCTCTCGTTTTGGCCAGAGGTCACAGAGTTGAGCAAATTCCAGAGATCCCATTGGTTGTCTCCTCTGACGTTGAGAAGATCACCAAGACCAAGGAGGCTGTTGCTGTCTTGAAGGCTGTTGGTGCTCACTCCGACGTTGTCAAGGTCATCAAGTCCAAGAAGCTCAGAGCTGGTAAGGGTAAGCTCAGAGGCAGACGTTACGTCCAAAGACGTGGTCCATTGGTTGTCTACGGTGAGGACAACGGTTTGGTCAAGGCCTTCAGAAACATCCCAGGTGTCGAGACTGCTAACGTCTCCTCCCTTGGTTTGTTGCAATTGGCCCCAGGTGCTCACGTTGGTAGATTCATCATCTGGACCGAGTCTGCTTTCGCCAAGTTGGACTCCGTCTGGGGTTCCGAGGCTGTTGCCTCCTCCAAGTCTGGCTACTCCTTGCCAGCCAACATCTTGGCCAACTCTGATGTTACCAGAATCATCAACTCTTCTGAAATCCAAGCTGTTGTTAGACCAGCTGGTCAACCAACTCAAAAGCGTACCCACGTTTTGAAGAAGAACCCACTCAAGAACAAGCAAGTTCTCTTGAGATTGAACCCATACGCTAAGGCTTTCTCCGCTGAGAAGTTGGGCTCCAGAAAGGTTGAGGGTAAGGGTGCTGCCAAGCCATCCAAGGGTCAATTCGAGCAGCTCTTGAAGCACGACTAAGTCTAGTTTCCTCGAGAGATTAGTGGAATGGAGCGAGGATGATGTATCTATGAGTTTTCTGTTGAAATTATTAAATTTGATAGTTTTTTAATGGACATGTCTTCTTCTCTCTTCCTTGTATTGTATACTGACATTGATTGCATGTAGTGATAACGTATTGAGATATATATAATAGCTTGAATGGAGTGAAGGGCTCTGTATGAGCTGTGTTGGGTGGACACTCAGCCCACCAGAGCCAAGGCATCTTTGATCTGAATGCCACCGGAGATCAAGGGAATGATCTTTCTGATGGTGGCATCGTTGTTGAGGCACTCAACGATGACCTGGGCAACGTCGTCTCTTGGTATGGACAGCTTGTCAGACTGCTTCATGGTGATTTCATCCGCATAGGCGTCCACCTTTGTAGGATCCATGATCTTGCCTGTTCCTGCGGTATCAACCAACATCCCTGGCTGGAGGATGGTGTAGTTGACGTCCATCTTGATGATCACCTCGTCTGCATACTTCTTAGCAATGTAATACGATCTCAAGAAAGAATCCCACCAGAACTCTCGCTCAAACGTCTTTAGAGCACTCACCAGGATGAATCTCTTGATGCCGTTGGCCTGGACAGCCTCAGCCACCTTGACGGCACCGTCAAGGTCCACGCTCAGCGTCAGGTCCAGGCCCTTGCCACCAGCACCGGCCGTGAAGACAACAGCATCGAACCCCTTCAACGCCTCCGTGATCTTGGATAAGGGCGTGTTTGTAATGTCAATGTCCAAGGAGACATTGATGCCCTCGTCGAACTCCGCAGGGCTTCGAACAAAGGCTGTCACATCAAACGTGCCGTTGGCTCTTTTACAAAGCAGTGAGCCAACCTTACCGTGTGCACCAATAACAGCAAGCTTCATAGTGTCTCCAGCTTTCTCAATTGATCAATTGATCGAGATTAGAGCAACATGGTGAAGTGTTTCACGTAGCAAATGTTGATGTCCCACCCCCGGGCTCGCTGTCTGCCTAGGCGGAAAAAAAAATTTCCCCGAGAGAGCTCATCTCATCGCTTCAGTACGAGCAATGGGTATTAAATAACCCGGGAAAGACCACTGTTGAGATGTCCAATTGCTCGCTGGAGGACGCTCAGAAGGTTGTGAGATGGATAAATAGCAATCTGGGGTTCTGGGAGCCTTCCCTGAAGCTCCGGGAGTCTCCTGTTGGCGGTGTTGGCGTGTTCACCACGGAGCCATTGGATGATGCGACGACGGAGTCGAAAGTGCTGCTGAGACTACACAAGGGCTCGCTCTTGTCCTCGAAGAACAGTTGTGTGGCCAACCTACTGACCGACGAAGAGATCGACGGTGTACTGGGCCTGATATTGTCGTTTATCTACGAGAGGGACCAGGGCGAGAGCTCTCCCTGGTGTGACTATATAAGCACCATTCAGTACAGAGACTCACAAGGCGAGCTGATCTTACCACCGAGTCTATGGAGCAAGAGGCAGAAGAGGGTGCTGGAGGGCACAGAGCTGGAAATCATGGGTGGACTGGACGACGAGGAGACGCAGATGAGCTATGAAAGGGCATGTTCCTTTGCACTGAGCCAGCATGAGCTTTCAAACCTCGCCATTCCATACGAGTTTGATGTTGTGGATAAAGACGAGGATGAGCTGCTCTTGAGATACAAAACCTTTGTTGCAGTTGCACACCAGATTGCTGCTCGTGACTTTGAGATTGATGAGTTCCACGAGATTGCACTGTGTCCAGGTGCAGACCTCTTTAACCACGGTGTTCGAAACACTGTTAGATTTGAAAGCCTGTTCAACGTGTGTGGTCAATGTGGTGATTCTGCCTGTGACCATATGATGGTTGAGGAGGAGGAGGAGGAGGTGGATGAGCACTGTGGTGAGGTGGATTCTGACTTGGAGCTCAGTGAGGAGGGTGAGCAGAGTGAAGAGGATGAGCATGAGGAGGAACAAGAAGAGGAACAAGAAGAAGAACCAGAGTTTGAAGGAACCATCGAGGAGTTCATCGAAGTTATAGAGTCTGCACTCGAGCAGGAACGCCGTCTAATGGATGAACCTGAAGAGGAACAACCAAGTCCTCTCATTTTGGACGATACAAAGCCCATTGAAGCAGAGGCATGCTGTGATATTGTTCTTCATCATGCCTCACAGAAGGGAGATGAGCTGTTCAACACCTATGGCGACTTCAGCAACTCCCAACTGCTGGCAAAGTATGGGTTTGTGATTCCTGATAACCCAAATGACACTGTTGGGTTGGGATTACAATTCCTCAAGTTGAAGAAGAAGAAACAGTATAACAGAGCATTCGAGTGGTGGGACTCAGAAGGCTATGACCTTCTGAGAGAGTACCTGCATTCGAGCAAACACGGCCATGAGCACGATGATTGTGAGAGTGACTGTGACGATGGCTGTGGAGATGGCTGTGAAGATGGCTGCTGTGGTGAAGAAGACCACGACGATGTTCCTTCATGGACCATGGAGATGAGGCTACAGCACAGTGGTGAGCCTTCACAGCTGACATACGCATTGGTAAGACTGTTATCGTTGAACTCTGCCGAACTACAGAAGTTTCTCGTGAAGAAGGCCAAGATCAATCCACAGGTGTTGACAATGTCCAGTAAGAAGGCCTACAAGATTCTATTGGAATTGGTTGATGAGAGAAGACAGCTATACAACGATGACTACGCCAGGTATAGAAAGTCCAAGAACTCGTACGAAAGAATGGCTTCGCAGTTGGTATCCGATGAGCTGGCCATCATTGAAAGAGCAAACAAGTACATCAATAAGAGGGTCTAGAGATTGATTATTTAGAACAACAAATATATGTGCACGTACAATGGTGGCTCACTCAATCACGGCCTTGATTGCTTCGATAACTTTTGAATGGAACTGTTTAGAGCCGGCAATCACACCTGAGCTGTTCAGATAGCGACCTTCTCCAAAGTTCAGAGGGTTCCCATGCATATCGCTGACAACACCACCACTTTCAGTGATGAGGATGTTACCAGCAGCATGGTCCCAGATCTTTTCTCTATAGGTAGCACTGACTGGTAATCTCAGGTATAACTCAGCTAAACCTTTTGAAAGACAGCAGTATTTGACCTGCGAGTCCAAGTTCAAAGTCTGTGTCTGTGGGATGCCGAGATACTGTTTGATCCTCGATTGCTCGTCGTGCGAGGAATGGCCCTTCTCGACTCCTTCGCACACTGTGATTTCCGATGCTGATTGTAAATCGTTCTTCATCTTGATCTGTTCACTCTTTGAAAGGTTTTCATCAACTCTGTCGAACAATTTGGAGTAGTATGAGCCTTGGCCCTTGATGGCCGTGAACAGGCCTCCTTTATAGCTTGGAGATGTGAAGTTGTCTGGCAAGTTTGGACAACCAACGACACCAACTTGCACAACTCCATCAACAATGAGCGCAAGACAAACCGCATACTGATCACCTCTCAGGAAACCCTTAGTGCCGTCAATTGGGTCTAATGCCCAGATTCTGCCTGTGTTACCACCCTCAGAGCTCCCCATATCGATCACAGAGCTCACCTGGTCCAGATCCTTGAAGGAGGCACCGAGTAATCGGTGCTCCTCGGCATCATCAACACCAATGAACTTGGAGTACTGCTCATCATTAGCTTGCAGGGTTGCGAGAACCTTCGAGGCCAGCGTGCTGTTCTCTTGCAAGTCCTTGGAGTCCTCCTCGCCGACAACCTCGTCGTCAGGGAAGTTATGCTTGATGGCGTTGATGATGACGGCCTGTGCAGAGAAGTCACCAATGGTCACTGGGGACTTATCATCCTTGGTGATTGTGTTTGAAGCCCTATGAGCTAGAACCTCTTCTGAGACTGCTTTCGTCAACAGCGAAGCCTTTTGCACCGCCAATCTCGCTATGTAGGCCTCTCTTTCGTACACCATCGTGAACAGCTTTGTCTATCGCTCGAGATGCTCAATTGGCCCAGTGGAAAAGCAGTGCAAGTGTTGGACATAAGAGCAAAGATGGAATGGACATACGCACACGGTCCGGCGATGACGTTAATTTCAAGCCTTGTGGCGCATTTTGGTTTGCCCACAATTTCCCCTTCCGTAACGAGAATTGTGGCTGGAGACGCAGACGGGATGGAACCGGGCGAAGTGTGGCGCGTGTGTGCTTACGTAATCTTTTTCCCGTGCTCCTCCTATTCCGACCGTTTTTTCTCCAATTCCGATCTTTCATAGAGAAAAAAACCAACCACAGCAACAACAACATCAACATCAACAACACCAACAACACCAAAGTTGGACACCAAAAGTCCGTGAAAAGTGCTCAAAACAGCCGTGCAAAGCTCCCTCGAGACCACCCAAACGAGCCCACTCACGTGATTTGCATCCCATAGCCTGTTTGATTGTTTTCTCTCGCAGTCTGCTTCCTGGTTCTTCTCTTTGGACGGTCAACACCCTTTGCAACGAGGCGAGTTTGGATACTGGGCTCTTTGGAAAGACCATCAGGCACTGTGTGAAGGTTGGAATAACGACAGCGATCTTAAATGACATCGGGCACAGCCTCCGTGATTGGTCTGCCTCATAGCTTTGGACAGGACTCGAAGATTAAAGGGCTTAAGCAAGCACAGGACACATCACAGTCGCAAACAGCAGAGAACATTGTCTGGAAGGACCTTGGACAGTACTTGGAGACGTTAACGGACGTGAAGTACGGCGAGTCGCAGTTCAAGAACGAGCTGGACGTGAAGACACCGCTCAACTCATCGATCGACTATAGAGTGTGTACGCTTTGCAACAGGCCCATCTTGACACACCACTTGAGCACTCATATAGAGAGGTGTTTACAGCTCCAGGAGGCGAAGCAGGGTAAACAGGCTACTAGGGCAACGGACTTGGAGTCGAAGTCGCCGGCGCAGATCAGCTCTCAGGCCGCGTCCAGCATGGTTGAAGAGCCCAAGACGAAGAAACGGAAAGCCGACAAGGAAGCAACGCCGGCCACTGATGGAAAGCACAAGGCCAAGAAGCCCAAGAAGGAGTCCACTGCGAAGACCAAGAAGAAGGCGAACCAGAAGAACAAAGGTCCAGTGGATGTGGAAAGGCAATGTGGTGTTGCGCTTCCTGGAGGCGGGTTCTGTGCGAGATCCTTGACTTGTAAGACCCATTCCATGGGTGCCAAACGTGCTGTTCCAGGCCGTTCTGCGTCCTATGACGTGCTATTGGCAGCGTACCAGCACAAGAACCAGGTCAAGATTGCAGGACAGGCTGCTAAGCTACAAGAGGAGAAGGATGAGATGCTACATGCCGCTTCAGCCACGTTGGATCCAGACGAAGAGACACACCAAGTGCTTGCTGGTGTTCAGAGGTCTTTCCCATTGCCCCTGGAGAGGAAGACGTTGATCTCCACGAGAATACGTACCGGGTTCTTGAGGATGCGTGAGATGTTTGCAGGTGCTATACTTCCAAGGATGACTCATTCGAACGGTGTTGGTGGCTTCAACGGTCGTACGGCCTTGTTGGACATTGATAGACCAAATGAATACATCAACCCTGTGAGAGCTCCACAGAGGTTGATGATGAGCCAAAAGACACCGCAAGGGCCGAATGGCCATGCCAATGTCACTGCCAGTGGAGGAGCTTCCATGCATGCTCAGACAGGACAGTCACCACAACAGCAACAGCAACAGCAACAAGGTATGAACTCTGCTCACCAGTCACAACAATCTTCACCTCAACACACACCGGTTCAATCACAAGCACAGCTCAATGCACACCAACAGTTTGTTGGGCGTCAACAGATGTCCTCGCCACAGGCCATCGGCTCTAGTCCCGGTAACATTGGCTCAACGGCCTCATCAACACCAGGGATGTCCCCATCTATGGGCAACGGCTCTCAACTATCGCAACAGGCAGCTAATCGTAATGCAATTCTGGCTCATCAGCAGGCTGTTGCCAGACAGAAGTTTTTACAGCAGCAAGCCCAAATACAGGCCCAAATGCAACAACAACAGCAGCAACAGCAGTTTAAATAATGAATGACTTTCTCTCTTTTATTGTTTTATGTTCAATTGACGTTATACGTGCTTATATATCGAGATGTCAACGGGCTCTCAGCTAAAGTAGAAGTTTGTCATTGTCTTAGCCACGTTGAATCCAAATAGAGAGATGATGTAGAACACTCCCAGGATTCCAATTGGGAACAGGATCAGTTGAGTGTGTTCCAGGAAGGGCAGTGCGTTGTAACCGTAGAAAGTTATGATGAAGTAGTAGCTCAACGAGACAAAGTACAGCGTGTTGCCGATAAAAGTCGCAAACCAGTTGTTCATCGTCAACAGTGGCAGCAGGATGAACTGCACCATATACAGCATAACCCAAATCACCAGGAACGAGTTGCAGTGCACATCAAAGCAATACGCCCACTCCAGGTCGCTTTCCGAGACGGCTCCTATTGAAGAGGATTCCTCCCGTTTCTTAAAGAACTTGTTTGCCAATACCCAGCCAATCGTCGACACTATGGCACCAACAACGAAGAAGTCGATAAACACCATGTACAACACCAACTTCACCATCGGAACAAACCCAGGCGAGTACGCTATCCCCCAGGCAATCGCACTCAGCGTCAGGAACAGCGACAGCAGTATGACGAAGCTCGGATCGTCCCTCGCCCACTTGTTCTTCGTTTGCTTGTGATAGTACAGTTGCTTGTAGACTCTCTTTGGAGACACAACCAGGTAGAAGATCTCCCACATCGCCGTGTCGAAATCCAGCGTTGGAGGCTTGAACAGCCTCTTGATGTATATTGGCACGTGGAACGACCTCGAATGCGAGAACCTGTTGCCATTGGCTCTGCCGAATGATCGATTGGGATACCGTGTGGATGAAGATACCGATGACCTTCCAGATCTGAATGACGACAAATCATCAACAGATTGCGGTAATACGTTTTCCGATGACGATGATACACCAAGCCCGTGTAGCACCGAGCCTCTGTTTGTCATTGAGATGCGCAGATTGAGTGTTGATCCAGGGCCTTAGTGCTTGTTGTGCGTTGTTGCTGTGGTTTGTAGATGTTGTTGTTGAACGTGTGATCCACCTCTCCAGGTGCGGGTGTGCGGGTGTTTAGGTGTTAGGATGTGTGGGTGTGCGGGTGTATAGAACTAAGCGGTACGGACACATCGGACGATGGGTGTTGATGGAGGGAGTGTCACCGGGACAACGTGAGACAGGTTGAGGTGGTGGGCACTCCCACCATACGTACACTACTGTGTTATCATTGTAAAACAGATGTTTGATCAGTCTGTAGATAAGGTACCACAGCCAGTGTTAATGAGGGTTGTTGTCACGGCATCGATGGAGAATAACGGTTGTTCAATTGAGACTACCGAGATGTGGGCGTGCGTTGCATCAACGACATCAGTACCAAATGGTTTCAACGGCTTACACATACATCTCGATAGCGGTGCAGTCATCCTCAGTTAACTGGATATTGTGCGAGTGACACCACGATGAGTCCTATACCTGAACTTGAGGTTTCTCGAATGTGAATATCCCAATGAACGGCTCAACAACGTCAGGTCTGCCAGCAGGTACCTTCCCTCTGAAGACCAAGTCAGGTAGCTCATAGCCTTCGTCACCAGGTTGCTCAAATGGCAGCTGCTCCTTTTCAGGGTACCCACTCCCATTCTCGCTCGTGTTCCCCTCGCCTTCTGATCCACTATTGTTTATCCAATCAGCAGGTTTGTGGGTGAAGATCTTTATGAAGTCAATTCGAAGCGTGTCGTCATCCTCAACAAGACCATACAGTTTGTATTTCGTACCTATAAGATCATCACTGGAGTTATAGTGCAGCTTTCCCGTCGTGAAGCCAGTTAATCTCCCCATAGTGGATCCAATGCCAATGGCGTCAGAGCCTTGGATCTTTAAGAAAACCCCTGACAATCCAAACGGTGAGCAGTGCACCTCGAGTTCACATTCAGAGGTGTGTGAGAAGGTCTGGTTATCCATGGTTCCTCACCGGAGCAAACACGACTTTTGGAAAGATGTTCAAAATCGGTTTATAGACGGTAACGAAGTAAAAATTGGAGAAAAAGAGAGAGAAATCCGTTGAAGAAATAACGCCTCCAGGGCATCTCGCTTATGTCAGCAATGGCGGGAGTCTCGGCAGAGTGCGACTTTTCTTACGTAAGCAATATCACGTGACCGCTGCATTTGCCGATATTGTATACATGTCTGTAATTATGGATATTATACGAGGAAAGTAGGCAATATCTATGTGCAAAGAGCTCCACGTTCATGTCTGCATGGTGTGAGGACTCGGTCCTGATAGTCTTTGTGCAATATGTGGCTTGTTGAGCTCATATCCATCCAGCTGTGCCCTGAGATTACCACCGTCGGTATTATGTTTCACGTCGATTAGATCAAACGTTCCGTCCTCAGCAATGGTTTCAAATGTCATCTGATGTAGATGACGTGATAGCGACGATCCTTGGGATTGTGATTGACCGGTTGTTGTGGATGATTTGTTACTGATATACCTTTCAGGCTCGTCGACCCATAGGCTCTCAAGCACCTTCACAGAGTTGCCCAATAGGATCTTCAACCTGTCAATGTCAACCTCAGATGCTTTTGAGTGATGCTTGTAATGTGGTTTCGGGCCCTGATTGAAGTCTATAGGTTCCAGCGCACTGTAAGTCTTGACGAACCCGTAGTGTTCAGAGTGATTGTCCCCTTCCATCACATCATCGACGTTTCTCCTCGTGACTCTCTTGACACTATCCAGCATTGGACGGTAGTTGCACCGTCTTAAGCTCTGCAAGTCGTTGTTCAAAGAGTTCAAAAGCGTCTTTTGTTCAATGGTGGAGAATTGTCGTTTGAAAGTGTTCTGCTCCTCACTTTCTTGCATCAACTTCAACGCTGTGATCTTGTGCTGAATTCTACCCTGTGTTTGTGGGATCTGCAACCTCCTAGAATTCAACTCAGTGGTGTCAGTGACATCCTCCAGAGCTCTGTTGTCGGTATCAATAGGAACGTGTAGATCCTGCATAGAGCCATCTTCACTGATGCTATAGTCATCATCATCATCGCTACCATGGCCGTTGACGTTGCTGCTGCGCCCATCACTTCCACCATCAGCATCCTCTTCGAGATCCATCCTCATGGCATCGAACGCAGGTACCAACTCATTATCCAGCAGTATCGTCGTATCCTTCGTCCTGCAAGTATGACTACTCGCCGAGACCCTGTTATGAACAGCAGCTGGCGGAACATGGCTTACAGACCGCCGACTCTCACTGGCCTGCTGCAGCTGATAGTGCTTGTACAGCTTGCTTGGTGCTATCGTGTCAACTCCGCTCTCGTTGTTGTAAGCACTCATCGGGTGCTTGAACCGCTGTGTCGACCTGGTCTCACCGCCGGAGTTCGCCGTGTGCACACTGTGCACAGACGTCTCCCTCGATCGCACGTACGGCGGCTGGCTCTCAACCCTCTGGATGTTCTTCACAAGCTCTGTGTGCCGCTTGAACGTCACATCTCTCTTCGTAGCGCTACGCCCTCGTCTCTCAAAGCTTTCCGCGTGCTCGCTGGACCCTTGTGACTGTGCCTGATGCACAATGTGCCCTGAGCTTGATCTGGCGGACCCAGGCATCCTTCTCCTCGATATCTTTTATATTCTTAGAGATCGCAATGGTAGAAGAGAAGATCAATGGAAGAAATCAAATCACCAAACCATTGTTTTTTAAGCCATTATCGAGCCATCGTCGGCCCAGCGATTGTGTCAACAGGCCTTTGCCGATCGAGCGAGTAAGAAGCACAGAACGGGCGTTTTGGGGCGTTTTGGAAAACTGATAAGAGATAAGGGCTGTTGACTTCCTATTTGGGAAATGCTAAGGCTACGGGCCATATCTGGTCACGTGACTTCTGCCTTGCGATGGTATTTGCTCTTTTTATATACGGGGGAGAGGGTGTTATTGGTTCATGTTTAGAGGGTGAAGACGCTTGTGGAGCGTTTGCCAAAGGGATAGACTGCGATTGTCGACGCAAACAGCCCAACAGAGATACCGATAGCGACTTGGATCATCGTGATGCCGAAGGATATGCCAGAGGTGCTATCGGAGGATGTGGACGAGGTGGTTCCGTTGTGGTTGACGATGTTATCAGCGTTCTGCACACCTGCCAGTAAGCTGGACTGGGATGCAATACCGGAGGGGACTTGGACGAATATCGCAGGCAGCATCGCAGACACTGCGATGCCCTTGAAGACCCTGGAATAGAGGTTGCCCAATACTCCAATGACGAATGACGAGATGGCAGCAGTGAACTCTGTTGAGTTGGAGAAGTGTTGACCTGCAAAATAGTTCACAACGTAGCCAGAACATGAGATGATCAGCATGACGGGCAACTGGAACAGACGAGCCTGGTTAATGAGCCCAAGACCGATTGTGAACATGGGAACAAACAAGAATCTACACCATGGGCTGATCTGATGAGAACATGTGGTCTCAGAGGTTGCGTTGTGATCTATCCATCCGTATAGTGCGGCTCCCAGAGTTATTCCAAACCCCAAGAACAAGGAATAGATGATGGCATAGAACATTCGCACCGAGCCTGCCACCAGATTACGACTCTGTAGTTCGAGAGAACCACAGAGGATGATGTATCCTGGTAAGATCAGTGCCAATGAGCCCTGGACAACAGCACTGAAACAGATGTTTGCACCGTTTATAGATCCCAATGCCCTCCCGATAAAGGAGACAACAATGGACGCTGTAACTTCAAAGACATTGGAGTACAGGTTAGACCTTGGAGCAATGAAGAACTGTAGCCCACCAACACACGCACCGATTCCAAACGCCACAGGCAAGTCAACCCAGCCACCACCAAAGGCAAAGGGAGTAACCATTGCAGAGCTGAAAGCGTAGATCAGCACACATGCCCAGGGTGGGAACGTTGGCTTCTTGCTCAACAGATCATCCAGGTCTCTGGACGCTTCTTCAACACCAACCAAATCATGAATCACTTTTTTGTAGATCCTGTGAACTCTGTGTAGCTTGTAAAGGTCCAAGCCCTGGGCACATCTAACCAGTTGAACCTCGGACGTTCTTGTAGTTGGATCACCAAAGGAAACAATCATGCAACCAGGGAAATAGATGAACTGCGCATCAATCTCGAGAACTCTAGCAGTCATTGTCAGATACTCTTCCAACCTGTGTGTTGGTGCTCCGTAGAGCATAAGAGCTTTACACATACGAACGACGAATCTCTGTCTTTGTAAAGTCTCTGCAATGTGGACTGTGATCTTCGCCTTCGCCTGCTCTCTCTTTGTTTTGATGCGACTGGTAGGGTTCTTGAGAATCTTAGGCCTCTGTGGACCTTTGAAAGACGGCAAATAACTTGAAGAAGCATTCTTTGCCTTATGATGATAGTGTTCTGGTGACAAGAGTGAAAGGTCTGTGAAGCTGGCAGTCTTCCGATGTCCAATTTGCTCTTGTGCACTTGAATCGTTGATCTTGACCTTCTTCTTACCAGTCAGCCCCTTCAGACGGGAGGACAGAGACTTTGGATCAAAGTCATGACCACCAGTTCCAAGGGTTGGTGTTACTGCACCGGATCCCACTGGTGAAGGTGCTTCTGAGCCACTGAGTTGTAACCTTGAGCGAGACGCCTCTGTAGGGTTCTCGTATAGCTTCAGCAAAGAGGATAAAACACCCCCACGAACCTTCTCTGGTGGCGCAATGAAAGAGTGGTCACCGTCATCCAGTTGCAATTCATAAACGTCATTGTCATCACGCATGTAATAGTCCGGGTTTGGTGCAAGGAAAGATGAGTCTCCAGTGCGTGTAGAGCTTGCTAAAGTGGATTCATCAGAATGATCTCCCCTTGATCTCGCGTGAGCAGCAATGATCCCCTTCGCAATGTCCTTAGGGTCCAAGTCCTCCAGTGGGATTCCACTGTCTTGTGAGCCTCGTTGTGCTTCTTCGTCGTCTGCTTTCTGCGGTGCATCTCTTGTTGCTCCTGGTGCCAATCCACCACCTCCACCACCCAGAGTGACAAATCTATCCATAAATCTCTCACTATCCATGTGCTCAAACTCGTCATCATCTCCCAGAGCCAATCTCCTGAAGAAATTCCGTGCTCTTGAGGAACCTTGAGAGTTCAAGCTTTCCATATCATTTCCTGATGCTGCTGTCGCCTCGGTGGAATGGTTGCTATTGTCATTGTTTCTTTCTGTCTTAGAACCTCTGTTATGATCGCTTATTGTCATACGTCTCAGTATTCCTCGAATACCACCTCTTTTCTCCTCTTGGTCCTCATTTGCGGTGGATGATGAAGTCGTAGATTGCGAACGCTTGCGGCCTTCCACCTTCTGCTTTGCTGCGCTCTTTGACATCGACTCGCTGCCTGAACTGCCATCATCCGAGTTTATGTCAACATCGCTATCTTCGCTGTTGTAAAACTCGGCACGTTTGCTCCTTTTCATCTCGTCCAACGTCTGGTTGTAGTTTTGATCAACGTCATCGTCATGTGTGTGTCCACCAAGTATATCTGTTTCTTGGAGGATGTCGTCATCGACATCATTTTTGTTGGCACGGTCCGCTGATTGCATTCTTCTGGCAAATATAGCTGATGACGTGATGTTTCTATCTGAGTCCTTGTTGATGTTTGAATATGAATCTATCCTGTTAAAAGTTGGTAGCCTTCTCCCAGGTGCCGTCCTGCGCTGTTGACTTGTGTCTGACTCCAAGGGTGTTGATTCGTCGCTGGACGCTGTCTTTGACGCTGCAGAAAAGTAGTCGTTCAGAGAGCTCGAGGAAAGAACCTTCTTATGTAGTTTCTTGTGTGTCTGCTTGTTCATCTGAGCTTTAACCAGGGTTGATAGTCCTGGTGGTGTTCTTGAGCTCGTTGCAGGTCCTGACGTAACTGGACTTTGCGAGCCGGATTTCTGCTGCTGCTGCTGCTGTTCCTTATAGAGCCTCGAAAGGGTCATTATGCTCGACGTCGATAACCCAGTATTATCAGACCTTGCTCTTGCCAACGGCGGTCTCTGGGGTTGTGATTGCTGTGTACGGCCTCTTGTATGCATGTTATGCCTAGGAGTCGTCGGCCTTGAACGCTGTGATTGCGAATCAGTAGCCTGGGAAGGATGCGACATTGTTGACCTTATACCTGTGTGCTGAGCTGTGACACTAAGATTGATGTTGATCTGTCTCGTTCTCTTCTCGCACCTGTGCCTTTCAACCCTGCGATTTGTACTTTGAGGGTATATGTAGTGATGATGTAATCGATGTAGCTATGTGCAGTGCTGAGAATGAAGCAAGGTGTGGGTAAGATGCTTCAGACTGAACGTGTAACAAGACGAAATGGACAGCGTGTTTCAAGATTGTTCAACCACAGACCTTGCAAGGCTTCGAGCTCATTCATGGCGTTCTGAGAGGGCGATGATATCATTTCTTTTTCGTTCCTTGCCTGTTCTTTTAAAAGAAACCTTGGTTCATCGGTGCTTATCTGTCTGTGTCCCGTGCCAGGGGCATTGGAAGGAGGACACAAATGTATGCTTGTTACCAGGGTGATTTTCCGTTTCAGGTATCAATGCAGGTCTACGTCATAGCGAGCGAAGCAGTCTTTGCAATTGCTCTGCTCTTGCTTCGGCAATTGGTTGGAAAAGGGAACCAACTGGCCGCCTGGTCCATCGCCGTTGGAGGTTGACAAACGTAGTAATGTGCTTGCTGGTCTGTGCGTGCTTTGTGGGCTTGGGTTTACCTCTAGTTCCAATACCGGGTCTGCATCTATTTTTGTAAGCACTGAATCTGTAGCAGCAACTCATGGGCCAAAGAGCTCAGAAGTCTAGAACCCATTGAAAGATACACGCAAGCTGATTCTAACCATCATTGAATCGTAGATCCATATTTGGTGATTCTGCGAAATGGGAAAGGGATGGAGAATACGGGTCGAGTAACTTCCGATTCCCGGTCTTACAGCCTCGTAACATATCACACTGCAGGGAAAACCACACAGTTCTTGAGAGAAGCAATGGCTGTCACCAGCTATGACGTTACAAGCTCGTAACATGGCAACCGTTGTTAGGCTACTGAATTGAACGTTGTAAACAGATTGGTTGCCCCGGTGAATTCTCAAACCACAAAGACGAACAAACCACAGAACAAGGGAATAAATGTAAACAAATCTTTAGTTTTCCTTTCTTTCCCTTGCCGCTAACCAAACCCGCCAACAACTAAAACGACGGGATCCAAATACATCGTTTCGAACCACCAAGAACTTTCCCTTTGGTTTCATTGTACATCGATATCGAGAATTATACACATAGGACGCCATGTGTGGGAGTTTTACTAACGAATGGCTATGGACTCTTGAGAGCCGCCACAAGTGTCGTTGTTGTTGTTGTTAACCGCCGTGTTTGAAGAGGAATCCATTGCCAAACTTCTCTATTCCAGCGTACTGTTGAATGTTTATTACAAGAATTCTTATTAATACTATCAGCTGGTGTTTATTTCTTGTGTTTTTCATCAACGAGTACTACTTTTGAAAGTATCACATTGTGATGATGATGGCTGGGTTGAAAACAAGGCTTCACAGCTTACAAAGAGCAGATCCACAACACAAGCACTATGTCAGGTCCAAGCTGTTCCATACAGAGGGGAGAACTCCTCCCAACCCCCTGATGGAGGGGCTTCCCAAATCGCCTGCAGATATTGCTAATCCTCCATACTTTCTGCCCTTACAGTCGTTTCAGGATAACTACAAAGTCATCAGCGATTTAGGAGAAGGAAGCTTTGGCCAGGTTTCTCTTGCCAAATGCAAATTTAAGCTCGATGATCTTGTAAGATTTCAGCCGTTTATCGATACGTTAACTGAGCGGACAATGGGGTTCAAGAATGAAAACATTATGAATAAGAGGATCAGATTGGTGGCCATCAAAACGATGAATAAGAGACTACCGAACTTGAACGATTACCTCAAGGTGAAGGAGGTTAAGTTTATCTTGTCAATCCCATACCACAAGAACTTGGTGCAGATTTATGAAATGTTCATCGATAACCTTGAGTTCAAATTGCACATCGTTATGGAGGTGATGGATCGCAATCTATACCAATTGATTAGATCCAGAAATAACAGGCCATTCTCATACCGAACTATGAAGTCTATTCTTGCACAGTTGCTCAATGGTATCCGTCATATACACAGACATGGTTACTTCCATAGGGACATCAAGCCGGAAAACATCTTGGTTACACCGACAAGTCGTTTTTACACCGACGATTATATAGAATCCCACGATATTAACCACATATTTGTTGTCAAACTTGCAGATTATGGATTATCGAGACAAATCAGTAATAAGGGACGATACACATCTTATGTTTCAACAAGATGGTACAGGGCACCAGAAATCTTGTTAAGAAGAGATTCGTATTCTACACCGGTGGATATTTGGGCTTTTGGGTTGGTTGCCGTTGAAGTTGCCACACTTAGACCACTTTTCCCTGGATCTAATGAACTTGATCAGTTATGCAAAGTGATGAGGGTGTTGGGAACACCTTCATCACTCAACAAGATACCTTATCATAACCCCTTTTATGGATATTGGGATGAAGCAATGATGCTAATGAGGAGATTAAACTTGTCGTTCCCAGAGCAGAAGGGTACTGACATTTATCATATTATTCGTGACGAGAATTTGCAATGGCTATGCCAGATTATCAGAGCATGCTTGACATGGGACCCCGATAAAAGGGCATCCGCAGATATTCTCTGTGGTCTGTATTATTTTGCTGGCAGTTGTGTCGATGATCTTCACCAGCCGTCGAACTCATCTTCCTCCAAGATATCAGTTGCAACATTTGGAAGTAATGATGGTTACAGAACGGAAGAGAAACATGCAGGGATTCCATCTGAATGCATACCAGAAGCAAGTTTAAAATTGAATATGGTCAATGATACCGCCATTGCCACCGTTGGATCCAGCCCTACAAATGGAGACCCTCAATTTGGGTCATTTACAAGTAAACCGAGGATGGATGCTGCTCATGAATTTCGGAACGCAGATATTATGGATGTTCCTGCGTTGACTAACGAACCCACTGGCTCTTCAGCAAACGATGAGAACTTCAATTTTGGAATTGATTCCTATAGTAACAAATGTTTCCTTGACGAAGACTATTCCAATGAGTTTAAAATGATTGAGAATCCATTACAACCAACATCTATTATAGATTTCCGCAACGAGCTGCATCGTGGAGTCAACGGTAACAATATGAGTTATAACAGAGATTTCCCGATGGATCCATTCACGCAGTTCTATTCCGGTGACTTGGACTCAAATACACTGATGGATATCCAAAGTGACTTTGACGTTTTACTCTCCAACAACAAAGTTGATATACCTGGTTACAACAAGAGTGATATTCCACAACTTATCAGTGGCAATGTCCCACTGAAAGAGGATTCACTGCTAAACATGCTTAACGGGTATTTGGGTAATGCAGATGTGAGCCTTGGCCGTATGCTTGGCTTAAACGGTACCTCCAACCGTACAGGTAAATCTGGATACGACAAACAGTTGTACTCGAATTCCAACCAAGGTGAAGCTAACAACAGCTACTCTGATCCATACAATCTACAATGAGATGGAGTGGGTTCTGGTCCTGATAGATAGCTAAATTTGCATTTCAGAGAATGTCGTCCAAATCCGGATATATTACATCTGAATTATCTTCACTCCAACTGGTCCAATCGTGTAGAAACTTGCTTCCCCTTGATATCGTTTCCATGTCACCAATCACACAGAGTTGTCTCTTTGGTCTCGTCATTGCCACGTTCAGTCGTCTCTTGTCCGCTAGGAATCCAACTTCACCTTTATCATTTGAACGAACCAGTGTTAACACAATCACTTCTTTCTCTCTTCCTTGGAATCCATCCACTGTGGATATCTCAATATCAGGGTTATCTTTATGGATCATCCCCTTCAGCAAAGAAACCTGGGCGTTGTAAGGCGCAATTACTCCGATGTGTGATGGTTTAACACCTGCTTCCAGCAATCTGTTGATGTGAAATTGAACCACATAGGCTTCCATTTCGTTGAACTTGGAGCTGTTCAACAATTCACCTTGTTCAGATGAGTCTCGTTCCGGAAACTCACCTCCTTGAGTATCGTACCAGATAAGAGGTGATTCAGTTTCATGGGTCTTTTCCACATTGTCAAGGTCATACAACAGGATATCATGTACAGAGTGATCTGCTTTCAAACGTGAATTGTAAAACGTTTGCGATGAGAATTGCATGATCTTATCGTTCATTCTGTACTGAACCTCCAAGAGGTTTTTAAACGCATCGCCATAGTGCGTAACTAACCTATCAAAGATTGTGGTTTCCAACACCCTTTTCACGTTATCATCAGTGTCGATCTTTATAGTTGGTGGCAGCTGTTGATTGTCACCAGCGAGGATAAGCCTGTGCACGTTTGACTTCAGATGCGAAACCAGAGGGATCCAACATTGAGGCTCTAACGCCTGCGACACCTCATCTATGATGATCGTATCAAAGACCTTCTTCCCCACGTGCGTAGAGTACACGTTTAGCAGCTCCCTGGAAGAGGAACCGTGGAGGGTACACAGCACAACTTTTGCCTGTAGTATAAGTTCATCTGTGACCTTCCTTTCACGCTCACGTAGTTCTTTCTTTAACATTTTCACCTCATTCCATATAGATTTCTTCTCTCTATAAGATTTGGTCTTTTTGATCTTCTTTGTAGTATCATCGATCTCCTTCTTGATATCGTTCACCAGCTGTCCACCGTCATTCGTTGCTGCTACGATATCCAAGCAGTGTTGTAGGTTGGCACTCAGTAGCCGAGCAGGATGACCAATTCTCAAGAGTTGATCACCAGGTAACTTTCCGTTCAGCCTTTCCAGGATGGTATCCACGGAGATGTTTGAAGAGCCACACACCAGCACCCGCTCACCACGGTCCACGAGTTGTCTGATGGTTTCTATCAAGGTGTATGTCTTGCCTGTGCCTGGAGGCCCGTGGATGATGGATATTGGTGAGTTTAAGGCAAAATTGATTGCGAATCTTTGCGATTCGTTCAGGTTTGGATCGTGGAACGCTAAGCGTTCCAATGACTGAGTCAACACTGTATCTGAAGGCCTTGTGTATGATGATTCGCATAACAATAGCTGGAACAGAGGTGGCAGAGACTCCAACTCTGCCAGTTTCCTCATTGTAGATTCCATTCTCTTGTAAGTGATAGAGTTGGCGATCTTGACGATCCATATCCGATCATTCACTATGTTGACGACCTTGTCATCGTACTCCTCATTCACCGTGATGACTATACTCTGTTGAGATACCCTGGTGACGACGCCATCCACAGAGACATCGCTCTTGGCCGATTCGTCCTTGGTCTTCTTCGCCTTACCCATAACGTCAACCTTCACAATGTCGCCTGTTCTAATATCACCGTTGGCGATGGTCCCATCGTCGTGTGTACTCATATCGTTCTTCAGCTCGAGAATCGTACGCCCACCAAGCCCAGTCCTGATGGAGTCCACCGTTAGGTTTATGACTGCAAGGCCCTTCAGGGCCAGCTTCTTCTCCGGCAACGACTCGATCAACAGCCTTGTCTGCTCGACATCTGAGCTCTTCTCCTTCGAGATGCACTCGAGGAAATTCTCAGAAAGCATTTTGTTCAGCATCGTCATACGGCACGAAGGCTTCTCTGGATACCAGGCCCCACAGCTTCGAGTATTAAGACCAGCTAACGGTTGATGGTGATGATGATGAGTTTACATCAGTCACGTGCACAGCACGTGACACATACAAGATTACGTAATCAGCAGTCACACCGCCCCACACAACACTTATGCCATAACACCCAGACACCACCCACCCTCGCTGCGTGTTTTTCCCTCCTCCGCAGCGTCGAATGAAAACCCGCCGTTTTTTTTTTCCCTCCCCCATTGGTTCCCGCACTATGGGAAAATCCGAGCTCAGGGAAACCAACGAAAAAAAAACCAGTGGAGGAGCGCAAAAAAAAAGGGGTGGGAAGCGAAAAACACACTTTCTCGTTGAAATACAAAGCGAAGAACCACATAGGAAACAATAGAAACTACCAATTTCTTCTAACACAACAATGTCTTCTATCTTGGTAAGTTGAAACCTCCATTGGTGCCCTGCAATTGAACTAGCCGCCCTGTGTTGAACCCATCCGCCGTGTCGATGAAGCTAGCCGCCGTGTGCCTTAATTTGTTGATGTTTTATCGACGTGGTGGTGAGGTGAGGTGTGGTGAGCATTGAGCTCGTGGGCGGTTAGATGGGCGCTTCGATGCTGTTGAACATTACTAACGAGCGGCTCTGCTGTATAGCGTACCTCTGCTGCTTCCAAGTTGGACTGGGTCAAGGTGATCTCCAACCTGGGTTTGACTGGTCAAACCGCTGCCTCTTTGACCGCCTTCAAGAAGAGAAACGACGAGGCCCGTCGTGTCGTCTTGGAGCTCTCAAACCAGCCAACCGACGTTGACTTCTCCCACTACAGATCCGTGTTGAAGAACCAGGCCATTGTCGATCAGATCGAGAAGGAGGTTAAGGCCTACACCCCAGTCAAGGCTGATATCTCTAAGCAGTTGAAATCCCTCGAGGCATTCGAGGCCAAGGCTGTTGAGAACGCCACTGCCACCGAGTCCGTTGTCTCCAAGGAATTGGCTGACTTGGAGAAGACCTTGCTCAACATCAACGCTGCCAGACCATTCGACGAGTTGACCGTTGAGGACGTTGTCAAGGCCAGACCAGACATTGACGAGAAGGTTGAGCTCTTGGTCAAGAAGGGTATCTGGACCGCCCCAGGCTACAAGGAGAAGTTTGGTGACTTGACCGTTATGTAATAGTCTAACAACTCCTCGGCATTATATTCAAATTCTCTCCTATATACATAACTTGATACAAACAAAACAGTGCTGGACAGCACGCAAGACAAAATGAAATGAACAAACAAACATGTTATGACTTTTAAATTACACTCTTCTTCCCCTGGTTAGCAGGGCTAGTTGGCCTCTTCAGGTATCCACATGCTGATGGAGACGTCGGCAGTGGTGAACTGTGCAAAGCACGGGTTCCATAGACACAACCGTGGCCTTGCATCGCCTTTCAAGTATGCCAGCGGTTTGAAGTTGCCTCTGACTGGCTGTCTGTTGTTATCCAATGGATTCAGGCTCCAAACACAGACGTTGCCTAGCCCGTTGCCGGAGAAGACGTATTTACCGTCTGGTGTGAAGGAAGCGCATCCATTGGATGCAAACTCATTCTGAGGAATCGGAGTGAAGCCATCCAGCTTGCCCTTCTCTAAGAACTCAAACGAATCGTAGAGTAAGTGCCCATACTGTGAGCTGGAAAGCATGATGAATTTGCTATCGTTTGAGAACTCCACCTTATCCCACTGGTAGCCCTTTGGTAGTTGTAACACGTAAAACGGCTCGGCATCAAACATCTTGACGTTTAGAAACTTCACAACACCTTCGTTAACGTTGCTGAGGGCAACGACTTCACCAGAAGGATCGAAAGCCACTGACGACCTTGCCGTTGACGGGATTGAGGCCTGAGGATTTGACGCCCTCAGGTCCCAAAGCTTTGTCGTGTGGTCCAGCGATGCACTCACAAACACGTCGCTCTTGGGACTCACCTCGAGTGAGTTGACGAATCCCTTATGGCCTCTAAAGTACCTTATATAGGAGTTATCACTTAGCGATAAGTATCTGATGGTGTTGTCGTCGCCCTTTGTAGATGCATAGATACAATTCTTCTGATTGTGGGTGAACTTTGCTAGATGGCATCCGTACTTTTTGGAGTACACAGGCTTGACGTGCTTACCCTTTGTGATGTCGTATAGCTGAATACATTCATCGACCGATGTTGATATCAAGAATTGACCCGAGTCGTCATAGTCCAACGACGTTATCGGGGGCGTCTCTGTGTGTGAAAAGACCTTGGACACTTTAAACGAGGTGCAGAGATCTTTGCTGATGGTTACAGATGACATTGAATCAAAGTTGTACGGTTCAAACGCTGGATTGAATGGGTCTCTCTGTGCAAAAGGTGTTACAACTAGAGGAAAGTGCCATGCTAAGTGGAAGAGTGTATTGGTAATGTCCGGGTGTGTGGGTGTCCAGGTGGGTGGGTGTCCAGATGTATAGGTGTCCGGGTGTTACACGTTACGAGCCCCGTGTGCTCATCATGGAGATGAAATTCCCCTATAATGGCGTTATCTTTCTCCTCCCATCATTTATCCAATTCAATCGCCTTCAACCACCAAACAACTGACAATGGGAGCAGTGGTGCATTTCGCAGTGGACCTTGTCCTCGTCTCCATGGTGCTGGCAGGCATCAGAAGATCTACCGGTCTCGAGCTCAACTACTCCAAGAGCGATTTGAGATATTACATCTCCAAATACGTCGCTCTGGGCGAGATCATGTTTGACAGATGTGTCAACCTGTGTGAAATGAGTGGCTGGTTTGTTAGAAGAGGCCCCTTTGGTGGTCCAAGCCAGGAGTAATGACACCTGCTTGAGCCCATCACTAAGACCCTCTCTCCGTGCCAGCCTAAGCCTATGAACAATCCTGTACTACTACTCTCCCCGACACGCTACGTCGTATATACAAATCCAACGTGTTCTGCTATATCCAGCCACCCTGTACGCCAGCTTCTACCATCACAGCCATATAAATTCGCTTCAATAAGAGACATTCCGTCAACACTTTGCCCCAGCCAATGAAATCTCGCGATGTCAGAGGGCTGCCCGTGGGGTTTTGGCAGGTGTGAAAAATTTCGTCGAGAAACCCTCCAAAAAGGGAAATGAAATTTTTCCCTCTCTCTTCCTCTCTCTTTCTTTCTCTCTCTTGCGGTTACAGCTCTACAATCCAATCCAATGTCTAACAACGAGAGAACTTTCATTGCTATCAAGCCAGATGGTGTCCAAAGAGGCCTCATCTCCTCCATTCTTGGTCGTTTCGAGAACCGTGGTTACAAGCTCGTCGGTATCAAGCTTGTTACCCCATCCGAGGCCTTGTTGAGAACCCACTACTCTGACTTGCAAGAGAAGCCATTCTTCCCATCTCTGTTGTCCTACATGCTCTCTGGTCCAATTCTCGCCACCGTCTGGGAGGGTAAGGACGTTGTGAAGCAAGGTAGAGCCATCTTGGGTGCCACCAACCCATTGCAATCTGCTCCAGGTACCATCAGAGGTGACTTTGCCATTGACATGGGTAGAAACGTCTGTCACGGTTCCGACTCTGTCGAGTCTGCCAACAAGGAGATTGACTTGTGGTTCAAGAAGGAGGAGTTGGTTGAGTACAAGCCAGCTTTGTTCGGTTGGATCTACGAATAAGCGTATTGGTCCCACCGCTCTTCTCCAATCTGTCTTGAACGCTATTTAGATTAATATATATTCTAGGTGTGTTTCGCTAATGTGTAGACAATGCAGATGGTGTTGTATATTCATTCGAAAACGATGTACTTTCTCAAATGCTCTGGAATTGAATCGTACAAGCCCTTGGACTCGAGCCATTTCTTACTAAACACACGGTCAGCGTACTTATGAGCAGTGTCTGCAAGCACAGTGACAACGTTGGAGCCCTCAGGCAACTTCTGTGCAACTTTACACGCTGCCACGACGTTCAATGCTCCGGTGCCTCCAAGGTAGAGCCCTTCCTCGTCCAATAAACGATACACCATCTCGATGGTTTCTTCATCGGGGACATAGATGGCACCGTCAACGGTGTCAATGTCCTGGGCCAAGTTATCAGTGATACGTCCTTGACCGATGCCTTCAGTGAATGAGCCTCCAACTCTTTCAAGGCTCTTACCACCAGAGGTGACATAGGAGTAGACACATGAGCCTGGTGGGTCTGCAACGTAAGATTGGACACGTCCGTTGGAAATGTTCTTCAGATAGTTCGTTATACCGGCAAATGTACCACCTGTTCCTGTGGAGCAAGTGAAGGCATCCACCTTACCTTCGAGCTGCTCCCAAATCTCGGGACCTGTGGTTTCAATATGGGCCTGTCTATTGGCCAAGTTATCAAACTGGTTTGCCCATACTGCGTTCTCCAGAGACTCGGCATGACGGCGAGCCTTGTGGTTGAAGTTTTCAGGATCGTCATAAGGCTTAGGTGGCACAGGGTACAACTCAGCACCGAGACCTCTGAGAGTGTCCATCTTGGACTTTGCCTGAGTGTCAGGTATATAGATCACCAAATCATAGCCTCTTGAGCGACAGATATGGGCAAGTCCGATACCCGTGTTACCAGCAGTAGACTCAACCACTGTTCCACCAGGCTTCAGCAGCCCTCTCTTCTCAGCATCCTCGATGAGATAAAGAGCAGCACGGTCCTTGATTGAACCACCGGGATTGGTGAACTCAGCTTTACCCCAAATGTTACGTCCTAGTTCATCGCTGAGCCTGTTGAGCTTCAACAGCGGAGTCTTACCAACGGCACCGGGTATACCAGTGGTGGAGGTTGTCAATCTGCGGAGAAATTGAAGGGACATCTTCTTGAATATGAATTGAACTGCCTGTGAAGAAGAGAAGTTGATTGGAGGAGTGGAATGAATGAAAGAGGTTGGAAGTATTAAACCATTTCATCAGCCACACACAGCTACTAGCCACATTGGGTCACGTGACGTGATGTGATGGATTACATAATCTCGTGCTGCTTATGTAATCGTTTTTGCTTATCTAAGATATTAGTAATCGGTATACGCACTTTGGCTTTTCTGGACTTCTTCATCCTAACGCGTCACTTCAGTCCATTTCTTACCACTTTTAACTCGTAGAGGATCACCAATTCTTTGTTGTTCGTTTCTAACAGAAGGAGGCTAACGAGTAGAATGCCTGAAGGTCCACAGTTACACCAGTTTAAAGCGACAGTACCTGAAGAGTCGGCAGGTAAAGATGTTGATACGACGAATCAGCAACACCTTTCTGAAGACGTTGAGGTGTCGGGAAACGATGATGGAAAGGTAGAAGACGAATCACAGACCATACAGGACGCCGATGAAACTGAACCATTGAATGACGACAAAGACGAGCACAGTGATGAAGAGGATGGTGATGATGACGGTGGAGTGGAAGGTCAAAAGGAAGATGAGCATGCTGGACAGCAAGACGAGGAGGAAACCCAAGAAGATACTTCCGGTACTTCAGTGTTGCCATTGTCAAAGGTGAAGAAGATCTTCAAGACCGACCCTGAGCACCTGGGAGCATCTGAAGCTGCCGTCTTCACCACGGCTGTTGCCACCGAACTCTTCATACAGTACTTTACAGAACAGGCATCATTAATTGCAAGAAGTGAAAAGCGTAAGAAGTTACAGTACAAAGATTTCAGCGCAGCAGTGGCAAGCATTGAGCAATTACAATTCCTCAACGATACTGTACCGCAGACCCATAACTTGAAGGGTTTGGTTGAAAAGAATAAAGTCAAATACAACAAGAATGGTGTATTAGAAAAGGGTCAGAGGACTCTACAATTTGGCTCAAAGAAGGCAACCACCACCACAGCAGCCAACCATAAGACCAATCCTGATGAGGAGAGCGATGCTGATGACTTTGGTGATATTAACGACGCGAACATCAATACAGATATCGACAGTGACGATGACAACATGGGGAAAGATACCGATAATGAGCCTGAGGCTGAACAACGCGATCACGATCACGACGTTATAATGGCAGGCTAAGCGTTGCTATTCCTTGAGAGTAAGCGGTGAATGTACAATTTATGTGTGTTTAGTGTTATCTGATTGATAGATTTGATATGTATATACAAGGATTATGGAAGGAGTGTATATGTCGTGATGGCAAGTCTCAGCCTCTCTCAATGTATCCCTTCTTTAAGCTGCTCTCTTCAGTCTCTGCTTTGCCATGCCATATGTACTCTCTAAGCTTGGTCATGTACAACTTTGGATCCATTGGTCCAGTGTAGCCTTTGAACTCGTTTTTGATCTGCACGCTATTTGGGCTAACAAAGCACTTGAGCTCATCGTTGAACACCTTCGGCGTAACAAAGGTACGCACTTTGTTCCACTGGATGATATATCCGTTCTTACGAGTGTGGCGACCAATACCAGAGGAACGGGTACCCTTGTAGAAGTTCTTGTTACCTTGCTTCGTTGTTAGAGCATGACGTTTAGTACCGGACTTGGCCAGCCCATAAAACAAGCTTCCATCACGTTCCTTGGTCCATGGACGAACAAGCTGAGCAACAGCCGAGGTGTGGAAGAAGGAGACTTGGGATGGTTTCATCGCTGCAGTGAATGATCGACTTGAACAGGAAGATCTCTTGCTCAGATTCAAACCCTCCATAGCTTCCAGTGAGCGAGTTGTTGATGAATTTTTCATCACCAAAAATCCAAAGCGAGCGACTTCGGGGTTACCCTACTGACTGCTACACCGAAACATCAACACACCATAGCAGTTCTCAAGTGTTTGGATAGAATGCCCTACAAGAAGTTATCAGTAATCAAGGACGAGTCATCATGAAAGGAGGTGGTAGTTCATTAGACAAAACAAGAGAAGAAAAGAAAAAAATGGACTAAAAAAAGTATCAAACAAACCCATTGGCCATACCCAAAATCGTCATAGGGTAGGAAGAAACAAAGAGACAAGACGACACATACACTTCCCCAGTCATTTGCCATGAGACTATAAAGCCAGCATACTTCTGCTCCCTTTAGAATCTAATGTACGCCTTGTTCAAAGCGTCAATCTCACGGCACAGGATGTGCCAATCAACATCCCTTAACCATTGGTCCTCATCTGTATAGTGTTCATCCTTCACGTCTAATAGTGCGTTTCCAACGTCTTCATCGTCCGTAACCACCGCATCGTGTAGCATCTCGCACCTTATGTGACGAACAGGTGAGCACGTTGACAAATCGGTAAAGCTTGAACTGATGGAGCTTACTGAATTTGATAGCCTCTTGGTCATTTCATGGCCTTGGACCTTATGGCTGTGCTCTGGAGAACCAAGCACATAATCAGGAATACGGTGGCAGCGTTTGGAAAGCCTTACAGACTCCTCCCATTTCACAAGTTCATACATAAACCTCAGGTTTGGTTGGATGATAATGTTCAAACGGCGCACACGGACAAAGATGTAAGCCCTGATCAAGTTGACATTCAAACGACGCATCACCTCTGCAATACAAACCGTAGCGGAACGGGAGACGCCAACACGACAATGCACCAATAATTTATCTCTTTGGTGATATGCCTCATCGATCAATTCCAGGATATCGCTGAGATTATGGGTCAACATATCGATACCGTCATCCTGGACGTTTGAAACGCACATGAGCTTCTTTATTGGTGCGTTCTTAAACCCTGAAAGAACCGTAATGTTTGGGTTAATGACTTCACGTTTTATATCTGGTTCGTTATCCAACCACACCAACGATTCACCGACGGAAACAATATAGGATATGTCCAATTCTTGGAGTAAATCGAATGAATTGGCGTGTGTCAAAGACCCCAAGTACAAATGTGGTAATATCCTTGAAGGTAATGAGCCACTAATCTGTACAAACCATGACATTGATCTAGGTAAGAACAACTGCTTGTAAATGAAGTCTGTACTCATATCCTCTGCAATGTGAGCATTAAACTCCAGTTCTTTATTCTGAGGTGAATAGTGAAGCAAAATCGGTTGTAGTCTTGAGAGCAATTGGGTATCAGTTGGGAATAAGAAGAAAGGACGCCCCAAGTTTTTATGCAGCTCAACGGCAACTTCATCTAGCGGTAACCCGGTTGCATAGATCAAGAAACAGGTTGCCAATAATGAAGATTCTGTATAACCATCTGTACAGTAAATCAAAGACGAGTGACCCTTTAACGACCTCGTATACAACAATTTACACACGTTGACAATCGTGCGAATATCGTTATCGTTACAATCACCAATTCCAAGGCTCCCTGATGGAGGAAATCTCATGTTGAGGTTCTTTGTAGTATCGTCATCTTCCTCAATCAAGTACTCCACTGTCGTCAAAGGTGGGAATCCAGCACCGTCGGTACAATCGACATATAGTGACCAATCTGCACCTGGTGGGTTTAACAAAACGGATTCATCGTGATCTGTAAAATCCGTCACATTCAACCTCACTGTGGAATTTTCAGGGTCAACGTACAAAGGTATCGATGTATCCCTCGATTTGTGCACTGGATGATAACCCTTCTGTTTATGGCACTCAAAATTGATCGTATTACCCAGCCAAACGTTGCCGTATATAGGCGTTGCACTTGACATTTTTGAGATCTCAATCTTTTCACGCATCAGGTAATCTGATTCCCAACTTTGGAACAAGTCAATGTCATAATCTGAAAAGCAACGGCCCTTCAAATGGGCCAATGCCATTGTAGGGATTGCATCCATAGCTAAGAATCTAGCATGTTTGGAGTCTCTAAAGAATTCGAGGTTACAATTTTCAACGAGTAACGTTTGGTACATCGGATCAACCAACTCTGGATGGTCTATCGAATGTTTCAACTGTGCAAAATATAATAAACGTGACACTGGTTCACAGCAGCATGATGAATCTTCACCCTTTAAATGGTCGTTGAAGCAGTAGACTGCCAGGTCCGATATCTGGGCCATTTTGGAGACCTGAATGTGGAAATTTCTCAATGAGATGCCGCGTTGTGGATCCAGATTACGGAACAAAGGTAATAGACCCATTACACCGCAATCCTCAAAGAGCGTGTTCAAAACATCGTCATCACTAATTTTCAGCTCTGCTAGAAGATTCCGTAACAGTGTCAACAGATCATCCTTCGAAACATCCAAAGGACACAGGATCTCTTGAGGATCAACAGAGCCCTTCAAGACGCCGGACTTCTTGTATAATTCTGACGGCAAAAGGGTCGATCTCACCGGGATAAGCCCACGAGAAATTACCGGGATCCTCTGGTGTGTCAGTGAGTCGAACTGGTTACGCTCAACGGACGTGAACTCCTTCAGCGAGCTCAGGAACTCCCGCTGCGTATGGTTCTCAGAGTGCACTCCGTGCAACCACGGAAACACATGCTCGCACTCCGGCAACGGGTGTCTATAGTGCCAGTCCATCAGCCCACATAGCTGTTCCTGCGACACCTTCAGCACTGGCCACTGTGGCGCCAGGTTGGAGTTGTCCCTCCAGTGGTGGGACATCGTGGGCGCCAGGGGTGAAACCATGGCACCCAACCACGTCGATTCTGTAACGCTTGAGGCCGAGTAATGGCGCTCCGTAGAGCATGAGCCCTCGTTGTGCGTCATCGCGCCAGCACTCGTGCTCACCACGGTGAGCTCCGTCTCCGTCGATGTAGCGCTCTCTGCCGCTGCCGCCGTCGTTGTTGTTGTTGTTGATGTTGTTCCCGCCGCGTTAGATCCACCTTCAAGCGTTGCCCTAAACTTATTCCGTTCAAACACCAGGTTCGATGAATTGGCCCTCTTCGACCGCTGCGTGTGATGGTTGTGCTCTGCCAATGCTCCTGCGCCTGGGCTCATCTCTCTGTGCTCTCAGTCCACTGGCTGTGAGAGTGCTGTAACGCTGTCTTCAGTTAACCCTTTAGAGATAAAAAAATCACTCTGTGCACCGTTTTCTCCCTTCAGCTCCCTCTGCCTGCCTGCTCTCCCCCCCCCCTCGCCGCTATCAACAAACCGCCAGACGGGAGAGGCGCTGTGCGTGGGCGTACCATAAGTGCGTATCTGGTGTCCGGGTGTGGGAGCTTCGCACCGATAAGGGTATACACGCCATTGCGGGAGGGGGCGTGGGTGTCATATGCTGTATGCTGTCTAGTGAGAGCGGCCTGTGTCATCCTTGAACTCCCGCACCAGATACACTGCCAGCACCAGACACACTGCTTCTGCTGAGACTGCCATACGGTGTTTCCTTTCAGTGGGCGACGGAACACCACCCGGACACCTCCACACATTTCACGTGAGCGTAATTATTCGCCTCCTGCGCGCCATTTGGCGCGAAACTCAGCCGTTTCCAGTAACTCCGAGAATCCACTGGTAATTCCGGCAAGTCGTAGTTACAGCTTCGTGCCGATGCGTGTGAGCACAGGAATGTTGGGCAGGGGAGCGTGGAATTGACGAGGGCCATCGGTGTGTGCTGGCCAGCTGCTGTTGTGTTCGTCTGTGCATGGGGCCGTGGTGCCTACAGCGTGGTTATTGGTACGGTTTGAAGCCCTTTCTGGCGTGATGGGCTCTCCTATAGCTTACCTGCCGTACTAGCACTGTACAGTAAAGCATCAGTTAGCCCTTGGGAAGGTAGCCCGTTCTGAAGCCTCCTAAAGCGTTATATGGCTAACCGGTGCAAGTAATGGGCTCCTGGCCAGTCAATTGGCACTGTGAGGGCACCAGGAATCGCACACGCTGGTATGAATGGCCATGGCTCATGCTGTGGTGAACCTCCACGGCTCAACTCATACGCATCGCTGCGAGCTAAGACCTCGATGACCAGCGGCCTCCAATTGCTTCATAGTACTCCTCAGAATGGCCAATCACACCAGCGCAATCAGCTCTACGTCTCGCATGAAATTTGCATTGAACCCATGTCTTTTGTATTATTAATGCTGCTATGTCTAATATGCGCACTTAGCATAGGGCTTCACGCCAATTCTCCGTTGTACACACTGTTCCAGCGTTTAATGCGGCTTTAGCAGCTTTTTGCTATAGGCTTCTAGCAAAAAATGGAAGGAAAACAGGGAGGGACACTATAAATTGTGCCGGAGTTCACGTTCTTCTTCCTCTCCTGTGTTCAACAGTCAAGAAGGCTCATTAGCTAACCAATTGAACACGTTTACGATGGCTCCAAAGTCTCTCAAGCTTAACCACACTTGTCTTCGTGTGAAGGACCCAAAGGCCTCTGTGGAGTTCTACACTTCCAAGTTTGGCTTCCAGCTCTTGGAACATAAGAAGTTCCCAGATATGAAGTTCGATCTCTACTTCCTCGCCTACCCACATAAGGACGCTGAGGGCGCATCGCTGCCCTTTGGAAGAGAAGGTGTTTTGGAATTGACCCATAACTACGGCACTGAGAACGATCCAGGGTTCAAGATCAACAACGGTAACGTTGAGCCTCACAGAGGATTTGGACATATCTGCGTGTCTGTTGACAACATTGAAGTTGCCTGTGATGAGCTGGAGAAGCAGGGTGTCAAGTTCCAGAAGAAGCTGACGGATGGCCGTCAGAAGAACATTGCCTTTGCTCTGGATCCAGATGGCTACTGGGTCGAGTTGATTGAGAACGGTATTGGCAAGCAGGATGGTAAGACGGATGTCTCGTCCTACAGATTGAACCACACCATGATCCGTGTTAAGGATGCTCAAAGATCTATCAGATTCTACAGAGAAGTGCTTGGTATGAAGCTGTTGTCCACTTCTGAGCACCCAAATGCTGAGTTTACTCTGTACTTCCTCGGATTCAACGACGACGACTCATTCGTTGAAAATTCGTTGACAAGGGAAGAACAGGCAGCTCTGGAAGGTGTGTTGGAGTTGACTTGGAACTGGGGAACCGAGAAGGATGAGGGATTCAAATACCACAACGGTAATGCCCAGCCTCAGGGCTATGGCCATATCGGAATCTCCACTGACGATGCGGAGTCTTACTGTGCCAACATTGTTGCCAAGTTCGGTGATGAAGTTCAATGGAACTTGAAATATGACGCTGGTAAGCTCAAGAACATTGCCTTCGTCAGAGACCCAGATGACTACTCGATCGAAATCCTCGCTACAAAGCCAAAGTTGTAAACTACATCCTGTTCTGTAACGAATACACGCCAGCAAATGTTCAAAATCACACTATGTACAAAATAACGATAAAGCAAACAAACTAAACGCTAGAAACAGTCCCATAGGGTTGTCTGTCCGCTCACTTCTTGTTTGCAGCTTGTTCTGCCATGTACTCCTTCTTCAACTTTGTGAGCTCTTCCTCCGTGATTGGAGGGATTGGAACATCGCTGAAATCATCCTTGCCGAGGAAACTGTAGGTATAAGCGTAGATGGAGACCGTTATGGTCGACAAAACAGCAAACGTGGCAGCGTTCTTCCAGAAGAACGGTCTTCTGGCCCTGATCATTGCAGGTGTCATCTTGAACGTTCTTGGATCATGGTACTTGGATTGTTGTCTTTGAAGCTAGGTGTTAGTAATAGCGCTCGCACCGCTCCAGCCCCTCCGCCGAGCCCAGTAGATACTCACAAAGCCATGGTTATACGGGTATATCAGCTATCAGCCAGATTTAGATGACTTTAGAGAAGCCGTTGCGAGTATCAAAGGGAACGGGAGAACTTCAAAGGCCTTCGAATTTGCGCAGTGTAAGGAAAAAAATTAGTGGAAAACGAGTTCGCGAACATCACGTGATCTGGAACACACATCACGTGTGGTGAAACCCGTATTCACGTGATCATTTTGCACGGGCTTCATAACCATGTGTGTGCGCAAACCGATGAGCACCGCACGTACCAAAATTTTTTTCTTCACCTTCTCCGTCCTCCTCGAAGCGTGCGATTTGGAGCATTAATCACAACAATATCGTGCAAAGAGTGTTGGAGATGAGTGCTGAGATTGCTACGAAGGAGGAGATTACTGCTCCACCAAAGGATCAGGAGGAGCTTGAGCTGGAGAAGCTGGTGTTTGGTGATGTTGAAGGGTTTGAGTCTGCGTTGAAGAGCATCGAGACATTATACGACGATGAGAGTGGTGACGATGAAGTGTCCAGTGGGGCATCCGATGAGGAGGCCAATGAGCTGGAGGGCATCAACGATGACCAATTGTTCTTCGTGGACGAGGGTGACGACGATGAGAAGATGGATGTTGATGGTGGTGATGGTGAATCGCACGAGGAGTCCGATGAGGAAGAGTCCGATGACAGCGACGCGTGGGTTGATGAAGAGGACAACCAGGTCAGTATCTCGCTGCTACAGTCGGATAAGCTGAAGAAGCTGAGAAAGAAAGAGACGGATACCTCCATCTCCGGAAGAAAATATATCCTGAGGCTGAGATCTCAATTTGAGAAGATCTATCCCCGTCCACAATGGGCAGATACTGAGGACAGTGAAGAGGAGGAGGATGAGGAACTCGACGATGCTGAAGAAGAAGGTTCAGATGACACAATAGAGGGAGACGTTAGGGCATTGGCAAAGATCTTGCAAAAGACTACTAAAATCACTGCTAATACCTCAAGGTTGATTCCGCAGACAAAATTGGACATTGTCCGTGTGCGTGATGTTAACCATTCACACGCCTCTCACTCTGCAATTCAAACGATGTCGTTCCACCCAACACATCCATTGTTATTGACAGGTGGTTATGATCGTACCGTGAGATTATACCATGTTGACGGTAAGCAGAACCCGGTGGTTTCCACAATCCACCTGCGTAATACGCCAATCCAAACGGCCCAGTTCAGCCCAGATCCTAACAGTAGTAAGGTGTTTGCAGGTGGTAGAAGACGGTATATGTACTCCTGGGACTTGGTCACAGGCTCTGTTGAAAAGATCAGTAGGCTATACGGCCACGAGTCTACTCAGAGATCTTTCGAAAACTTCAAGGTATCACCAGGTGGTTCATACATCGCATTACAAGGTAACTCCGGCTGGATCAACATTCTGAGCTCAAGAACCTCGCAATGGCTACAGGGTTTCAAGATTGAAGGCACGATTGTGGACTTTGATTGGTCAGGCGATGAAAACGTGGTGTTTGGTATCAATTCCGTCGGTGATGTTTGGGAATTCAGCATGGAAAAGGGTAAAGTCCAACGTAGATGGAAAGATGAAACCGGTGTTGGCATCACAAAGATTAGGGTCGGTGGTAAGAACTCACGCTGGTGTGCCATTGGCTCCCAGAGTGGTATCGTCACTGTGTACGATCGTCTGTCCAGCTCTACCAAGCCAATAGGAACTTTGGAGCAACTGGTTACATCCATTTCAAGCTTAGAATTCAACCACGATGGACAAATACTGTGTATTGCCAGCAGAGGGAAGAAGGATTCGTTAAGATTGGTTCATCTGCCAAGCTGTAAAGTGTTCCAGAACTGGCCAAACAGTGGAACACCACTGGGTAAAGTTACCAGTGTCAAATTCAGTCCAAACTCAGAGATGCTGGCGATTGGTAACGAAGCTGGTAAGGCAAGACTTTGGAGATTGAACCACTACTAATGCTACTCAGTAATAGAAGTGTCGTATTAAATAGAATGCTCATTATCGTAGGATTTTCCTGGACGTGGACTGGTGTTCATCAGAGGAGTATTGTCGTTGAGATATGAACCTTGAGTAGTCCTCCATCTCTATATCTCTAGCACGAATCATTAGACTTGGTCTAACTTCGCTTCTCTTCAAGCTTGTGTCTTGAAGATAGTCGTCCGAATCATCATCATCATCATCATCAAAGTCGCTCACCTCGTCCTCCTTGTAAGCCATACCAATGTGTTTCTCCTCGTCAAGGAACACATGTCTCCGTGGGTATCGTGATGTTGTGTCGAGTGGAACTTGCGCATGTTCATCAACGCTGTTGAGCGTGGAGGACGTTGGAGGCTTCCGGAGTGGTAGTGGTAATGATACCTGGGACTCAGACTTTAGCAGGTGCGCAGTGGAGCTGAAATTGTTATGAACTGAGTCGTATAACGACACCTGTGAGTCGTAATGGCTCAACTGTGGTTCCTGATCATACACAGAGCGTTGTTGTGCGACATCGTCATACCGTTTCAATACTGAAACCTGTGAAGGGTTCTTATTATACACCACCTGGGGGTATTGCTCTGCAAATGGATTGGTCAACTGTGTCGTCGATTCAGTAGATCGTGATGATTGTGTATCGATCGAGTTCCATGTCTTAGACTTGGGCAGGCCTCTCATGCCTGAGGAGGCCAGAGGTGGCAGTTCCACGTCTGGAATGTTGGCACTTTCATTGGCAAATGGGTTCTTTGGGTTGTTCTTTGCATTGAGACGTTTCCTGTTCTCCTTCAGTAGCTTCTTCTGTGAGTATTTCCTAGCCAGTTTCTTAACTGTGCCGTCAACCTTGATACAGACGTACTGTCTGAGGCTCTTGAACCCTCTTTGCCGTATTCTATAGTACACAGGAATGCAGAAGCAGATGGCGAAGAATAGGCACGAGACGAAGAATATCCAAATGATCAAGGAAAACGACATGGAGTATAGAATCAGGGCCTCGGACCTGTTCGTTGTTGAGATTTGCTTCAACGTGTCCCAGAACCCTCCATCGCCAACGTTCAGCACAGAGTACAGCGTGATGGCATTGATCACCTGTCGTGGAGAGTCTGAGAAAATGATCTTCTTCGAATCGTCCAACGTGAAGAAGGTATAGAATGCCACTTTGTCGAACCCGTTGGACGGGTTGATCGCATTCAACACGCAAAAGTACGAATATCCAGCCAGGGACTTCGCAGTCTTTGCAAAATGGTTGGTATATATCAATGCGATGTTTCCCGTTCGGTAGATTCGTATCCCTCTAACAGCATCGAATATCAAAAACACAATGGCCGCAATGATACAGGCTGCAAATAGCCACTTCGACACGCTGAATGAGATGTACGGTTGGACCATCGAGCTCCATTCGTTGAAAGCCAACAGCTTAACACAGGTGTAGATATCCAGCACATAGAGTGCAGCGTGCAACGACAGCATCACCAGCATCCAGCTGTAGTTGAACAGCGTGGAGCACTTGTAATTCGTAAAGGCTCCAACCTCTATGAAATCAAACAAGGCATTGGCAACCTGTCTCTCCCATGATGATTTTAGCAGTCCAAACATCGCTTCACGCTGCTACAAAAGATGCAAACTAGCCAGCTTAGTAGAACCACACCACAACAAACACACCAAGACAACCACACAAGGAGAATGGAACCCTTAAAATTGATAGAAATGCCTGGAATGTTTGATTTAAATCTCCATTGGAAAGCTCAAAATATTGAAAAGTTGTTTCAAATTGGTTTGGCTCTTCCGACAAGCTCTGCGTGCATGCGTACCTCTGCAGTGAGGCAGCAGTGAGGTTAGAGGAAAATATTCCTTTGGGACGCAAATCCGTGTTGGAGAGCGCGTTTTGGGCTATTTTTAGGGGGAGTAGGTGTCTGGGTGTCTGGGTGTCTGGGTTATGAGGTGTACGGATGTTTGGTGTACGGGTGTCTTGGTCTACCATTAGACCCCTTCATCCTATCAAGATATCTTTATACAATCAACGCCGCCTGTGAGTTGTTGGAGAAGAGTCAATGTCTTTGGTACAGTACGACTCCTCGTCTGAAGAGGAAAATGATGTGGAGACAGTGCCCAGTGTTGTCAACACACCTCAGGTGGCTGATGACAAGGCTTCAATATCAAGTTTCCTCCCTCCACCAAAGAATCGCATAGCTCACAACATTGCAAAGCCAAAGGGTAGGATATTAGGGGCAGGATCTAGGAACCCGATGAGCAGGCAAATACCACAGTCCTTGGAAAACGTCGAGCTTGTACGAAGTAACGCAAGCGTTACCTCTTTCGTTCCTCATTCTGTGCGGTCAAAGAGTCAAACCCAGCCCACCACCACTATGGCTAAACAACAACCGAGTCGACTGTTTCAGGAGGTCAAGACAAAGAGAAAGCAATTCACTGGCTCGGAAATGAAAGTGGATGTTAATCCAATTGTCCCAATGGAGGAGGAACATGTCGACGACCACAGCCACCTCAGAACGGAAGGCAACAGTAACAAGAGACCACTTGAACCTGATCTTCCTGCAATGAAAGAGTTCAACGTGGACACCTTCTACGAGACAAATATCGAGCTGAAAGAAAAGGGGCTGCTGGAGGAAAACAAGAGACTACACGCAGTGACAAACCATAAGAATCAACTCTCATCTCTGATCAATAACGCTAAGCAGGACAAAGAACTGTTGGAAGAACAGTTCGAAAGGAACAAAAAGGCCAGAAGGGAGAGAAGCAACAAGTATGGATGGTGAATGCCATAATAAACTACTCAATATGCCCTATATACACCGTATAAAGATACCCATTGGACTGTAATGCTCTAAATTTGTATTGTTGTTGCTATAGCAACAGTAACTTTCTCCCTCTTTTTTTTTCCAGGCAGAGCGATGAGCTTCCTCGAGAAATTTTTCATGCGATGCCAGAGAAGAAAGACATAAATCACCGTTAAAAGGAGCTATAAGTGCTATCTTTCACCGCTGTTAGCCATGTCTGAACGCAAGAAGTGGAAACATAACCATGACCAAGCGGCTGGTAATGCCGTTGATGGTGGTGTCTTGGAAAAGATGGATGCTTTTGTACAGGCAGAACAGTTAGAAGTTGATGAACTGGCACACTTCCTAGCAAGAGGGTTTGCAGTTCAATCGGTTCAATCGTGGTCATATTTTGCACAGGTGAATGACCATGCCAAGTTCACAAGCTCCACACAAACGTTGACAAGGGTGATAAGAGCTTGTGGTGAGCATGAAGAGCTGGTTGAATATGGTGTTCTCATAGTCAAGGAGGTGCTCACCGGGTACTCAAAGACCTTATACAGGGCCTTGAGCAGTCTAAGGGCCTCCACTACGAATCCAGTCATTAGAATGTTGAATGAGATTGTCATCTTCAAGAATGGTGCCCTGTTGGATGACTTCATTGCACTTTTTGACTTTACATTGGCTGTTTTGCCAAAGTTGTTGATTCCAACAAAGACTGAGCAGGCAAACGTTGTCTCCACGAAACAAAAGGAGCATCTCTCCATACGGTATTGCTTCATCAGATTTCTCATTAACATCCTAAAGAAATCGCCACCTCTTCTCAGAAGGGACTTTCTCAACAATAACAGCAAGATCCTGACCACATGGTTTAAATTCATCCCTGTTATCGATAGTGATGCCCTGATTGTTTTGACACTGAAGACATGGGATGAGTTCATACTCAAGGAGCAATCGTTCAAAAAGAGTACAAAGCTCAGGGTGTTTAACGAGTGGAACTTGATGAAATTGGTCCCCGTGTACTACAATGGTGATAAGGAAATACGGGACTTGCTAAATGGGTTCATCACTTGTGTTACAACTGATTCGAAGTATGGAATCAGATTCGAACCAGATGAGCTCTGGTTCATCAATTCAACTTCAACGTCTCCTATAAAGGTCAATGGTAAGAACTTCAGATCCCATAACAAGATCATCTATGGGCTGCTCACGAATTTGAAGCCCTGGGATGATGATATGCAGTTGAACACAACAGTCCAGATCTTGAAGGCCAGTTCTGAACTGATTCCACCATATGTCAATTACCTTGCTTCTCGTGGATTGCATGATCCGAAATTGACATCGTACTGGATCTCACAGACTTACCTGTTAAGTAGAATCATTAGATTAGAGATCCCAGAAGAGATTGTCCGTTACAGTGGAGTACATGCTCCTTCAAAGAACACCATGGCTGAATTGATTGTTCCATCTGTTCTGAATCGTTCAGTTTTGACGAAATGCCTACAGAGCGATGTGTTCCTCGTTAGACAACTCACTGCACAGTTGATTATGGACTCAATGATTAAGCTCAACAGTGTTCTTTCACTTTACAACCAGAAGGAATGGACTATGTCCAAAGTTGAATTGATCAACTCCATATACCATAGGCTACCAGATCTTGCCACAGTGGCCCACTGTGTTGCCGACTCTTATAAGAAGCAATCCGAGACAAAGATCTTGTTAGCCACGTTGCTCATGGTCTTGAACGGTTACTTGTCTGTGTTCTCTGACACCTTCAGTTTTGCCCAATCGATCTCCAAACCGTATATGGACACCATAAATCAGTCTCAGTACTCTAGCATTGACTTGGTTCTGCTGGATCAGTTCTTTAAATTGCAGGAAGGTGATACATCGCAGCTGAAATGGTGGAATAAGGCTGGCAAGGCATGTTCTCTGTTCACATCTCTGCTGAAGATTGCCAGCTCAAGTTCTCAACATTCTGTCGTTGCGAAGGTTTCCGATTTACTCACGAACTTGTTGAAACAGACCGTTGTTATCAATTACAAGAAGGTTAAGGCTGACCCGGTAGTTGTACTGGTTGAATCTCTCCAATCTTCCTTGAAGAACTGGGATGACATGGATGAAGCCGAAAAGATCTGGAAGCTGATAGACGAATCTGTCTCGAGATGTGTAAGTACACCGTTCAAGTATCTTGATATCTCGAACGCACATAATAAAATCAGTCCATTGGTCATTGCCCTGTTTGAGCAATGGAAATTTGTGGACAAGACAACGTCCTATAAACGCATGTCTAAATGGTTTGTTCTGTTCATCAGATCTCTCATAATCATCGGTGAACCAGCAGCTGACCTGTTACAGCTCGTGAAAGAGGTTGAGTTGGACTTTGATTATGAGCCGTACTTGTTCACAAACTGCTTCGAAGCATCAATTGAAACCTTGTCAAATGACACCAGTCTTCCTCATGATACATTCTATGGTATCATGACAACAAGTCCTGTGAATAACTTGTCCAAACATGGTATTCCAACACAGCACATTGATATTGTTGGGGCGCTCGTCAGAATTGAATCAATGGTGGTGGATAATTCAATCTCTTTCAAGAAGGTTGAGAAGCTATTTGCTGATATTCTGTCAACAATTGGGGATTACTGGTATACACATCCATCTGAAGCGAAGGAATTCTCTCAGAAGAAGTACTGGGGTTCTCTTTTCTTGAAACACACAAATGAAAAGGGACTTTTTATCTCTCAAATCTTGTTGGAGATCTTCTCACAATTGGATGCATTTGATACTACTGATCTGTCAATAGAAGTTAAACGTTTGCTATCATCAGAACAAACTGAACAAACAAGTGTTGTCTTGAGTGAATCCTTGTGGTGCTTGAACAATGAAGAAGTTAGAGCACAGTTGACACATAGTGATGTTCTCCTGAAGAAAAGTGCCTTACAGGTTCTTTTGGAGAGAAAGCTAACTTTAGAGTCTTCACAGCTTGCGGAGTTGCTCACTATCAGTGAGTTGCACTCGATCTTGACTGAGTTTGTGAGTGGAGATCTCGTGGTATTCGGTGATGTAACATTGCTATTTGAATCTGCTCTCAAAGACCCCAAGACATTCCCAATATTTACCTATTTGGCAAAGAATCCTTCCCTTCTTCCACAGCTCTTACAATTTGTCACATCTTGTAACAATGATCTCCTTACAACCGATGTTGTATCTTCTCTTCCAGATGAGGTTTGCAGATCACACAGTGACAAGGGAACACTGAGTGAATTGTTCAAGGTATCAAAGTCAGTGGCTATTAGGTTGCTGCAGGATGAGGACTTCACTACCATCCCATTCTCTCAATTGTCAAGAGTATTGTCCAACAAATTATCTGAGTTGACACCAGATGAAAAGGCACTCATTCGTGATTATGCCCTCAACAAGTCATCTAACAAGTTTTCTCCAGAAATTCCAGAATTATTACTTGCAGTCTCGTCCTTTGATGAACCAGAAGTGGTTGTATGGATCAATAAGTCTGTTCTCTATCTCACTAAGATCTTTGCAGAGTTCCCAGAGCCACCAGTACACTTCTTGACTTTCTTGAAAGGTTTCCAATCGTTGATACTGAACGTCAATGTGCCATCCGTTCTTTCAAAATCACACACCAACGCTCTTTTAGAAGTTGTATTCTCCAAATGGACTAGAAATGAAGATGCATTGGAGCTTGCTAGTTCACTGGTCATCAGCTCCTCTAGATCCTCCTTGGAGTACGTCAAGTTATTGCAGATCCTTGCTAACAATGACGATAATGCTCTGCTGAAGCCATCCCCTCAGAAATCAAAGTTCTTCACATCTTTGATCCTCTTGAGACTGTTTGACTTTGACCCTTCAAAGAACGCCACTCCCTCTCTACAAGAAAACATCTTAAAGATGTACTCTGGATCCACTAGAGCTGAAGACTTGCTGCTCTTGAAATTGATGGAGAAGCTGGAATCAAAACTTAGTGCGTCTTGGATCGACCTTGTCTACACCTGGGACTTCATTGATACAGCCGACAATGATGAAGAACTGATTGGGGAGACAAGGCTCATTGAGAAAAAAAAAGAAGGACTTTTGGTGATCTTGAATAAGAAGTTCGTGGTAAATGGGTTGAACAACTATAATGTTAAGCGTCCAAGACTTGAACCGTGGTCTCATGATTCAAGTGCCAATTGGGACAATGTGATGGCATTTTACGACCAAGTCTCTGATTTGGTCTCTCCAAACTATTCCGAGACTGTCTATGATCCACTTTTCCTTTCACTCCTGATCATCAATAACGACGAGCTTGTGAAGATTTCAGCTGGTGAAGGAGAGGATTTAAATGTTCAAACCAACATCAGAAGACTTGTCGACTCTCAGCTGTTTGCCAGCATCGTCATCAACCTTTCTTCAGAGGACAAGACTGTAAAGGAAGTCTCGAAGAGCATACTTTTCTCTGTACTGAACACCTTGAAAGAAGAAACAACTACCTTCAAGGAGAAGCACTTGTTTGAGCTCTACGTTACCAAGATTCTTTTCACCATTGGTAACAACACACATGAGGAGATACCACCGCTTGTTTTTTCAATAATCACAAGAATGATTCCGATTATCAACAATCCAAGCCATACACTCTACGAGAAAGTGTTCCGTTGGATCTTGAGAGCGCCATTTTTCAAAGCTAATGAGATACCTCTTTACCAAGAAGTCACCACAGTATCCACCACTGAAAATACTGACATTTATCACAACCAGGTATCATGGATGCTTCAAATTCTAACAACAGGTATTCAAACGCCTCAAGATATAAAGCTACTGCGCAACAAGAATGTCTTTGAATATGTGATGAACCTCCTGAACTCGCCATATCTCCCTCAAAGACTCAGATTCCAGGTATTAGAGCTCATCAGCAGGGTTCAAGAAATTGAAGGTGGTGATATCCTGATTTCAAGATTTGGTGGCATGGCACACGCAGAGCAAACGGAATCGTATGTCTCTACTTCTCAAAAGAAGGGTACCGATGCCCTTGCAAAGGAACAGGAACTTCTAAACTGGAAAGAGATTGCGTTGAAGTATGGCGTGCTTTCGCAGAGAAAGAGACTGGCTGACTGGACACAAGGTGACTCTCAAGAGTTTGTCAAGAGAATGATTTAGAATGGATTTCACACCCTATTTAATTGTTGTAAGTATAATTTGAACCATTGATCTATTTTCGTTATGAACGGTCGTCCATGATGTTCTGTAACCCTTCCCCCATATCATTTAAAGAAGAGAGCCACATAGCATCATTTGAGATTTCTTTCCACAGCTCATTATCGCATGTAGCGTCAACGTCACTGTGTAAAAGCCTCAGCGCATCTGGAAGTTCTGCAATGTCAGCATCGCTTGGATGGAGTGACAAAGACTGGTCTGTGCCCTTATCTGAATCAATAATGCTATCAATCCTGATTTTCTTGCATTGACGAACCGATGATTCGTTTGCATTTGAATGTTTACGAGGGTGACGAGGCTCTTTGAACTCTGAATCAATAATGCTTGAGCGTGTTGAACGATCTGGAGCAACATCGAAAGAAAGTTCAGATGGAGCCAAGTTATCGTTAAACTTATCAATCAACTTCTTCATAATCCCATTGAAATCTAAAGTAGACATCAACTTAAGCAACTGTGCACGTCGTAAGTCAGCAGGATGATTGCCGAGGTTTCGCATTTTTGTGAATATCTGAAGAGCATGATCTAAATGTACATAGGTCGCTTGATGGACACCAAACGCAGCGTTGAAAAGAATAAGCGTTGCTGCAGATGTGAACAAGTATTCACGATCCATGTAACCGAAAAGCGCAACCATGTTATCAGGCATCAATGCCCATAAAGATCTGATTGTATTGATAGAAGCCTGGAATGACGAGTTGAACAACGTTATGATTAACTTCGAATATTGATTTAGATCAATATATTTGTCTGATGTTTTGTTCTCTCTCAATTGTTTGGATGCAAAATGGAACAATAGAGGTCTCACAGCAAGATTCATACCTTGGAAGTATTCACTCATAATATTTGTGACCAATCTAGAGATTTGCAAGTTCTTATCAGAAAAGTCGGGGCTCAAGAAGTCAGGAAGGTTCTGTTTCCACTGAATGAGCTGGCCAACAATTTCTGACAGAACAGGTAGGATATTAGAATCTGGTTGCTTTTGGTAAAGACATGACAGAATCTTCGCATTGATCTGAGTGATCTTTACACAGTTTGTGATGTATTCAGCTTCAGGGAAAATGTAATGTTCACATCCAGAAGGTGGATTTGTCATGTCAAAATCATCTGGAAGCTCCGTGGCAATACTGTTATCATTAAGCGATAACGGCAGTCCGGCCTTAGAACTGAGCATACGCTCGTACATGTACACCGTCCACCAGAGTCTTCTTCTGTGCTCCAATTCAAATCTTGTCAGTGATTCCTTTTCAGCATCAACATGCATACCCAAGATAAGACAGGTACGTAGTGCAAGACCAAAATAGAAGTATGAAGCCACTGTACAATCTGCCACTTGTAAATAAAACGCGTACAGTAGTAGGACTTCAACACCACCTTCTCTTGCCAAGTTATCAATGGCGCCTGACGAGAAAAGCCCAGTAAATAACTCTGAGGCCTGGTGGAAGAAACCAGATCCTGGCAGCTGTGCAGTATTTGACTTATTACCGTTGATGTTATTCGCAGTACCCAGGTACATTTCACCAATGGCAAATATAAGCAGCACCTTGCAGAACCAAATGGTTTCAATGATCGAGTCTGAAGTTTCCGTACCCATTCCAGCATAGACTCGTCTGAGGTTTTCCTTCACGAGTCCTTCGTTGAAGAAGTAGAAGCAACCATCGTTATACTGGATAGAGGTATCGACTAAAAGCATCGCGTATGAATATGAAGGGAGTGTAAAATTCACAGACACACCTGGACGGGTCTTTGTCTTCCCTAACATGATCCTGTAGGCGTTACCTTCGTTTTCCAACACAGTCTCGTTGGTGGTTAACTTTGGCATATCGCTCAAGTGGTCCTGAGAGTTCGGAATCATGTTTTGGACCTGGATACCGAACAACGTCATTGATGAGGAACCAACGTAGAACTTCTCACCTGTACGGGAATAAACCAACTTCCTCTGTTCATCAACAAACGGCGCCACAACTTCATCATCATCTTGGCTATTCTTACCACCGCCAGACACATTCGCGTTGGCAGTGTTGTTATTGTGAGAGGCCACTGCTGGCGCAAGGACGTTCTCCCTGGCGTTAGAAGCTGTATTATCAGAGAACGTTGCATTCAGTATACTCCCAATATCAGTCGCCTCCAGCACCTCGCTTAGCGTATTGTCCGCGCGCTTACCACCATCCACCCTGTCATTTGGCTCCAGGCGCTTACTTTCCTTCACCGCGGTTCTCAGGTTGTTGTTCTCCTTCTTCAACCGTGCAATCTCGTCGTGAAGCTTCTGGAGGTATCTCATCGAAACAACAACCTTCTTATCGGCTTCCACATATTCGCAGGCCGCTTTGGCCTTGACACACTTCTCACAGGGCTCGCCGCCAGGACACCGTATGTGCCTTCTACGGCATCTCATACAGCTACGCGCCAGCTCTTGTTAGTACACTGTTTGTTATCAGGGCTCCTCCATCACCAGCGGGTAAATAAAACAGTGCAGTGCAAACACACACACGCACAGCCCGGGCTCATATGAACAACTTACGCCATTAGTGAGCGCTTCTGTTTGCCAATTGGGATCGACCCATGCTCTCCAAGCTCAAAGTGGTACTGCTCCATTGCTCGGACAACTTCAACAACGGTTTGGCCCAGGTGATTGCTTCCCGCTGTGTTGCTCAGGTGCGATGGCTCGAAGAACTTTTATCAGCGGGAACCCAACTCCTTCAGGATTTTGTTTTTCATTCCTTTATTTTGTTTTAGGTTTGTGGATTCGCGGAGTTCGACACGCGCGATAAACGGCTTTGTTTATTTTGCTAAGATAAACTGGCCAATCAGAGGCGAGAACTGGCATTCTGCAGATATACAAAGATAACTGGTTTCATAGACATAAATTGCTAGTACACAGCTATATGGACGCCTCGGGCCTGCTTGTCCGATGAAGGCTAGCTTGCCTCCTCGTCATCGGACTCGTCCTTCTTGCCTCCAAAGATCCCCTTCTTCACCTTGCCAACGATACCAACACCACCACCCACAATGGCCTTACCACCTTTCAGGCCAGCGCCAATGCCGGTGCCAATGCTCTTCAGGCCAACGTCTGCGACGTTGGTCTGTGAAGCGTTCACGCGAATAACATAGCCAGGTCTGAAGGAGGCCTTCACGATCAAAGTACCAGCCTTCTCTCCCTTTTCACCGACAAGTGGAATGGTGATCTTTGTAGGGTTGATTGGGTCGATTTCGGCAAGGTCCAGGACACCGTCACCAAGGACGTCATCCTGGCCTGCACCAAAGTCCCAGTCACGAACTTTGAACCTGATCTTCGTGTTGACACGGTTGTCAATCTCAACAGCGGTCTTTGCATCGTCCCAGACCGGGTTGAGAGTCTTCTTAACTGTCTTGGTCTTGAAGAAGTTATCCTCCTCATCATTGAGGTAACACTTCACGAATGGATCAGACTTGCCGTTCGAGTCAGCAGCCGGTAGGTTCTCACACGCCAGAATGTCCAGATCCAGGTTACCACTGTTTGTGATGAGGTCTGACGGTGGTAGCGTCTGCGTCTGCAATGGAATCCAGCGAGTCTGGATCTTGATCTTGTGTGTGCCTGAGCCTTGCATCGTTAAGACGTTTGGCTCGTCATAAGAGTTCTTCAACAGACTCAGCGTAGGGATTGTTGTCTCTGCGATAGCTTCTGCAGAACGATTTGAACGTTTCTTCTTGACGAGACGGAATGTACATGTGGACCACTCCAACTCTTTAACAATAACATCACCGGTGGATGGTGTTGTAATGTACTTGGTCTTGATTTCCTGAGACGTGTAGGCAGCCTGAGGAGCAGCATCGAAGTACAACTGCAAGTACGAGTTCACAGAGGCAAACTCACCAGCGATGATAGAGTATACAAATACACCAACTGGGTGCGTGATTAGCTCTGTAAGAGGCATCTCAGCCTTTGAAGTGTCTGCAATGTCATCGAGCTCCTCGTCCTTTTCCTTCTCTTCTTCCTTCTTCTCCTTCTCAATCTCCTCCTTGGTTTTACCAGCTTCTCTTTCACGTTGGTACTTGGCCTCTCTTGCTTGCTTTGCCATCAGCTCCTCTTTGATGTCTTCGACACTCTTTACCGGAGTAACTGGGTAGAAGCTCAATCCGTAGGTGACAATGCCCCTTGGACCCTTCTTCTTGGTAACCAGTTTACCGGTTCTCAGCTCGGTGTCGATGTACTCAACGTACTTGCCGTCATCGTCAGTGTTGATGATTTCAGAAGTTGTGAGGTTGAAAGAGCCCAAAGAACGGTCGTCGCCGTTCTTCTCGTAGTCCATCACCTCGACGGTAAGTCTTTGGTTTGGAGAAGAAACGGTAATCCAAACAGCTTTATTCCACACTGGATTCAATTCATCGGGAATCATGTCAGTTCTACCCTTCTGCGTACCATTAACCAAGACACGAGCATATGGATCAACTTTACCAAACTTTTCCAAGTTGAGTAAGTCTTCAGCCTTGTTGAACAAGACACGGACAACACCTATAGGATCAGTGTAACCACCAGAACCTGGAACATTCGGTATCTCAACAGATTTCCAGACAGCAGAGAACTTGAATTCACCTTCACCTTTGGAGAATGGGACCCATGGCTTGTCGATTTCGGTACGATCAATCAAGTTGTTCAAAGATTGCACACTGGCTGCAATAATCTTGCCCTTTGGATCCTTAACAATGACCTTCACTTTAGCCTTACGACGATCAGTGACGATAGTCTCCAATGGGATGGAGAACGATGGGTTATCGTTGTTCTTGAACACCTTCGTGGTGCCAACAAGCTCATCGTTGAAGTAAAGCTCAGTGTATGAGGACAAGGCTTTCTCAGCCGTTTTAACGTTACGAATCTCTGTGAGCTCAAGCTTCGTTAAACCGGTGTTTAATTCAGGAGCTGGTTCAACAGACCCATCATCCAATCTCTGTGGTTCCAGAGTTGGGAAGAACTCATAATCGTACAACAGCTCACCACATGGCTTAGAACTTCTGAGGATTTGACCAACTTGGTTCTTAGCCACAGGTTTAGCGGAAACCTCATTCATGGAAATGTGCAATTTTCCCAGCTGCTTATCCTTACGGTCATCGTTGTAGTCAAAGAATGTAAGAACCATTGGTTCAGTAAACGACCCAACAAGAACATAGACAGTCTCGTCCCATTTCGGATGAGAGGTATCCAGGATGGTCTTTGACTTTGCAAAGACTTTTTTCTGGCCATGGAAGCGGAAAGTAACATAAGGATCAACGGTATTGCCAATGACTCTGTCTGCAGCACGTAGGTTCTTTGCCTCTCTTAGGTGAACAGCAATGATACCGATTGAGGTGTTAGAACCCGACAACAGCTGTGGCACATTCAATTGGAAAGAGAAAGGCTCAAAGAGCATTGGTCCGGCAAATTTCTTAATCATTTCGTTGATAAATGGGTATAAACCTGGAATTGCGAGGATTTCCCAGTTGAAGATGGACTCACCAAAGATGGTAGAGATGAAATCAAACTGTGGGGGCTCCATTAAACTGACACTCACAGTTTCAATGTGTGGGAAGTGTGTCATCATTTTAAATCTCACGCGGACCCAAGATTTAAAAGCAACGTTTCTCACAACAACAGGGAGTGTAACACCGAAAACATTGGCCTTAACGACAACACGTTGGTTAACATGGTTCTTCAACTGCTTAGCACTGTTGTCCACGATGTCATTTGGCGTAAACGAGAACCCCCAGTCCATCACTGCAACGTCGTTCTTAGGGATATCCAAAGTCTTGACGAGGTCAATTCTTGGAGGTTTGGTACCTAATGTCAGTTCGTCGATCCAGATGGCCTTGACAAAAGCTGGGATACTCTCTTGCGAAGCCAAGATCGGGTTCACCTGTTCACACACGATTTGCGAGATTGAAGGTTCCAAATAGGTCCAGTACTTGTCCAAAAAGGTGTTTAGCCAATCCATGGTTTCGTAGTCATTTTCAATCTTTTGAGCAGTGAATTCCATCTGGATTTGATCTCTCAAAACAGATCTGTACTTCTTGATGGAGGTTCTGTAGTAGATACCAGCGAACAGCGTGATGAAGAACACTGGAGCCAGAGAAAAGTTGAACCAACTAAAGATGAATGAGAGCAACCCTGCTGCAATAAACAGCCCCACGGTGTGATACCAATCACCATAAGCAGCTTCAGGGATGAACGAATCCAGTAACGTCGGTGTAGTCAGATCCATGAGTTCATCGTCCAGTGTCAATTCATCCTTTTCCTCCCATTCACCAATCTGCTTCCAACCAACTGCTGTGGCATTGACGGGCTTTCTGACAGCCTTTAGAGCCTCCGCTTCCGCTTTCTTCACGTCCTCAATGCTTACTGTCTGAGAAACCTCCCCACTGGGAGCTGCGTGTGCCTTTTCCAGCACATCCGTTTGCTTCATCAACCACCGTTAGTACCAACAAGTCGAATTGCATACAATGTGCTCGTATATACTACTCACCTGAGCAACTGGTTTGACCGAAGGGTTCTCCGGAAGCACTGGAGCTTCAGCCTGTGTAGATAGTTGTTAGTGACAAGACTCTGGGTCAATTGACCGGTAACTTACTGCTTCACTGGCCATTGTATGATTTCCAAAACCTCAGCGTTTGTTATCCAATTGAATTGGGCGAAGGGGTAAGGAAAGTTGATTGTTTTGCTTCCCAGTTTTGAAGCCTTGCTTATAGTTGTGAAATTTCAGTTATGTGCTGCCCGAACCATTCGACCTGACATGTCTATATGTAATACGGGGCATTGTCATGTGACATGTCACATGCTGCCCCGTAATATTACATAATCCTGGCTTGTGCATTCTTCGCTTTTCATAAAGTGCAAAAAGAAACGACCACTTTTGCAGTTTTAGCCGATTCTCGGACGCGTCAGTCAGGATTTGCGTGTGTCTCTACCAAATTCCTCTGAACGGTTGCCGGGCTCTCGAGCGTTAACAAAGAGATGCACCCAAGCAATGGGCTAAACATGATAAAACCGCGTAGGCACACACTTCAACCACTCATTGCAATTGCAAAAGTTGTATAGAGCGTTACACAATCAAATCACCTGGTTGAGATTGTTGAGCTTGTCCAAGCAGAACGGTCTCTCCCCCCCCCGCCGCCGGCTGTGTTGATCAGCCGATAATGGCCTTTTTCGGTGCTTTTTCGTTGCGGTTGTTCCAAGCCGACCTTTTTGGTTACTTCGGCGACGCGTCATGGAGATGTGTGGGCCTAATAAGGAAACAAGGCCTTCCAATATGGGCTTATCAAAGGTGGAGCGTGCGAAGGCTTTGTGGGCTTTGGAGGCCTTGGAGGCTGTGGAGGCCTTGGAGGCCTTGGAGGCTGTGGAGGCTTCGTAGGCCTCGTGGGCTTCGTGGACCCAGGAGGCTTTGGAGGCTTCGTAGGCGGAACTTGAAGGCGGAAAAGATCAATTTATCTGGAAACAGCTTATATTACTCACAGCACGCGTACCTTTCCACTGCCTTTCCACTGCCTTTCCACTGTATCCTTGCCTGCTTCCCCTTCACACGCAATACAGTCGCGTTGTTGAAGGTCCGCCACGCTCAACTTTGAAGTAGCTCACACAAGCTTCCCACCAGTTGAGGGTTTGTTTACTCTGGCGATGTGGAAACAACATCCCCATGGCGGCAATCAAAACATGCGAAACATATACCAACAGATCGACGACGCAATAGGCATTTCTCTCTGCAATATGTATTCTATTTTTGTCTATGGTGTAGTTAAAGGTATGACGATGGTGCGCATGTATGTTCATTGAAAGGAGTAAATAGGTGCATGGAGCACCAGTAGCGGGTAGGTTGTTTCGTGGAATCAGCAGGTCGGAAGGCACATGAAGACATATCAACTAGAAATGGAAATGGCTACACTCCGGTGACAGCTTCCATGGGCTGTGCTGGTGTGGGTATAAAAGGCCATGATGATCACCCCCAGGAGGCTTTGTAGTTAGCGTAGATCCCTGGCTCTCTCGCTTTCTCCTCTAGCACCCAATTACAATACAAGATGAAGTTCCATATCGCTCTTATATCTCTTGCAGTTGCCGTGTGTGCTAAAGATGCTTCCTCTACATGGACAACGCTGACACCAAGTGCATCGCCAATTGGTACCACTAACTATGCAGGACCTTTTGGTATTGCTGTGGAGCCTGTTGAGTCTCAAAGCTCAACTTCCGACTCAACAACTACATTGGCTAAGAGAGACGTTATTTCACAGATCAGCGATGG